AAGTTCACGTCTTTATGGGAACATGCGTTTTCTCCAAATTCTAGATATGCCTTGCTGACGATTGTCAACAAACATGTAGTTAACTTTATGTAGATCGGTGTAAATACAGATTCAGATGAGTAAAGGATCTAACTTAAACTATATCGAAAACCCTTAGTTGGTTGGTCTGTAATCATTGAGTATTTGTTCAAGATATACTTTGTTATATCACGTCTTTGAATTATCATATAAGTAACAGATAGACCTACAATTGACGACTTAATGAGTACGGTGACCAATCCACATCTGAAAAATAGATGTTATGTGATATTTGAAAAGAATGGTACATCAGTTTCAAACGAAACGAATATCGGGAAGCCACATAAGAGAATCAACAAGTACAACAGGCGATAATCAATTAAAGACTAATCTATGTTTTAATCAACCTCGCGAGGTTAAATAGTTCACTAGTTACTAGCCCGCCCTAAGCCCGGATATAGAGGGAAGACTAGGTGGGCATAGGCATAGCAACCCTACCCTGCAAAACAAATCCAATCGCTAAATAAACTTCAAAGCACAAAGAAAATATAAATCAGGGAGACGAAATGAAGTCGGTTGGTGAAAAAAGCCTTCGAGAAGCCAACTGACCGATGTGTCACCTCTCTCTCTCTCTAGGATACAAAAGTAAACATAGGCACATGGAGTGTCCACACTGTGTTTGAAGTTGCTTGTTAAAGTTGCCCTGATTCCAAAACAAATGAGAAGATATAGCATACCATAGCCAAGCAGCGTTAGGAATCTGCGAGGAATTCACAGATGGAATGGAAGTGGACTCTCCAATCTGTCGACCACGAGCACACTCAGTTTACGAGTGGCTATCATGATGTCCCCAACACCATCAAAGGCTCTCTCTCGCTCTCATGCAGTGCTAGTGAATCTCTTCGTGCAGGATCACGATCATGACAGTAAGATTCAAGTCAAGAGGAAGGAAAGTCACAATGATATGATGCTACGCCACGCTACTCACCTACAAATAATGCAGATGAAGAGAAGAATGAGGAATTCTACAGACAACTACAATCAGTGGTGGGCAACACACCACACCAGTGGGATGACATGAATGCCGAACTGAGAGGAGCAGATAACACAGGAGGTGAAGCGATCATCGATCGAGAGGCACTCGGTGAAATGATGAGTGAGAATGGAGAACTGTTTTCAGACTTTTTTCTGTGCATTCAACGATTTAGTGATTGGAGGTAGTGTGTACAAACACAAGAATATTCACACAGAGACATGCATTTCACCAGACACCCACACACACTTACACACCAGACACACTTCACTGAAAATCAGATCGACTTCATTTCAGTGTGAAGCAAGTGGAGACGCTGCCAGATGAGATGGAGAAGGGGAGCAGATGCAGGAAGCTTCACACCACTCACTCACTCACTCACTCAGTGTCTAGTGCAAGGAACCTATCTTCGAAATCCAGTTGAAAGCCTTCAAATGACCTGGTGATAGATGATGACCAGACGTCAAGTTCAAGTCGAAGTTGAACACTCATAACGGAAACTGAAGGAGGAAACTACAAGAGACATCTTCACATCAGCTATGAGGAGATGTGAGACATTAAGCAACATACTCGGGGAAAGCTGTGTAGAGGAAGACTGGAAGTCAGTGAAAGTGATATGATGTGGAAGGGAACCTGCATAAGCGTGTTCGGAAGGGAGGAAGGAAGCAGAAGAAACAAGACAAGGAATGGATCTCCACGTGGAAGCTGATAGATGAGGGAGAGGATGATGGTGATGGTGAAGCAGAAGATGAACGAGTGCAGTGCAGGGATGAATAACGAAAAGAGGAACCGGACACGAACTGTAAAACACTACACTAGACAAAGAAGTGAAGAAGAGTGCAGGCAAAGACAAAAGACATACAAGTGAAGCATAACAAGCTCCAGGTAGGAGAGACAGAGACCTGACAACATTATGTCAACCGTGTTACCCTTGGTTGTATTATGTTCTCAGAGAACACAATACAACCAGGACCATCCACCTGAGCTACAAATATTCTGCATTACAACCATGTTACTATCATGGGAGGGAAGAGATCAACGCAGATGAAAGCAATGAAAGATGATAATGAAGGAAACCTAGTGACCACCAAAGAGGAGAAATAAAGGAAACAATGGGCTGATCACTTCAAAAAACTCTTGGATCGACCACCATCACCACCACGTGTATATCGTCCAGAAATCCTACCAGCAGCCCATCCACAGAGCTATCAGTGAACACAAACCTTCCGATAAATCAGGAGTGAAGTCCTGAACTCCATGAACTTGCTGAAAACCGGGAAAGCAGCACAACTACATCGAATTCCACTAGAACCACTGAAAACAGACGCAGAGTCAACAGCAGACACGCTCACACCACATCACTATTGCAGAAGGTTTGGAAGGAACGAAATTATCTGCCGATTGCAAAAAGGGCTACCTTGTCAAACTCCCAAACAACGGTGATTTAAGTCTTTGCAAGAACTGGCGAGCAATCATGCTCCACCTCTGTTCACCCCAAACAAAATATTAAGCCACATCATCCTGGAGAGACTAAACAGAAAATCTTCTGGATTCAACTAAATTACGATCGGAACACGCTGGCCGGCTGGCTTCAGGAAGAACAAATCATGTGTGGATCAAATTGCAACGCTACGCTGCTACGCATCATCATCATAGAACAGAGCGTGGAATGGCAGTCAATTGGATCCTTACTTTACCTCAACTTCATCGTTTTTGAAAAGGCCTTCGATCGAGGCGTCGACCGACAAGTAATTTGGCAGACAGCTGCTTCAACACTAAGGTTTTGGTGCCACAAACCTTTATCAACCTCATTCAACAGCAGTTATATGCTATATGACGACGCCATATGTCAAGTGATTCACAACGAAAAGTATAGTGATGCCTTTGAAGTGAAGACAGGAGTAAGACAAGGTTGGGTTAGGGTCTGTTCTATTGTCAACTGCCTACGTGTATGTACAAAAGGTATAAACACAGTTTATAAACTCATTTATCGACTTACATGTATCAGTGAATAATTATACGTGTGTAATAACACACATATACACATATCATTAATGCAGTGTAGAAAGGGAAATCTATTTCACAAATTATCATTATATGAATGATAAGGTGTATTAAAACACGGAAATTAATCTCACGAAAATCGGAAGTGCAACAACTTCCAAATAATTGTAGTTGATTGATATTTCAAAAAGAATTTTGTATATTCTAGATACAAAATTCATCAATTTCGAAAATGAACAACAGAAATAATCAGAAGTAGGTTGTTGTAGATGATGAAGAATAGTTTTCTTGATCCTAGAACCTAAAATAAGAATGAATAAGATGAGTAGGGAAAAATTTACCTAAACTACTGAACTATTACTACTCTGAGTGATTACTTTATCAAACAATGAGGAGCATTATAAAATTGTAGGATTCATACATAAGTGATTATACATTTGAAAATGGGACTTAGGAGTATAAACATTACAGTTTCGTAGGAAAAAAACTTTTAAAGATGTTTCATAGAGGAAATAAAGTTTGCTGCATCCTTTATGTCAGGGAAAAAAACAGATACAGGAAGATATATTAGGACAATAAAAAAGAAGTGAATTACAATTATTTTTGAGTGCTTAATTAACTAAACATGCATGTCAAATGTAATTGGTTTACCGATAAATCAGATAGAAAAGGAATATGGACAGATAGTTCAAGATACAAATATGATATCTCGTGTTACACTACTTTTTCTCATTTCAGTAGTACTCACTTTTTTGTTGGTAACATTTAAAAATAAACGTTGATAAGAGCCAGATTAATCATATCAGGCATAGTTGTTCTTATAGCTAGAACTGACAAGAACACCATAATTCCTATCATATATACATATAATGAGAGAATGTACAGTTGACTAGTAAATCACTGAATGAAAAGTATGTATCAATAATACTGATTAAATATTTGTAGTCATGCCATACTGATCACTTTTAATTACTATTTCACACAACCTTCAAGTAAATCACAGGCTATTCTAAATTTACTGCTTGACAGATAAGATGGCTTATTTATCCATTGAAGATACCCATAGACAACAGTTTATTCCTCCTCCAAGTTGGAACTACTGAGATGGAAATATGAATGCTTCTCACCTTATGCTTATCACCTTAGATATACTTGAAATAGAGCCTGTTAAACCCACCAAATACACCGTCCATTTAATCTCATTGTAAAATGATGGCAAATACATCAATACTACGAAATGCACTCAGTGACTATATGCATATTCGTGCAGTAGACAATGAGTTATTGCTATTTTATGAGCTCTAGTGATACTTACTACCTGGTTTTACAGACATCGGTAGGTGAAGCAGGGTTCAAACGCATGACTCAACCGATTTGAAATCAAGCGCCTAGATAAATGAGCCATAGTCCCATTGTCGATACCACTGTCACTTTACTTGTTGACTGACATACTTTAAAATGATTGAAGGTTAAATCATATTTACTAGTTACAAAAATCCAAATTTATTTATACGAGAAAAGGTGATAGGGATTAATCAACGATGATGTTGCCTATAAGAAAAGCATATAATGATGAATGTATGAATGTCACTGATAGTTGTTATGATTAATCAAATGGAATAATCCCCTTGAATAAAACTCATAGGTAATAACGATTTAAACCATTGAAAGATTAGAGAGGTATCAGAATTCACAAAGATAGGTATGCGAAGGATACACTAAGAAAATATTGAAGTATGACAGGAAAAGTGAGTGTTACATTAGAAACTAGAAATATCAGAATCAGAAATGCACAAATTTTGGCAGAATAACAAACAAACAAACAAACATATATTCAAATTTATTACATAAAAGTGCATGCAAACAACAAATATTTTTTTATGATTTAAAAGATGTGTGCATGCTCTCAGCTTACCCTAATTATCACCAATAGTTCTATATTTATTCAAGGATAATAATTGCTTGAACCTAAAATAATGAAGTAATGTATAATCAATTTCTCTTTTTAACACCGTTTACTTAATACTGTAGACAGGAACGTTGACTATGTAAAAAATATGTTACATATATAATATTACAAAGGATAAAGTAATAAAGTAGTACAGACATGTTGAAACACTTTCCATGACAAGCTAATTCTATAATCAACTGAAATATACAAATATATATGTTATACAAACATTAAACTAATGATTATCAACATATTCAACAACAAGACATATGAATGGAAGAGAGAAAGTATTAGTGAAATAAACTGGTTAATATTTACTTACTTTTATCATCAATAACACATAATTTCACGTCAGTAGAAGTAGACTGAGTTGAATTCAGAGTCTTGATTAAATTCTGAGATTGAATACCTGATCCTGTAGATAAATCACTTTGAGTTTTAATTAATTCTACTGAATGCGACTCTAAACATTCACTTCTTGCTTCTAATAACAATTGTTCTGCATGTAAACGTTGTGCTACTGTACTTTCTAATTGTCGTCTGCTTTCAGCTACACGTACACCAAGTCTACGAGCCTCTGATGTATACTGTTCTAAACATCCTTGACTTAAGTGACGTAAATCTAAAATTTAAAATTTTTTAAAATTTTGAGAGAGTTGTGGAGATTTGGAAATATTTCAATGATGACATTGGGTGGCAGTTGCGCTATATATCGTGAGCTAACAGAAGTTGGAAATATGGACCATTGGATTGTGACCCAGTGGCTAGCTCAATGGTAACGCCTGGCCACGGAACCTGAAGGTCGCCGGTTCGATCCCTGCTGGTGTGGGTTCGTGGGTGCACACTGCTGAGGAGTCCCATACTAGGATGAAACAGCTGTCCAGTGCTCCCAGGTTTCCTTTGTTCCTCCAACTGATGTCAGTCTACGATGAATAACAACTTTAAAATTTTTTTATCATTATCATAAGATGCAATAATACAAAAGCAGATAACTATACTCCCTTTCTTAACTTTTACTGCAGTGATATCAATTATGTTAACAACTAATATTGCTATGGGGATAAAAGTTTCGTTTGTTCATGTAGACCAAAAAAACTCAACAATATGAAGACATATATTTACTTCAAAGAAGGGATATATTTCTGAAAACACATACTGAGCAATTAAGTAATCAAAAATCAACTATACTGAGATCAACAAGAAGAGTAGATAGATTACGTCTTTATTGTTTCGAACTGATTTTCAGTTAATCTAATGCTTCAAATAAAAATCGGTATCAGAAAAGAAATGGAAAAGTTAGGGGTTAAAAATACTACTATTGACTGCCACTGATCTACGCAGTGCTTTGATGAATTCTGTCCAGTTTACCAGCCTGTTTTCTATCATTACATCACTTTGATTTCTAAGATTTTCATAACTTCAATCAATCAATCAATCATCCAAATTGCCATATTACAACACAACAAATAGAAAAATAGTAAGATAGAAGGTGAAGAAAGAGAAAAATCAGTCAAAAGCAGTAAAAGAGGAAAGAGGAATGAGAAAATGATGAATTCAGTATAGCGTTTAAGCAGAAGATAAATTGTGGATATATCTGTGCCACAAAAATCGATCTTGAGCCGTGCCACCTGATGTCACATGGACTCCAACTGACTAGTCTGAACCTCCTTACGTGGCTCAAACCAACAGTCAAGGGTTTCATACACTGACGCCATGTTTTAGTCTGGCTACTGCTAACCCTTTTCCAACTTAAACATACTTTAGTTAATATTGTGCGACAAGGTGAACGGTGATTAGGTAGGCGTAACACAACACATGTTCGAGCCACAATCTTATCAACCAACATTTCTCCCCAGCCTAAAACTCTACACCTGACTTTTGAGTTAGTGACGTTATGACACTATGACACACGTCCTATGCTATGAAGGCAACGGTGGTCATACACCAGAAACTTTCTCATATCCTCTACCTTTAATGGTCATGTTTTACAGCCCTAACTTAAACGTAATCAGTGAATAGTCTTAGTTAAGTAATCAGATATGATTCGAATACATTATATTATTTTAATTCACCAATCAATGTGTATTTCATTAAAAACTGCGTTTATAACCCGAATATAAAACTTACTGTCTAGTTTAGTTCCTAAATCCAAAGGTGTTTGAAGGGACCGTCTAAAACAAGGTAAGGGAATCATTTACAGTATTTATATACATGAAAAAAAAACACAGTATTTCAACGTTAACATCACACAACATATAGGTGAGAGAGCGAATTTATCTTAGGATTTAGGCTTAATTTTGTCTATATCTTTTATGAATAAAGAGGTACAATTAAGATCTCTCAAAAATAATTCTCATCTACCAAGTCATGGTAAGAAACCAGTGATGAAGCTCACTCAAAGATGGAAATGAAAGAGCTATATTTCTTTTGGATCTTATCAATAATCATCTGGCGATAAAAATTATTAATTTTTTCAAATCAATGGATAAAAGATTATTTTCTGAATGCTAGTGAATATAGGTGTGATGTATGGAATAAAAAAAACAACTATACTTCAAAAACTATCAGAATAGCACGAACTTACAGAGATGGATTGGTAGCAACTCTTCCCAACTCTATTTCCAAGGCTTTATTATCCATATCTGAAGTAACACTTTGATTTGTATTTATCTCTGGTCTCATTTTTAATGAAGATAAATTGTCAGTTACTGTAGTCATTTCATTAAGCAGACCACCTGATGGTATTCTAGAAATACTCATTCCAGAAGTCGACCAACTGCTAGTAGGAATCGATGTAAATCGTGGTCTAGACATTATTATGTCCGATGGACGATCAGATTCTGGGCCAGGTATTTCAGCTGTCTCTAGATCAGTATCAGATGGTGGAGGTGGGAGACTGGCAGCAGCATTTAGTAATTCTGCAACCAACGGTTGTACATCCCCTTGAAAGAAGATAAGAAACCAAACAAAAAATTAAACTCTTAAACTATCAAAAGAAAAGGAAGATGATAGATTCATGTTGTTAGAAAAAACCAAACTTATTACTTTTTAAGCGGAATACCGGTAAAACGAGTGTTTCAATTGAAACTGAATAAACTGAACAGCTTAACGATAAATGTAACTTTTTACTCTGAGCTATTTCCTCAATTATAGCGAAATTGTAGAGAATGTAGGAGTTAAGCTTTGGTGCTGTGATATAGGACAATCCTAAATTAGATTATTTACTTAATATATCAAATAGTGATAATAGTATTATTGACTGGATGACGTTTCGAGAGTAAATTGCCTCTCCTAATCATAACAAATATACACATCTAATATGAAACCTAAGAGAAGATAATATTCTGATGACTAACTGATCTCATAGATCACTAACATCAAAATGATCTCTGCAATCACTGGTTGTACAGCTGGAGAAAGTGTAGGGATAAAGAAGCAATTAAATGACCAGCTTATCCATACAACAATTTAGGCGAAGAAATAGTAGTAAAACGATATATTTCTTAAGAATTTTCATTGAAAATTCCCCTTCAGGCTTTAGGAACAAATTCTTTATACATGTTAGTGAGAGAAGAACAGAGCGTCATTTCTACTAAATGAAATGAAGCTCTGTTTTACTAAGTCGTACAAGAATGGTGGTAGAGTGCTCTTAGTCAGGTTAACGGAAGTGTTAGCCAGTATATAGGAATCAAATACGATCCCCTCTGACTGGTCTAAGTCACTCATTATCCCAATCTTCAAAAAAGGCGAGAAGTCCTCTTGTGATAACCACAGAGGAATCAGCCTGACAAACATAGTGTCTAAGATCCTAGGTTCTATAATTCTCCGACGCCTGAGTGGAGCTCGGGAATAGCAAGCCCGAGAAAACCAGGTAGGCTTTAGACCTGGCCGCGGGTGTATCGACCAAATATTCACACTGCGCCAGGTCCTGGAACATAGGCATGCTTACAGACGCCCGACAATAGCTGTATTTCTCGACCTGAAGGCGGCATTTGACTCCGTTGATCGAGAAGTCTTATGGCAATGTCTGTCACTGAAAGGCATGCCTAGTAAGTACATCACCTTATTGAAAGCTCTCTACTCGAACACTTGTGGGCATGTTAGAGCCTATGGCGAGTTGTCCAGGGAGCTATACTCATCAAGTGGTGTCCGTCAAGGATGCCCACTATCCCCATTCTTATTTTATTTTATCATAGATATTCTTATGGAGGTTTCCCTCTCGTCACCTTATTACACAGACGTTGACCCAATCACAGGTGAATTTTCTTTAGATCTAGAATATGCAAATGACATAGTCCTGTTAGGTGAAGACGCTGACAAGATGCAGAGTCTTCTGGACACTTTGAGTGGGAATTTGAGAATGTTTGGGATGCGATTTTCACCACCCAAATGCAAATTTTTGCTCCAGGACTGGTCTTCAGCGGTGCCCACCGCGGCTAACAATAGAGAGTGAAGTGGTTGAGTGTATTGACCACTTCACTTACCTGGGAAGTAGGATCAACCCTAGTGGGTTAGTTGCCGATGAGATTTCTGCACGGATACAAAAGGCTCGATTTGCTTTTGCCAATTTGCGCCACCTATGGCGCCGCCGTGATATTCGTTTGTCTATTAAGGGTCGCGTGTACTGCATAGCAGTCCGCTCTGTTCTACTATATGGCTGTGAAACATGGCCATTGAAAGTGGAGGATATAAAAAGGCTTCAGGTGTTTGACCACCGTTGCCTTCGTAGTATAGGACGTATTCCGTGGTGTCACCATGTGAGTAATGCAGAAGTTAGGTGTAGAGTTTTGGGGAGAAGAGGTAAGTCAGTCGACGAGGTTGTGAACCTTCATCGACTGAGATGGTTGGGACACGTACTACGTATGCCTAGTCACCGATTGCCTCATCACACAATGTTGGCTGAGGTGGGTCCAGGCTGGAAAAAGGCCCGAGGTGGCCAGACTAAAACATGGCACCAATGTATGAAGTCTCTGACTGTTGGTTTAAGCCATGTAGGACGATGCAGACTAGGTGGTTAGGGTCCACGGGACAGGAGGAACCAGTGGTTGGAGACCTTAGGTGATATGGCTCAGAACCGAAGTCAGTGGCGCAGATGTATACACACATTATCCTCATCTTAACAACGCTATACCGAATCTCACTATTTTGTCACTCCTCTTTCCTTTCTTCTCGTACTTTATATTTCTTTTGACTGCATTCACTTATCTCCATCCTTCGCCTCACTTGATGTGCTGATATGAGGTGTTGCAACTCGGACCGTTACGCAGTAATGCCTGGTCCTATGTTGATAATAATGATGATCTACTAAATGATTCAATAATACGTTGATTTACAGCTGTGAACATAAACATTTTTTGAAAATAGCCTAGTTCTACCAAAAAAGTATATTTATATAGTTGAAAAAAAGTTATTCTAATTCTGATAAATATTGATGAGCAATTAACTCAGTAATTCAACGAAATTACACATCACAATTACCTTCAAGACGTCCTGGTTGATGAATCGAATCATCAGAATCAGTAGTTGAAGTTTCACATACTGCACGATTGCTAACATCAATTTCAGGAGTTAAATCTTCTGTAGAGTCTGGTGGAACAGAACAACCACTCTCTAAACCTAAATCTGGTGAAAATATCCATGCATGATATTTGATCACAGTTTCAACAAGCTGTAGATTCAATAAAAAAAATAGTAAACACCAATTAATAAAACTAGACAAAACACTCGAAGTTATACTTTAAATTAACAAACCAGCAAAATTTATTTACAAACAAAGCGATACTACAATCTAGTAGACAAATAAAACTCAGTATTGAGATAATAAAGATTTATACGAGATATGAGTGGATATAGTGAAACAAGAGGAATTATATAATTTACCAATAAGAACAAAAACACCAATGCTTAACAGTTAAAGCCAACAAGAGGTAATGCGTTTGATGTTGAGTGAATACTGTAAGATTCTAAGAAACTGGAAACATGATAATCCACTAAGTAGTTTAAATCTCATTACGTCTCCTGATTATTTTTTAAATTTCAAGACTTTTCACCATAGATCTGTTTCAGAACCAGAAACTCGTACAGGCATATGCACAGACAATCATTTTTAATGATTATCGGAAGTATGTGTAAGAGTTGTGCCTGCCAACAACTGAACATTGAAATAAAATGTTTATTCAAAGTTAAAGAAGCGTAAAAACGAGTCGCTCTCAAATGGTATTTATCACAGACTGATATTAGTTGGAGAACCATTGGAAATCTGAAAGCACTGGACAGTTGTTTCGTTCTTGTGTAGGACTTCGCAGTAGTGAGCACCCATGACCCCACCGGCGGTCGAACCAGAACCTTCAGGCTACACGACCAGACGTTACCCTTGGGTCATTGGGTTGGAAATCAATGGTCCAATTTCTCTACTTCTCCCAAACTGAGTAAAGACGAATTATTTACTGTGAAGAGTACTAGGCAAGACAGGCAATTCGATTAATGAGGTTGTGAACCTTCATCGAATGAATGGCTTGGAAATGTACTGTGCATGCCAAGTCACCGCCTATCTCGACGTGCCATGCTAGCAGAAGCTGGATTAGGTTGGAAGAGGGTTCAAGGTGGCCATACCAAGACCTGGTACCATTACATGAAGTCCCTTCCTGATTGTTGGTCTGAGCCATGTAGAGAGAAGTAGACTATTTAGGCGGAGTCCCGAAAAGATAGGAACCAGTGATTGAGAACTCTTGGTGACATGGCTGAAAATAAGTTACAACAGCGCAGATGTATTCACTCCTTGACATCTTCCTAAGTTTGAATATTTGCACTTACCATTATCTTCAGATTGTTTATTCTCTCACACTACTTTGACATTACTCCTTTTCTGTCCACATTTTCTTTGTGTACTACCGTGAAGTGTGGCAACTTGAACCGATGCACTTGAGTGCGAGGTCCTACGTTGATTTTGTCAATCAGTCGTTTACCATTTAAACACGTGGTAACTCGTACATATTTCATGCTCTGAAGTTTCTAGGAGGTCACGAAACGCCAGAAATCCACTTTTCTAGTTCATAGGAATTCTACAAATGTATTTCCCTTACAAACCATCTACTTAATGGTCAACTAATTCAGTTTAGTCGGATCAAATTTTGATTATAGTGTCTACAAAATCATATTAAGTTATAAACAACTTTTGCTATTGCTCTGTCTTTCATCTTGCTACCTTGTATCTGGATGTGCTGATATGAAGAGTGGTGATTTGGACCGTTAAACAATAATGCTAGGTCGCAGATTGATACTGACTGACTAACTTGCAACAAATTTATGTGACTTTGAGCATTAAAAAATTTTCCCGACGATGAATGTACCACTTACTGAATTCAATGAGTGGTTTTAAGCCACTCACATCGATCACGAGTGCTCAGCTAGGCAGATCAAAGTGATCTAAGTATCGGACAACTATTACCTTTGTTTACAGTCACGCTTATCAGAGGCGTAATCAGACTGATTCAGCTCAAAAAGCCAAACTGTCGAAATAAGCCGAATTTCGGCTAGCTAACTGAGCGGCTAGAGAGTACTGCTGATTGGTATGAATGGCCTAAAACTACTCATCTCAGTCATTAGTATATTACATGCAGATTCACGCTCGCACTCTTGACACCCAATTGTGGTGACGAGTAAATCACATTATGTGAACTGAATATTTTGGTTTCTATAGGAAACTATGGTCAAATTTCTCATCATGAACTGGTTATCTTTGCAAAAAAAAGCTAATTTAATTTCGCGACGATATTAGGAATACTGCACAGATCGAGCAAGACAAGAATGAAGAAATATAATTCTGGAAAGTGGCTAATAAAAATTTAAGTCTTATCAGTTCATCATTTAATTAAGAATTTCAGAAGGTTTGAAATAAATCGTGCGCTGCAGGGGTTTTGTGCGCAGATAGCACCTCCCAACATACCTTACCATGGAAAGTCGCTTAGTCTTGAAGATGTAATCTATCTAGGAGTGGAACTATACGAATCAATCTACACCTGTTTTAGGTAGATCAAACAAAGTTTTTTTAGAGATACTCGATTTCTTAAAGCCTTACTTTTAGTCTCGAAAAATCTATGGGGAAAAGAAGTTTTTCTATTTTCAGGGAAAATCCTTAATTCGTTTTTCCAACAATGAAATAATTAGATGATACATATGAAAGTTTATCACCTTAAATAAAGATTACATTGTTTTAAAACAGAAATATTTTAAGCCGCTGTTAGGGATGCCTATATCCTTTATGTTCCATACTCACGGTTTCGGTATATTTGAACTGTTTTATTTTGCGCTCTCTTTCCTGTGCATGGGTCATATTTCGTATGACCTGCTAGCATTCTGATTGGCTCCTATCTCTTTAAATGTACTAATTATTTCTTGCCTTTCAAGCTTACTATAAACTCTATAAATAGGGTCCGTTTCACTAATAAACGTTTTCAGTCTGACATATTATAAACTCAGCTGACTTCCAGTCTTTTGATTTCTCTTTATGAACCACTCAGGTTGAAACGCCTCAATCATCGACTGACTATCAATCGTTAAGTATAATCGTTTGTTCTCACAACTCTGTATAATAACAGCCACCTTGTTATTTGTTCAAACAGTGCAATTCAAAAGGTCATGCCAGAAGTGGATGATTACAGTTCAATTAGCATTTAAGGTGATTGAAATTCTAAATAAACTACAGAATGATAGTTTCAGAAAACAACCAAACATATGTTCAGTTCGATAGGGTTACTTGACTAGTGTTCATTTATAGTGAAAACTAAATCCTGAAGAAATTTTCTCCTTAATGCAGAGCAGATGAATATATGTATACAATTACGAGTTAGTTTTCCCAAAGTAGTAAAATCTGACTTCTTTACATTAGACTGAATACTCCTTTGATAAATTAGATTCAATTTTTCAAAATATTTCTCCAAATTAATTATACACACCACAATATAAATATTCGTAAGTGTATTTTATAAACTATCAAAGTGGACACGTGATTGGAAAAAAACAATAGTTTAAAGTTAAAAATTAATTGATTTCTGGTGAATATACTTACTTATGTTTAAAATGAAACAGACATAAATAAATTGAACAGTTGGTTTAAAAATTAAACTGACATAGAACAGATAACTTTTTTAAACACGTGTCACCTAATTCACAGTTGAACATAGATGACAGAAATGTATAACTCATTGATGTAATCATGATAAAGTTGACCAAAAAGAGAATTATTTCAAGTTGTTATTCATCGTAGACTGACATCAGTTGGAGGGACAAAGGAAACGTGGGAGCACTGGACAGCTGTTTCGTCCGACTAGTATGGGACTCCTCAGCAGTGCGCACCCACGACCCCGCGACCTTCAGGTCCGCGGCCAGAGCGTTACCATTGAGCTAGCCACTGGGTCACAATCCAATGGTCCATATTTCCAACTTCTGTTAGCTCACTGATGTCAGTTTACGATGAATAACAACTTGAAATATTTCCAAATCTCCATAACTCCTTCAAAAAAAAGAATTATCCATTTTGACTATCTGAGTTAACCATAGTTTAGGAGACTAGTGTATTGATGTTGGGTGATGATTAAAGGTAGAATGAAAATTTAGAGACTACGACAGGATTCGTACCAGTGGGTATCACACTGAGTTTCCAGCTTGGTGATCTACCAACCGAGCTACGAGCCCTGACTGTTGATCAGATTTTTATTTCACTTCAATTATCAAGGGTTTTGCCCAACTACCATATGAGCTTGTGACGCGTTACTACCGCTTGATTGTACTCACACTGACTACCCCAGTCAGGATAAAAAAAAGAGAATTAACTAATAAGTGAATGCAAGACTTATCTATGCAACATTTAAAAAGTTTAAAAAGATATTTTCAAATCATTGATGGTTTCAAAGTCGGAAGGTTGTATAACAAGAAGAGTATGGAGTACTTTATTATTAAGTGTTTCCGGTTTTACAAGGTATAAATTTAAAAAAATGGATAAATATCTACCAAATTTATAAACCTGAAGTTGTGCATACCATAATTTTATACTTGGAATCACTCATCAATAACTCTGGTGAATCTTCACATGGTTGTACAAGATTCGGTGCAAATACAAGTGCTAAATTGTAAGCTGTCATCTTATTCACCGCTTCACGAGCACTAACACGAGCTAAATGTGTAGCCAGATAACGCAGAGTAGCACGATGTGCTCTGTATTCTGGATGACATGGATAGCATTCCATTATGCTTAACAGACGTTGAATGGATAAAAGACGCTTTTCACGTTGTGGTAGACGACATGCAGCCAAAAAATCTGGATACATTACTAGATGAATTCAATAAAGCAACAGGGGGAAAAAAATACGTAAGGTGAAATGTTCTCCTAACACAGCTTAAAAATAATGTTTGTGCAACAAAAAGGCTAACTTTAATAGTCAGAGAAGTGAATATAAAGAAATTACTGTTATCGAAATTCTACGATAATACTGCAGAACAAAGAAGATTGATTTTTAAAAATAACGTTGCGAAACAAAGTAACCTAATAGTTGTATGCAAATTATTAGTAAATACTAAGTGAGAATTAATGACATCACCTAATTGTATCTAGCCTTGTGATGCAACTCTGAATTGGTAAGATGAGGTGCAAAGTCAGCTGTCTATAGTCATAGTCTGATTATAATCCTTCTGACTTGACAGGTAGTTGGGTGCATCTTGAAAACAAGTATTCTCTTAACTTCATGCAAAAGTGAAATTCCAAATTATTTCATTAATCGAAATGCACTCAGCAACCATGTGCACATCTGTGCAGTAGACAATAAGCTAGTCCTTTTGTTTTAAGGCAAATGACACCACCTAGGTGCTTAAACCACGGTAGGCAAGGCAGAGTTTAAACTCATGAATCATCGGTTAGAAGTCGAGTGTCTGGACCAATAAGCCTCAGTCAACACTGTAACTAACATTACATTAGTTACTCTTCAACGACAAACAAATATACACGTGGTTCATCTTTATAGACTGAAAACTACAGATAAACTAGTGCAAAGGATTATGATAGAAATTAAAAATTCATTGCGTCAGTGTTAGCGAATTCAACAATACTCTAAAAAAAGAAATCAGCAGTTTTCATTACAACTTGATTCGAAATTGAAATGCACCCAGTCATCCTGTGCACATTCGTGCAGTAAACAATGATCCACAGCCATTGTGCAAGGAGTAGTCATACTACCTGGCTACCAAAACCTCAGTAGATGGAGCACAGCTCAAACCCGTGACCCACCGATTAAACCAATGAGCCAGTGTAATCCACTTCAAATACCCTAGGGTTGTTCAGACGGTTACTAGTAACTCAAAATATCCACCTATGATGGATATTGACTATCAGTGTATTGCTGAAAAACAAATGGTAAGCAATACCTATAAACAAATCGTATCCCAGTGATTAGTTTAAAAGAGTCTGTATATTACTACTTCTTACAGTAATCATCTAAAATTTATATTTCATGTTACAAAAAATTTATCATGGCACCAAAAATCACAATATTTGTCTAAATTGAAAACAATGATATACACTAGAAATAGGTAATAAATATGATTTGTATATGGTATGTATGTTATGTAAATAGTGTTATAAAAGGCTCACCTTTAGGAAAAAGTGAATCTGGTAGATTACGTAGAAATGTTTTCAATACTCCGCAAACAGCATGTAGTCATTCCACTTATCCGACATTACATCAACGGTGGTAATATCCTTAAAAAAAGAAAAAAAAATTTCATACATTCTGGGTAGACATTACTCATTTGAATAAGTGGCTATTTGATAATACGATTAGAATGGAAAAAGCAAGTACCATGGTTGATGGGAATTCGTGATACGGCTATGCATATTTTTATTCCTTGTTGAACTACACAATGAGATTGGAAAATAATTTCCCTCACGGATTAATATTGTTAGAGAGGTCAAACTATCTCATAGAAACTTCGAGAAATACAAGTGAGATGGATGCTCACTATCGATAGTGGATGATGGTCACACTTCATCGCGAATGAATAGAAGTAGGAATCAAGGGACTATTCGATACCAACCCAGAGGGTGAGTGGTAACGTGAACATCATCAAACCCGACTGTCCTTGATTCGATCTTTCAAGGTGTTGTGGGTGTGAACTACTGAGGAGTTCGAAACTAGGTTAAAACAACCTCTTATTGCCTCCAGGTTTTCAACGATGAGTTGAACTGAACACTACAAATCGAGCTAAAAGATCAAAAAGTCTTCCAAAAGAAACCAGATGTCTAAAAATACACGGGTATTTTCAATCATAAGGGAGTCATAAACCAATAAAATCTGCTACTATACTGACCTATAAATTAATACCACTGAACAATTGAATGGTCGTTTGTTAATTCATTGGCATCTGTAAAGATAGTGATTCCAGATGGCTCCCACCATAATGAGCAGCGAAAGAAGCTTAAACGTATATTAACTAAGAGTCTTCACAATGACTGCCAACAGTAGTGGGTGGCGAAAGCATCAGAATTAGGCAATACACAACAACTACATGGGCTTATTAAGGATGACAGATTTAAAACAATGGTTAGTTAAACCACAACCTAAAAGGATAGGACGTCCATAATGACTCAGGACAGGCAGCTAGAACGTTGGGCAGAACGCTTTGAAGCATAGTCCAACTGGCGCTCAGCAACGCTTCAGTTGCCCAACATTCAGCCTGAAACTGGATGGGATGTACAGGTCGGTCCTTCCACTTTCTTGAAGTTAAGAAAGCTGTGTCGAACCTGAAACGAAACAAAGTAGCAGAAGCCGACAGTTTGCCACGTGATTTTTTCAAGGACGGATGTAAGAAATCACTAATTAAAGTAATGGAGGTACTAGCTAGTGTATGAAAATCAGAGGCAGTGCTACCAGACTGATCTACTTCACTGATCATCCCAGTCTACAAGAAGGGGGAAAGGCCTTCCTATGACAACCATACGGGAAATTAGTTTGACTAATATTATGTCCAAGATCCTAGAATCCATAGTTATACGATGCTTAACTGGAGTTCGAGAACGGCAAACTTGAGAAAACCAGGTGATTTCCAGACATGGAGGAGGGTGCATCGACCAAATCATCACTCCTTGTCAGTTCTTGGAATATAGGCATACCTGCCACTAGTCGACACGCACCATATTTCTTGACCTGGAGGCAGCATTCGACTCAGTTGATCTTGAGGTGTTGCGGTAGTGTCTGATTGTGAAGGGAGTACCGAGGAAGTATACAACGCTAATCAAAGCTCTCTACTCAAGCTCATGCCACCGCGTAAGGGCTTACGAAGAGTTCTCATGTGAATTGATGATAACTGGTTGTGTCCACCTCGGATGCCTACCATCACTGTCCCTACTTATTTTGCTAAAGATGCATGAACAGACTTCACAGGGATTGATCAGCTCCCTGGAGGCTCTCTGGTTGACTTGCAGTGCAGTATGCAGACACTGTCCCGCTAAGTGAAGAGGCTGGCAAAATCCAGGGTTTTCTGGACGTTTTAAGCGCAAGTTTATGTTTTGGCGAGCGTTTCGCATCTTTTAAGTGTAAGATGATGCTCCAGGACTGGTCTGCAGCTACTCCTAGGTTAAGAATATTGGGTGAAGTGGTGGGATGTGTCGATCATTTCACTTACTTGAGGAGTTGCATCAGTTCGAATGGGATGGTTACTGACGAGATCTCAGCTCAGATACAAAAGGACCGTTGGCATTTGCTAACTTGTGTCATCTGTGGCGATGACTGGCGAGATACCTGACTATCCTGTCAAAGGATGAATGTACTGTACTGCAGTTTATCCTGTCCAGGTATACGGCTGAGACATGGCCGCTAAAAGTAGGTTTGAAATCGTTACAGGTTTTAGACCATAGTTGTTTTCGCAGCAGTACTCATGTTTGGTGGATGCACCACGTGAGCAATGTAGAGGTTAGGTAAAAGTTACTATGCAAAGCAGGTAAGTCGGTTGATGAACCTTCAGGATCTAAGGTCACTCGGGAATGTGTTCCGCATGCCAATCCACCTCCTACCTCGACGTGTAATGCAAGAAGGCAGATGGATTTGCAAGTAAGCTAAGGATGATCAGATTAAGACATGGCACTGCTCTGCATGAAGTCTCTAACTGTTGGTCTAAGCCATGTAGGGAGGTGTAGACTGCCTGGTTGGAGTGATCGAGATAGTGGGAATCAATGATTGAAAATTCTTGGTAACATGGTTGGAAACCGGTTACAATGGTGCAGATGTATTCACTCCTTGACATCTAAAGCTTGATTATTTGTACTGATATTTATCTTCGAATCCCTTCTCCACTCAAATGCGATTGTATGGGTTCATATCGGACTTTTTCTATCCCTTTATTCTTTGTAAACTGCTGTGAAATGTGGCAACTTTAACCGATCCACTTCTATGGGATGTTTTGCGTTGGTCCTCTGTCTCTGTCTGACTTTAACCATCATGCCATATAAAAAAATGTATTTACGGCATGCAGAGTTACAAAGCTTACTAAAGATACTTTTACTAGAACTTGCTCAACAATTGATTTCAGTGAAAAGGGTATTCCTATGATTAGTCAGAGGAATCCCCTCTTCGATTTCCTGAAAATTCGATGCTTAGTCCTTGAGGTCTTGGAGGTGTAGGGTGAGAACAGGCTGAAAAACTGGTCCCCCACTTGAGGGTTGTCTGTGCATAGTTTGACTGTAAAGTGCAGTCAAGACATGATGTAATGGTGAAACCCGTCCCTCTTTTTAATCTGTTTACATAACCTCAGATTGCAGTTCCGATACAGAGAAGGAATGAGTTGTGACAAACTGTTTAGTCTCCTGCTTAAAGTCAAAAATTTAGATGTGACTGTCGTAGAGCGCTATTTTAGGATACAAGTAGGTAGGTTAAGTCAAGCGACAAGGCACTTAGGTGGTAATTTCGGAAAATTTAACCGAAACTAGTGGGTAATGGTGAACATCACGTACAACTATACTCAGACAGTAAGCTACTTCTGGTCACAACGAACTTCCGACACAAGGAGACATATCGTCTGATGTGGTAACCATTAGCCACAAACCAAACGGATGCGCATAGATATACCAATGTAATAACCGGATCTTTTGGATTATGTGTTTGATTAGTAATCATGCGCTGGTTTGAATTCACTTATCTCCACCTAAATAGACTTTAAAAACTGCAGTTGAAAGACCATTCCGAGAGCAGACCTAACATGAGAAAACTGAGTCTACTTTCAATATGGAACTGACTAGATACTGGAATAAGACATAGGACATAAGAAACCTGACACCATATCCAGTCTGCCGTAAAGGCAACGTTAAAAGTAATGAGTGATCCTGAGGAAGAGGTCAAAAATAGTCAGGTAGATCTCAGTAGCTTTTTCTGTATTAGCGGATGCACGTGAACGCATTGATGCAGGGTTCCAGCACAGTGAGAGGCAGGAGTAACTCCAATATTATAAAACTGACAAAACGTTTACGCAATGACCGAGAGCTGTGGTGCGCAGAGAAGACTAAAGATATGAGAAAGCGCAGCAGCGATAGGTAACACCAGACAGTTATTTAGACATATTAAGGAAACTGTGGTGAAAATTTCAGCTGTTAGTAAGACTATAATTGAGAAAGATGAGACTATGATTCACCAGCAGGGCAGGCGACCGCGACAATGGGTAGAACACTTTGGGTAACAGTACAGCTGGCCTTCAGCTACTACTTCATCGCTCATCATACAGTCGGATCGAGGAAGGACCCATAACACTTGCAGAAGTCGACGAAGCAATGAGCAAACTAAAACGGGGAACTGCAGCAGGACCAGAGTGATTGCTACCAGAAGTATTTAAGGACAGCAGAGGATGATTAGATGTTTGATCAAGCGAATTTTCGGTTACGGTCCGGCAATCAGTTACAATCCTCACAAGGAAAGAGAGAAATCCTTTTATGATAACCACAGGTGAATGTAGAAGAGGAAAGTTAGTCGCTGATTCCGTGAATCTTCAAAAACTCAGGTGACTGAGACATGTGCTACGCATGCCCGGCCGCCGTCTGCCACGTTGCATAATGTTGACCGAGGTAGGCCAAGGCTGGAAAAATGTGAGGGGCGGTCAGACTAAAACATGGCATCAGTACATAAAGTCTCCAACCATTGGTCTGATCCGTGTAGGGAGATGTAGATTTCACGGTTGATGTCCATGTGATAAACGAAATCAGTGGTCGCAAAATGTGAGTGGTATGTCTCAGAATCGAAGTCAGCAGTAAAAATGCATCCAAACATTATCTTTATCTCAATCGTCATACTAAATATCACTATTGTTCCACTCCCTCTTGCTTTTTTTTTAACTTCTTACATATCAAATTACTTTCTTTAGTCCTCTAACTTTCATCTGTGTCTTCACTATTTGGTTATGTTGGTACAAAATGTATCAATTTGGACTGTTACGCATTAATGTCAGGTTCCATGTTGGTGTTAACTGACCAATAGGGTAAGTCTCTGGAAATTAAATACATTGAATAACCTCTCTAAAAAGACTTTTTCTAGAACCTTATCTATAGCTGTAAACTGATGGTTGGTATTTAATCTGAATACACCAGGTTGTAACATCTCAGTGATATACCCTATGAAGGCGATGAGTTTTAATCCCAAAGAGCCTAGGATATTTCGTTTGGGTGACTGATGATTTCTATTCAGTGTCAAATTTGCATGTGTCATCTTAAATAACATGAAGAAACATTTGGTAGACAACTTACTCTACTCAATTCAGAAGTTATAAAGTCATGGGCTACTTTACTTCCAGAAAGCCGATAGATACCAATACAATTGAGACCATACCGCTCGACAAGAGTTACACACAACTCAACCACGAATGGAACAAACTGTGATAAAAAGAAAAAAAAACTGTTAAGTAAAATTAAAACAAAATTTTGCTCGTTTTGAAGATAATTCACTGAAATTTCCAGGAAATTAATGGTAGGTTTGATGTGCTAAACACATGTTTCGTTACGACGTTTTAATACACTTCCTGTTATTATTGTATAACAGTTCAATATGCCATATATTACGTCAGCACATCAAAATACAAGACAGTTGGACAAAAGATAAAAAAGGGTTAAAGACATAATCGAATCTTACGAAAAGACATAAAATGAAGCAAGTAACGAAAAGTGATAGCACTGTTAAGATGAAGAATAAGTACTGATATAAGTGAGCCACTGTGATGGATACTGAACCTTGATACTAAGCGTCACTAATCAGTCGTTTCGACCGGCATATCGACATCAACTTCGAAGCCTATATTTCACTGCAAGGCTAAGATCATATTTGAAGGATTGCATGAGTAAATGGAATGTTTCAGTCACGCTAACCTTAACTTTGATTCAACTCAAAAGACACTTTTGCTAACATTGTTATGCGTCAGAGTTCTCTACGGGTTTCGATGAAGTCATTCAAAGGAAGTAAGATCAAGACATTTGAGTACAGCTGAAGCGCTAGCCATCCAGAAGTTCAAACCAAGCACTACGTGTTCAAAAAGGAGTATGTTCAACTCCTGTCTTTGTCATTTTTTATTGTCTCAACCCTTTGTTTATTGTCCTACTCTAATCCTCATTTGTATTGCCTAACTTCCTTTAGTTATTCAATACATTTTAACTGGAAATAATTCTGAAATTTTCTTCCCACAGTAACGTATAATATTCATGAATGTATAGCTTAGTAAATGAACTTGTCGAAACGAAAAAAAATTCTGTTCGCTGAAACTGTACTTTTTATCTTATCTTATCCTAGGATCCTATGGAATCGTTTATAAGAACAACTATGTCAAGAACAGTAGACTTAGATTTGTTCCTACATCTCTGAAAAAAAAATCGTCTGCATCACAGCATCCTTTGGTAAATCAAAGCCCGTGTATAACAGACAAAAGGAACTTGGGTAAACTCAATTTTTTAACCTAAAAATCCCTGATTATTCGCGCTTAACTTCAGCAAAATCACAAAAACACCCAGTGAGTTCAGTGATCTTCTGGAACATTATCTTTATAATTAAGGCAAGATAATCAAATCTGACCATCCATATACTATTCAATAATTAACCTGACTAGTTATTAAGTGGTTTTCAGTGTATCTACTAAACTTGTGAAAGTTAAACATCACCTGACAGTTTTGTGATCAATGTTCTTTGACTTTGGATAAACTTACAATTCTTTTAGAATTGGGTAGATATTAAGTAGTAATTCAAACAAATTCCTGCAGATGTATGTGGCACTTGAGATTAGATACTCAAGCTATGTGTGATACTGTTTAGTAAACTGTGAGTCATGCCTATTATGCAAAGAAGGGTGATATTCCTTGAGTACATGAAGTAGAAATTGAGTTTACAAATGCTTTCTATAGTAAATAAATCAGACAAATTTAGTACAAATTGAGATGACTTACTGGAGATAGTGTACTTCTGGGACACTTATGTAGTGGTAGAGGACCACAAACATGTAAAGGTAGTGGTATGAAGTGATGTCTGGATTTTTCAGATTGCATAAATTTAATTCTATTTTTATCTACATCACCATCTGATACCATCTCTTGGGTATTTTCGGATATAAGAACAGTAAGTTGACTAGTTGCTTTATACTCCCATTTCGATTGTTGACTGGATGTCATACCTGCATTTTGTTGATGATATATGTCATTGTTTGAATGTTCTTGGGATTCTTCCATTAGATCTATAAAAAAAGACGAAAATTACCATTAAAAATAGGTAATATCTCAGTCTGGTAGAATAAAAGGTACTATTGATAAAATTCAACAGATGGCTCTCTTCAACACTTCAGTTGTGGTGTACCCTTTGAATTCCGAATTCATGATTAAAATTTCTTTAGAAACTGAAATAGGGTGAGGGATAATTCGTTTTTTAAAGTTGTTATCAATAAGTTTTCAAAGGTATCCATTATTCAATAGTGTTGTTCTAAGAGTTTCAATTTTAACATCCACCGTGTCTTCCGAGCAGATTTTAGGGACTCTGGAATACAGCGAGTGAATGAGAAGTGTTGAAGAACCGTTTGTCAAATTGTGTCAATAGTATGTTTTATTCTGCTAGACTGAGATCGATATTTTCGGTTTGTTGTCCGATTCGACAATGCATGAAGGCTAGGCTACCGTATTATATGTCCACATCTATGTACATCTACAAATTCACATGCTCCTGTGGAGCTGACTACGTTGAACGTTATAAGCGGATCCTCCGAAAACGCATTGCTAAACATTACCCAGTTTAGCTTACCAAAGGTGAGAGAAGAAAAACAACTTTATCCATATGTGAACACGTAGTGGAGTTAGGTCATTTAGCTCCTTGAGGCTCATTCTTTAAGATAATTTACAAAGTTAAACTGAACTGCTCTAAACGGGTAAACTATTAAAATTAATTGCTAACATCTATAACTCGAAATATTTGTTGATTCATGAAATAAAGTTTATCTGTATGAGATAATCCAAAAAAAAGAAACTCCATATATGTTGTCAAATAACGAGAACTTTCAGTACAAGAAAACACGTGTACAAGGTTGTTTACTTGTATCAATTAAGATGCAAATCATTTCAAAGGAAACTAGTCTAGTAAATAAAATAGCTTTCTTAGCAGTTAGCGTTCTGTAAACTGGATGGTGATAGAGATCTGCGAATTCATTTCCTTGGCTATTCTGACCCCAGAAAAAGCCTAAAAAGAGTTAAATGAATAATCAAGTGGTGTAATACATGAATGTAAAAAAAAATCAGTAGATACTCATATTTACTACATAACTTTAAAAGTAATTACAGGGAGCATATTTAACTACTTTGATGAATACAAAGAATTAACTAACCAGATGAATTGGAGTTGATGTTGACTGGCTCATTAGGTTCCACTGGCATACACGTCAGACAAGAAGTTTGTAACGATGGTGATGGGGAAACAGATGTGGCTAGTAACAACGCAAATGGACTATGATCAGATGACTGATATGTTATATTTGAACTATTTTCTAATTCGATTGAACAATTTATAGGTTCAGTAGAGGTTTTGACAGGGGAACTTATTAGGCTAGACTTGCTTTTCCCGAAACCATGTGATGAAGCAAATCTACGTGTTGTTACATTAGAGTTAGAACGACTAGTAGGATCACATGATGCTGTAGCTGCACGTCTCATTCGAGTAAGTGCTTGCTGCAAACGTCCACGACCTCGAGGATAAGAAGGTAGAAATCTAAGCTCTTTAGATTTATTGGATTGTGTTGTGGAATCAGGTGAATAAGATAACTTAGTTGTCAAAGCCTGATCACCTGTGAAAATAAAAGTCAAACAAAACAAATGATGTATTATGACATAAAATAATGAGTGAATTTGTTTGAACAGGAAAAACGCAAACAAACTAAACACAATAATGACCCAGTACTTATATGGTATGAAAGTATGGCTAAAAAAATCCTATTGAGCAGCGAACCAACGGCTACCAGCTATCTTTACTTTTCAAAGACCATACTTCATGATCGATACCAAAATGTGATAAATCACTGAGATAAAGAATGGAATTTTGGTGAGATAGCTCATGATCACTAAATGTCATAAATAATACCGGCGGAAAAATTTGTGGCATCCAAAGTTATATTTTACCGGTACTAAGTTCCAAAAAACTGGTGAAAATAATCCAATACGATAAGACTGATCCATAACTCTAAAGCTTAAATAGGTGACAAACGTGTAACATCAGATTCCTCTTGAAAGATCCAGGACAAACGCTAAGTACATAAAACTATTCCACTTAGAGAATTCCTAAAAGATGTACTTTGAAATGTCTCCTCAAAGTAAAGTATCATCGAAAACATGTTGAGTTTGTCGCACAATAACTTACAAAAAACACATATCTAGAAAAAATTAGAAAAATGCACTCAGCAACCTTGTTGACATTCGTGCAGTAGGCAATAAGCCACATTTATTGTGTGAGAGCTAATGATACTAATTGGCTGCTCAAACCTCGGTAGGTAGAGCGACGATCAAACCGTGACCCACTTGGTTGAAAGCTATCTCCCTGGACTAATATGAAAAATAAATTCAATAGCTTCACAAAAATTATGAAAAGTTGGTAAGTTGACTACATTGTCTTGTAGTAAACTTCAATAACAGTTACACATCACTAACTACTTGGCACCAAAATCTCTTTAAAAATGATAAGCATGTTTATGAACATTGGTGCTAGAAAACTCTCCTAATTAGATATATCACTGGAGTGAAACATCCGTCAGTATATATTTGGTCTATTAAACTTTCATACGACTTATGATGTAAACCTACGCGAATAAAAACATTACCTTTTGATTTGCTGACATCACCATTTCCTGCTGAAGTTGACGTTTGAGAAGTAGGAACTAAATGCAATGCACTCGGAAGGTTCACGTAATCAGTGAGCTGTAGACCGACGGATGCTGCTGCAGTTCCCATTGCTTTAAATAATGGTGTTACACCAGAAGGTCCAGCAAGACCAAGACTAGACCGTCCCGAGGGGAATTTAGAACGCGACCCATGCAATGGTAAAGCAGTTTGTGATGAAGGAGCGGTAGACTGTTTCTACAATTCGAAAATAATAACAAAACTAGCTTATGAAACTAAGAAATACTGAATGAAGGAATTGAAAACTATGAGCGAAGACCCAGGGAAATGCAAATATGCAGGACTAGAAGGATAAGAAGTTTACTGGGTGTAACCAGAAAAGAATTAATACATATACGTTACTGACACCAATTTTAAGCTACGACAACAATCAGAAAGCACACATTTGTACACACATCTAAGATCAATATTTGAAAAATCCACGGACTAGTGCTCCTTTTTTCCTCTTTCCAGCAACAGCTCGATGAGGACATTTGATGCTGAATTTCAACCTGAACATAACTACCTACCGAAAATAACACCTGCTGTGTGACACCAATAACTGTTGAACTGCTCCCAATCTTTCGTGGTTTCTTGAACATCTTCACAATTAACTCACCTACTGGTCAGGATTCTTCCATCAACAAACCGTCTAAATTTTCCCAACTGTTATAGTAGCAGAGATATTCTGAACAAATGATAAAATCAGAGATAAGTTTACCTACTGGTTCGGAAGGCGACCTACCTGCAGTAGCCCTATATTACGTGTTTTCTAGTACTCTGCATCAAGTGACCTTTTCAAATGGAAGTCACTATGCACCAGATACACTTCTTGAATGATGCTGCTTACATTAATACGAAAGGTGTCTGAAGTCCATTTGGACGATTACTCTTTCAATGTCTATTTCCATGCACGACAACAAGTATTCCCAATGGTATTGATCTATATTACATTTAAGTATAACACGGCGAACTGGAAATCCATTGATTTATACATTCACCTTAGTTATATAACTGTGGATACTTACTGATACTCCAGATCCTATACATGAGTCCTTTGTGGTTAGTAAAGCTAAAAACTGAAGAACTTTCCAATAAATAGACGGTTTTATTACTGAATAACAAACTATGCAAATAGACTAACAATGTCGGCTAGTAATAAAGCAAACTCCGAACAATGTGCGCTTTTGGTTCTAATAATGGAACCCATCTATGTAATGGGAGACGGTAAATTCATGCCCATCTCATGAATTGTGGCAAGTTTTAATGTGATTATGCACATCAATGACTTGGTATGTGGATTATTTAATATCAAATATTATTTTGTAAACTTCCAAGAACTATCAGCTCGATGATGCCTGTAAACTGGTACATACATATTGAATTCAAAGTATCAAACATCGCATGACGTTAGAGTTATAAACTCAAATACAGAATGTTGCATTCATCTCAGTAAGAATGAGAGTAACAACCACTCAATCACAAATTTCTCTAACGTATCTATCTTTTGTTCGCATACGTTGACATTCTGACTAGGCTGTTTACGCTTTCAAGGTCTTGTACATGCTCAGTATATGTTGCCAAAAGCGATATAACTATGTATGGGGCTACCAATCTACTTTAGTCCTCTCTCTGAATCGACTGTTGTGACGTTAATGGTAGTAGGGTTAACTTGCACACAGTAACTCGAGACAGTTACAGTAGTTAGGACCAGTGTTGGGCATTTCCTTCAGTCCGTTAATCATAGGACAACAAAAGAAAACCCAAATCGAGGTTAAGACCGGTAGCAACGGTTAGACGGCCAAGTCAGGAACATAACGATCGACTCAACTGTTCATAGATCTATCTCCAACATCAGCACGGTTACTGTCGTGTCTCATGCAAATAATAACTAAGACGCCAAGAAAAAAATACCAGAGATGAAAATCGAATATCTGCATCTACATTAATCATACTGGCAACTGATGTGAGAATATTAATTTCAACTGGTTTTGATCGAAAAAGACATGGGACGGAAAACACTATGGATCAGTGAGACATGTCCCAGATAATCTCTCATGATGACTGCAACGTTGGATAAAACTATTCCAGAAACATTTCAACTGACCTACAACTGTGATCACTTGCCTATCTTCTAGCCTCAGTTGAAAACAATATGCAGATATTGATCATGGAACATTCATTAAAATTCAGAAGGATGTTTATATCAGAAATCGAGTGAAGTGGTATGGTCTATTGGTTGGATGCCAGAAGCTTCAGTGAATGATGGTCAGGAATTACTGGTTAGAATGATTGAAGTAATAGCTAATGTGCAAGAAATAGTTTCACCTGACTAGTTCAGATGGCTAATCATTTAACTTCATTAAAACAATTCTTTCTCGATAACCACAGCAGGATCAACCTGGTTCACATAATACCTAAGATGTTAAGAAATATGATCAGTCTGATATTTAACTAGAACTTGGGGTCAACAAACTTGAAGAAACCAGAAGGTTTTCAGACATAATCAAGGGTACATAGACAAAATTTTCACCTTTCAAAAAGTTTTAGGTCATGTGTATACTAACCAGCATCCAATAATCGCAACATTTTTTGAATTAAAAGCACTATACGAATTTATCGATGGAGGGGTGGTATTGTATTGCCAAACTGCTAATAAAGTGTAAACCGCCTGAAAACTCTTACATGTGTGTAAAGTTGTAATGATTCCATTTAGTTACTTTTTAGTATCCATCACAATATGTCTTTTTGGAATGATCTTCTTGGAATTAGATCACTTACATTCTGATATGTGCTAAGCAATATCTTGGCCTGAGAACTGACAACCTCTGTCACTTCAAAATAGCATTGGTCACAATAAATGATGTTGATTCCAAATTCCTGGATCAAAACGGCACTATGGAAGGTTTCACACTGATCTCTCAATCTGATTTATAAAGTGACTGAAATACGCAATCGCTACTTCTAAGAGTTAGAATCCATGTGTTACTTGGGTCAGTTGTAGTTCAGAAATACCTAGGAAATTGCAGTGACTTAATGATACGTTACTGATACACTGATACAAAGAAAAGTAATGAAAAGACTGATTTCATAAAACTTGAAACACCATAAAGGATTTCAAGATTAAACGAAGCACCAGAAAAGAAAGAGGTGAGAAATAGAGGTGATTACATGGTTGATTGAGTTGAATAAAAGTGAATACGAAGTACGATTATCCTACAGATGTGAAGCAGAATGATACTTTCTTAGCTTGCTGTGAATATTACTAGCAAAGTAAGAATGCTGCACGATACGAGGTTATGAATTTAAAATAACTAATGGGAATGATTACCTCCTTTGAGTCTTTACGGGCCTTTTGAGGTCCGAAATGATCAAAGATACAACAGGCTGTTTGACGATCTGGAAAATGTAAACAACACGTCAAGTTCAATTTTGAACTGTTTAGCACACCGATAACTCCAGTTTTGGGATTACAATGAGATGAAGATGGACATGTAAAGCCAGGTAATTCAGTAAGTGAATGCCAAACTATACTTTCTCCAGATAGCGGAATATGAACATGATCTAAATTATCACTAGGGTCAACCTGAAAAGCAAGAAAGTAATTCAAGTACACAGCCATATAGGAAAAAGAATTGAATGCATTGTGAAGGTCTTTTTACGAAAAATAAATTCTCTGGATTCATCCTGAAGACAAATTCAGCTGACGGTATAGCATAAATTCACATTCATTTCTCTTCTAACAAAAGTTGAGAAGTATCAGCGACCAGTAACACAAGTTGATTTATGCGACAGTTCTGAGTAGTGATTAGTCATGAAATCCAAAACAATCCAAGATTTCTGCTCAAACAAGATATATTCTATGGATGTGTGTGGATTACTGTGAATAATGATTTTCTAAGTAAAGTCTGTTTTTAGTTGAAAACACAAGCAACTCAGCGATGGGATTCATTTTCAACAAATTCACTATCAGGTTATACATTCAGATACATAGAACATCTGAGTTTTGATCATTGGTGTCTTTATAGTATTGCTCGGGTTTGGTGGAATCAAAGTGGGAGCAGTGTGGAAGTCAGGCGAAGGAAGCTAGGCAAAACAGGCAAGTCAATTGATGAAGTTGTGAACCTTCATCGACTGAGAAGGGCATGCCAAGCCATGGTCTACCTCGACGTGTCATGCTATGGGAAGCTGAATTACATCTGAAGAGGATTTAGAGTGGCCAGATCAAGGCCTGGGGCCACTGTATGAAGTCGCTGACTGTTGGTATGAGCCGTGTGGGGGAAAAGTAGACAATCTGATAGGGGTTCTCGATATGATAGGAATCAGTGGTTGAGAACTCTTAGTGAAATGGTTGGAAATAGGTCACAATGAAGCAGATGTATTTACTCCTTGGCGTTTTCTTCGCACTAACCTCTATCTTCAAATTGCTTATTGTTTCGCACAACTTTGCCTACTTTGATATTAGTCGTTTACTACCTACCTGTCCTTTGTATACTTGAACCAATGGACTTGTATGAGACATTTTACGTTGATTCTGTTTGTTTGGGGAAAAAATCGCTGATTTATTAAGGTGAATGACAGTTGTTGGGAGAATGTGGAACACTACCTAGGTCGTCAGCCTCATAGAAAATGATGTACTATCCATGTTCGGGCTGGAAAACCTGAGTAGTCTAAATGAGGATCCCATTGCAAACACATCCTTCTTTCTCTCTCTCTCTCTCCATATATATATGTATATAAGATATCCACTAAATATACCTAACGCATAATCAGTCCTAACATTTCAACTAATCATTGAGTAACAAGATTATATTTTACATTACTATAAATGAGTCCTATAATTTCATATGCAATATAAAAAGGTTAACAATTTTATTCTTGCGGTAAGTTGTACCGAAGAAATTAATTTGCCATGAAATAAATACCAAGTTTTGTTTTAACTATGCTGTTTCATATCTGTCTATCTACACATGAGGTCAGTGAAAAGTAATAAATGAATACATAGTGAAAAATGAATTTGTAGTTAACATAGTAAAAAGAGTGGGTAGAGAAACTGAGAGGGTGAATTGAAAATTACCTGACTTAAATCTTTTTCTCGTGTTAAAACCAAAGTCTGACCTGATAGTACCATATGGTAATTGTACCATAGTAATGATTTTTTGAAATCCTGAATATTTAAGAAAAAGAATTCAACAAAAAAAGACTTTATGATATATTAACGACTAATTTACAAAACAAGATTACATCAAAATAACTTTAGAGTTAACAAGTAAGGTTGAGAAGGAAAAAAAAATTGTCTTTAGGTTAAACGGAGTCAACTTTACGGCCTGTCTGAAATTTGTCTGCATTGAATTGTTCAATTATATCCTTTATTGGTATTAAATATTCTTATGCATTAATAAAAAAATTATTTCAAACCTATTGCTCTGCAAGTTGAGAGAAAAATTAAGAAAAAGGATTATGGTGGATGGCAACAGGCTCTAAAACATACAGCCAAAGATCAAATAACTAGTCCAGAAATGTTAAGCACAAACTGCAGAGAAATGTTGATTACCTTCAGTCGCTTTTATTCACATATATTAGTTGTGATACGGGTGCATTAAGACTGCAAGAAACACGGCTTCATAGTGATTTAGTTTATCTAAATGGTTTCAATTTATCTTGACAAGATCAATGCATTTCCAAGAAAAAGTGTGGATAAAATTGACTATATTAGTATAAAATGTTATCCTAACCATCTAAGTAAATACAAACATGTTTACATAATATTTGTCCCATCTGACTGTAGTTTCTCTGATTAATCAACTTTCGCTGGTGAATTCACTAAATTTGCTGCTCCAATTTCGGGTAACTCCCTGCCCATAGTCTGTGGAGATTTCCAACTCGTTTCGACAACACACTAGATTTAGTGTTCACAATTGACTCCGGTATGCATGAAGTCTACAAACGAACTCAGTTGCTAAATTCTAACCACTGTAATGTACGTGTTTTGCCCAAAGTGTATGTCATTTGGATACCTTTGCAAAAACGTCCAGCACACATACTATTCATTGATTGGTTATATTGTCTAGTCCTGACCGAATTCTATCAATCATTTTTGCAATATGGCCATCAAGCTAGGAGGCCTTCATAACGAGTGTCAAGAAACACAAAACCGAGGACCAAGGCTTACTGCCGATTGTCTCCAACCAACTACCACAGGTGCCATTTACAGAACAATGTACTTTGTTTGAGAAGTATGCCAAAAGAAGCAGACTGGGAAGTTTAAGATAGCACTATCACCAATATCCCAAGCTACCTCAGATTCTATCTTGATATATGCTGCCCTGGTAAAATAGTCTTAATGAGATCTCACAGACTCTCTTCTCCTCATCTTAAGAAGCACCGAAAAGAAAAGGTCAAGCAAAGTGAGAGATCACTCTAGCGTCAAAAACTTAACTGTATAATAAAGTCTGAAATACATCTGAATACATCGTAAAACCAGAAGTTACTGATGAGCGAGAACTCTTCCAATATGCATCGAAATTATTCGAAGAAGTTACTTGCTGAAAGACAGAGAACTCAAGTAGCCTGTTCTGATGTCGGTGCACTAAAAAAGTTATTTATACGTCGGGAAGCTGACTTCATCCTTCCTAGTGTTGATAGTAAAACGGACAGTTGGTTTTAAGACAAACGATATTTTTAAATGTTCCAAATCCTTGAATCCATCCCCAAACCTTAGCAATGATAGTGTCTAAGTATTATAATTCGAAAATGTGCATATATATATCTTCAGTGAGAAACTGGTCGAATTCTGAAAGAACGGAACATCTCTCAACTAGAAGTAGTTTGCCTCATCGCGCAATATTAGCTGAGGAAGTTTAGGTTGAAGTAAGGCTCGGTGCGGCCAGACTAAAGCATAACATCACTGCATGAAATTTTTGACCGTAGGGTTGAGCCATGTAAGAAAATGTAGACTAGCCGGCTGGAGTCTGTATCACATCAGTAACCAAGGGTTGAAGACTAGGTAGCATGGTCCAGGATAGATTTCAGAGGCGCAGATGTTTTATTATTTATCCCTTGGGTTCCTAGTGAAACATAGGGCTTCAGTAGCACGTCACCATTTCACTCCACCTCTGCAGTCTCTTCAACTTGGCTCCACCACTGCCCATAAGCTTTCATTTTTCCTCACACCATCTCCATGTCACCCTCGCCTCGCTTCGGACATCCAACTCGTCGTTTCCTATTCGGCTTCCACTCAACTGCCTCGCCTGGCCTGGCGCGTGATGTCCACAAACCGTCTTCTCAGTGTATGCCCAATCCATCTCCACTTAATTCTTCTGCATATTTCTTGGGCGATGTGTTCTTGGTTAGTTCGTTGCCGATTACCTCCAACCAACTAACATCTACCATTCTGCACCGCGATGCTGAGCCTCCTAGCTTGGTGGCCACATTACAAAAATGACAGATAGAATCCGGTCAGGACTCTCAGGACTAGATAACATGAAATTGGTATGTATGTATGAAACTCAGTCCTAGAGGAGGTTAGTCGCGACCTGAATAACTCAGTGGTAATGTCGGTGACTGGGTGACGCGGGTCCCTGTCTTAGGCGAGACATTAGTTACAGATACGCCTTGGTGACGAATGCCAACAAGCAAAAAACCTAGGTCCAAGGTTTCCTGCTGATTGCTCCTAACCAACTAAAGAAAACTTAGTATTGTAGAAATACCCAGCAGTAGGGTTAGTGCTAACAGATACTCATCACTTGGGTGTATTTGTAACCATTAAGAAACTGAAACCCCACCTAAAATCCATATTGTTCAATATTGATATTGATGATGAGATATTTAAGCTAAGAAAAAAGAAAATATTCATTAACTTAAATGATTTATTCTCAATGGAATTTGGAACTGAATCTTTGCTACTCAGTAACTTAGAGTTTACGAACTAAAATGAAACACTTAACAACTGCAAACTTAATGTTTTCAAAGACTAAAACAGCTTAAAAATTTCAGCTACTTCCAGATCAACGCAGGTAAATGCCAGATTTAATTTATACAGAAGTCAAAAATAGGTACATGGTTTCTACAAATGAAAGGTAAATTTAAGCATAATTCACTAAGCGCGTTGATTGATATCACAATATAAAGTAACAGATAAAGTGGTTCGAATTAGTAGAGATAAGTAGGGAATAATAAACCGCTGGATTAACACAGCTTTCGGACAGGATTTCTATTGTAGGTGCACAATTTACAAATGTTAGAATGAAGAACCAACTAGGCCTTAATGATGTTGATGAGACTCACCTGTGTTTCTGAGTCATTCCAATTGATAGATGCAATTACAGCATGTGAAGGATATGAATTGTTAATTTGGATAGATTTCTTATCGTTCATATCCCTAATATGATCTGGAGAACAATCACATAGCAAACTTGAACGCCTAACAGATTCAACAGAGTGGTATCCATGAGATCGTAGATGTCCAACTTTAGGTGAACAAACAGAATCTTTATCCTCATCCGTAAGTGCACCTGTAGAGGCTGATGTTACAGAGCTAGTGTATCCAATCTGAAATAAAAGCGCACTTGCACTATAGAATAATATATAACTACAGATAATTAAAAATAGACTATCTGTCAATTATTCAGGTTTCAGTAGTGTATTTAGAACATGTGATTATAACTTTATCTTGTGTTAATATAATTAAAAAAGCATACTAAACACCTCTTAAACCTGTTTAGACATGAATTATTCTATTTTCCTAAAATACTAAAATATAAACTTTGGAACAATAAGAAAATTGTTCATGCATTTAGCGAATCACAGGAAATAAATAGAATGTGGGGCACCTTTTTATTGAATAATTGATAGTCCATAAAGGTACACACATCAGATACAGCTAAAATCATCGTTATGATGATCTAATCACTTTATTCTTATAAAAAAGAAGCTTTCTGGATGTAATTTAATAAAAATGTACAATTTTGAGTGCTACACTTCTCAACTAAACTAAACTATGTGAGGTGAGGATATCTAGATATCAAATCAAGCCAAATGTAGGTAAAATGTACATCTCTGAATTTACAATTAAGAAATGAGCTCCTAGACCATGGAGTCATAGCTAATTGAATTGAAGGAATAGTGACAGACAAAAACAACGTAGAACCTCACACAGAAGTGCATTAGTTCAATTTACTACACTTCACAGTAGTATGATAAGAATACTAATTCATGTAAGATAAGAGTTTAATTTCTGAGAAGACTGCAGTACAATCCGGTTCTTCTACCCACCGGAAAAAAAAGTTGATAAAACTCAATTTTTCAACTTAATAGCTGAACAATATCAAATGAATAAACAACGAATTAGGCTAGTTATAAAATATGGTTGAAATAAAAAAAATTTTTTTTAAAAATATGCAAGAACCCTTACAGAATCACCAAATATATGTCGAATACGTCGAAGATGTCTGACTGTTCGAGCTACCTGTGAACTTGGTGAGTTATGTAAGTTAAAGGGCTTCGGATGAGGTAGGTAGGAATCAGTGATAGAGCTAGGCAGAATAAAGAAAAACAGATGATTGTGAATGCATTCATGAAAATTATTTTGAGGCATATATGGTTGAAAACAGCACATGATACAACAAATAAAAAAAGAATTTAAATAGGACGAAGACAGTTTACGTATTGTTAAATGGTAGAGAAGTTTTATAAGTATGAAAACAACAACTTTCATCGTCTTAATTCCATTCTAAAACAGAGTTCAAAAAGTACCACATTTCATGTAATAATTTGAAATACTTAACCAGTAAATTTGACCACTTTATTCTGTCTGGCGGTCAAATGTAATCCAGATTAATTACTGCTTGGTTATCCTTTTACATGCTGCTGACACCTTTCTAGTTTGAATAGAGTTATTTTAATATTGTGTAACAGATTGACGAAACTATATGGCATTGCTAGGAATCCCTGGATTATGGAAATATACAAATTATATTTCTTGCTTTTTCTATGCAGGTCTTTAAACACCAGTTTTATTTATTAAGAATTCTAGTTATCACACTAAGTAATTCTTTATTATGCAAATGGTAGAGGTGGAGTTACGAGCAGGATAAGAAAAAAAAATAAACCCTTTTATTTGATAAATTGGATAATCGAAGTACACCTGACATAATTCAAGAGTACCTGGAACAATTGAAATTATGACGGGGATTATAATGTAGATCGATGTAAATGATGAGACTGCATTTTTCCTGATTTCCTTGGGGAATGAATAGTATTGCATTCTGAGGTATATATTTTTTTCGACAATTGCTAATTCTTAATCATGCAATGAAATGAAAAGCCTACTACATCGATAATTCTTACGAAGATAGTTAACCCACTGTAGAAACAATGAGAATTTTCGTAACTTACTTACAAGTTAAAGTCAGACGAAAATGTGGTGAAAAACAATTTGAAACTTCAACCAAATTCTAATTAGATTATTACAGTTCGAACACCTTCATAAAATGCAGCAATCGCTTCAATGATTACCAAAAACATCTCAAACATTCATCAATTGACGGTGGTCGAGAATTATTCTCTTGATGAACGAAATGAGAATGCGTAATTAAGTGTACAGAAGTCTACCTATCTAAATATCCTCTACGTGCATAAAAATTTTCAGAATGTACAGGTTATTTGGGCTGATTCATGATTGAGAGTCGGAAATTTGCAAGTGTACGGCAAGAAAAGAGACGGAAGATTCAACTGGTAATATCCATAAATAAAATCAGAGAATCGAAGAGTTTATGGCACAGAGAAACACGAGATATCGTATTTTATCGAGCAAAATTCAGAAACATCAGTAATCCTCGCACAACAAATCAAGAGCTAAAACTATTACGAAAAGTAGTCATCATGAACGTTCATCCTTCATATTAAAACAACACTATTGTTTTAAATATTGGATTCGTAAGAGATACTCAAGAGTCAGTTGTATGAAAGACAAGAAAAAAAATTCTTTTCGTTTAAGCTTTGATTTGTCTTCTCTAGCCAGTTATCAATTTGATGTTGTGCAAAGGGTATATTACATTTCTCAGTCACCTCTATTTATGTCTACCGATTTGCCCGCTCTTATGGAGATGATAGATAATGATGGGCACAAAAGGTGTACTTTACCCAAATATATCTCCAAGTATTATCCTATCCAGCTATCTAGACACAAGAATTGAAGCGAAAGAAAGTTTCACTGAGTGATCTGTGGTCTTCATACCAGGAATGATAATGCAGCAGGAAAACTAATGTACAAAGAATTCATATAATTTTCGACATCCGCAAACATCAAGATGTAAAAAAGTGTAGAACATTGCCAAGTTTGACTAGGTTCCTTTCAACTGGAGGCGGGTTTTATTACAACACTAAAGATTTCAAATAGTTGGTTCAATAAGACTGTGTGTGATTCTCCGTGATGATTACTTTACGAATTATAATGCTTCGATAAACTAATTGCGTATTTTATAGAGAACCGTTTGAGCACAAGTAGCCAAACCATATTACAACAGCATATCAGATGTTTATACTGGGTGGTGATTGAAGGTGAAATGAAAATTCGGATTCGAACCAGCGATCACCAGGTTTCCGGCCCAACTAAGCTACAATGTCCGACTGCTGAGTAAATTTTTATTTTACTTCAATCATCAAGGAATCTTTGCACTATCTTCATTTTACAGCCAGTATTTCGAAAAAATTTCACCTATCAATTTCCTAAGTACGACAACATTCTGGTAAATAGTTTAGTTAGTTAACTGATCGTTAAGACTATAACCATTGCTAATAATCATACTGATAAAGCTATTTGCGCTTCACAATATAACATGATAGTTTGATCGTAGTAAACGTTTTGTATAAGGAAGACAGAACTTCACTTAGATAGATAGATAGATATCCACATGTCTGAAAATCAATAAAGAAAGCACAAAGAAAACACTGTTGTTTATCCTTAAACAACAATCTATCCAAAGGAAAATCTTTTTTTTTCAACTAGTATTAATGATAAAAATGAAAAATTTAAAATGTGTATGCATGTAACAGAAAAGAATCAGATGACAGGTCAATCGATAGAAGATTGGAAGAAAGAAAATGAAGAAATAATAGCCAACAAAAGAAAAATTTAAAAGTTATAGAAGGGAATAACAACAAATAAATGCACAAATAGTAAAATAAGAATGGAGAGGAGAATAAATTAAGGAAGTATTCAGAATATTATCCTGTAGTATTTACGTATGTAAGCAGATATTTCGAATAGAATCAGGTAAAAATGTGAACAGTTTTTATCAAAAAAATAGTAATAGATTAGAGAAGAAATTTGATCAGGCTACTTTTAAGAAAAGCAGAAAGCAAATGGAAGTATAAAGTAGTAAAAATTATTCATAAATCATAATAATTGAAAGACTTTTAGATGTACTTAGTTAAATTATCTTATTATGATGAAAATACAGAAGTTTATGACTGGCTGAAACAGTTGAACCTAACATATAGGTAGATCACTTTAAATGACTACTACTATGCTCAGCAAAGAGTGGTATAACTATTAAAACAAGAAATAAGTAGGCTGAGAACATAAAAGCTATTTAAATATATAGTATAATATAGCGATTGCATCGATACAATCTCCATTTAAAACATTCCAATAACTTATCTTGTTGACTTCACTTAGAAAGCTTCTACGCATGTATACAATTCGGTGGTTTGATGGATCGGTCTAAGTATCGGTGTATGTATTGTAGGACTACTCATATACTACATTCCTTCCTTTCTCCCCAACCGATATCACCTAGTGGAATATACGACCACTGGATATAGTAAATACATTTTCTAACTAGATCACTCAATATAGGTCTACAACACATCTAGAGATATGATACATAGTACAAATCTGTACATCTTACTTAAAACTGCTTATTCACTGATATATTGTGCGCTAGTGACGAAAAGAAGATATGACTGCAATCTTTTCAGTTTACTTAGTTCTAAGGACCGTATACCAAATCCATTCGTTAACGTGTAAACAGATAGATACAGGTATCAATAAAACTAATTAGTAGTTCACAGAAACTCCAATGGTATACCTTCTTCAGCTTAGATAACGAGGTGGTATCATTAGCCTTCATATGCTAAGTGTCCTTCATAGTATGGTAAATAAACATACACCAAGTTAGTGAATTGCATTAACTTAAATTTTTTATTACTACCATCATAAATGAGATCCATCCCGTTATCAGAGCTATAATAATTACTTGTTAGACAGTCGAATAAGACTGGTTGGTTTAACACGATACTAACACGTATGCATACTTATTTTATAGCTGTCACCTTTGATTAATTTGAGTATTCAACTACTTATTTGATCCTGGCATATATATATAACCGTATTAGGAAGGAAGAAGACGTGAGACAAGGAATGTATCTCCACGGACACATGGAAGCTGATAAAGGAGGGAGAGGAAGATGATGAAGTAGAAGATGAACCAGTGCAGAGCAGTGTAGGGATGAACAAGGAAAAGGGGAACTGAACACAACCTACAAAACACTAAACTGGACAAAGAAGTGAAGAGCGCGCGCAAAGATAAAAGACACTTCTACGGCACATTGGTAAGTGAAGCAGAACAGGCTCCAGGTAGGAGAGACTTGACAACAATATATCAAATAACCAAAATATTATCTGGAAAGAGATCAACGCAGATGAGATCAATGAAGAGAGTGAAGGAAAGCTAGTTACAAAGAGGAGAAACAAAGGAAACAATGGGCTGATCACTTGAATCGACCACCACATACAACTCGTCCAGAAATGTCACCAGTAGCCCAGCCAAAGAACTATCAGTGAAAACAAACCCTCCGACAGAAGAAGTCCTGAACGCCATGAACTTGCTGAAAACCGGGAAAGCAGCACAACAACATCGAATTCCACCAGAACCACTGAAAACAGACGCAGAGTCAACAGCAGACACGCTCACACCACATCACTATTGCAGAAGGTTTGGAAGGAACGAAATTACCTGCCGATTGCAAAAAAGGCTACCTTGTCAAACTCCCAAACAACGGTGATTTAAGTCTTTGCAAGAACTGGCGAGCAATCATGCTCCATCGCTGTTCACCCCAAACAAAATATTAAGCCATATCATCCTGGAGAGATTAAACAGAAAACCTTCTGGATTCAACTAAATTACAACCGGAACACGCTGGCCAGCTGGCTTCAGGAAGAACAAATCATGTGTGGATCAAATTGCAACGCTACGCTGCTACGCATCATCATCACCATCATAGAACAGAGTGTGGAATGGCAGTCAATTGGATCCTTACTTTACCTCAACTTCATCGATTTTGAAAATGCCTTCGATCGAGGTGTCGACCGACAAGTAATTTGGTAGACAGCTGTTTCAACACTAAGGTTTTGGTGCCACAGACCTTCATCAACCTCGTTCAACAGCAGTTATATGCTATATGACGACGCCGCATGTCAAGGTATTCGCAATGGAAAGCTGAGTGATGTGCTTGAAGTGAAGACAGGAGTAAGACAAGGCTGCCGCCTACCATCATCGATGATCTTCCTGATTGTGGTTGACTGGATTGGACTGGACTGGATAGTGCGAGAAACTATGAGGAGCTGTGAGAAGATGGGCATTTGCTGTTTGAGAAGACCGATGAAAAGAGCCTAGAAGATTAGGATTTTGCGGCCAATGATGATTTATGTCTAATGTCTTGTCTCACAAACTGGAAGATCTACAGGCAAAAACCGACAAGGTGACAGAAGAGGTGAGGCAGGGCAGGGCACCGAAGGAAGACGGGACTTCCTTCAAGTGAACGTGGAGAAGACAGAGGTGGTGAAGATGCCCAACCGACTACAGCAACTACAACAAGCACCAATCATCATGAATGGGAGAAACCTAAAGGAAGCAGTCTCTTTCACCTACCCACCTACCTAGGTAGGCAGGCAGTACCGTTTCAACTACAGGTGGCACACATGAGGACGTCAAAGCCAGAATCGGAAAGACGACAAGACAAACCTTACTGCATTAGTCTGAAAATAATCAGTGTGGAGATCTACTGCACTTAGCATAAAGCGTGAACAACATCCTGATTTTCACCACTAATTCAGTCAAGTCAAGTAAGTCAGTGCTTCTATGTGATGGTTGAGAGACTCGGTGGTGCGTCACGAAAAGTATTTCCAACAAGTTGAAGATATGCATCAACAGCTGCCGCCTACACTCACTCACTTGATACTGAGGATCAGATGGCCAGAATAACAAGAATAAGCAACAAGGAACTCTGGCTGGCAACGAACCAACGAAGCAAGAACCTATCGCCCAACAAATATGCAGAAGAATTAAGTGGAGATGGATTGGGCATACACTGAGAAAATGGTTTAGGACATCACGCGCCAGGCCAGGCGAGGCCGTTGAGTGGAAGCCGAATGGGAAATGACGTGTTGGGCGTTCGAGGGTGACAACAATGAGATGGTGTGAGGAAGAAATGAAAGTTTATGGGGAGTCGTGGGGCCAGGTTGAAGAGACCGCAGAGGTGGAGTGCAATGGAGACGTGCTACTGAAGCCCTATGTTCCACTAGGAGCCCAAGGGACAAATAATAATAATATACACTGTAAGCGTACGGCAACAATGATCCAAATCTAACAGACTTGTTTTATTCAGTGATCGCAAAAAAAGTTGGAAATAGTTTTACAAATCAAAAGAGCAGTGTTCTGAAGGAAATAGTTTCTTAAACGCTACAATCAGATGAAAAATGAATATTATTTATGAATAACAAACTAAGGAGGATTTTATACCAACAGTAGGACAACACTATAAAAGTACCAAAACAACAATACGGTTTTAATGAAAGATTAACACCGCTATCGCAACCGATTTGGTTTATTAACAATCAATCGAACTATTTCTTAATGAATTCGAAATAAGGGTATAAAATTGAGATCTTTTCAGGGCAATTTGTGAACCTATGTAGGGCGGGAAGTACTTATATGAATCCAGGTGATCACAACTGTGTACACTCCAATGATCATCGAACCGAGATCTGTTCCAAAAGTTTTCTAAGATTCACACATCACCATAATCTCAAGTTGGTTTATGATAGACGAATGATATATATTCACAGTTATAATTACAATAAAATGATAAGGTATAACCACTCACTTTTTAGCAGTAGGTATATATTGAGATGCGGATGTTACTGGTGCTGAAGACCGTAGAGTGGGATTCACATAGTTTCGTTTTATTCCTGGTCGGTTCAGTATTGATGGAGACATTTCTGTAGGACTTGGAGAAGATGCTGTAATATGTAGATGATATATGACATGGAATAAGGAATTATTTTTCTTATAAGAGAGTGAAACAGGTAGAAAAAAACACCATATGAATTATTTTTTGATATGATCTGGACATTTTTTCAACTCAATGGAATTTCGCTAAGAAGATAAAAGTATAGAAGCTGAAAACCAACACAAAATATTCCTTAAAACTGATTGGATTCGGTCTTTTAGTTTGAAATCTTCAAAGGATTTACTGTTTGACCTAAAACATGAAATTCAACAATCAAGTAACACTAGGATCATTTGTTGTCGCTGCTAACTCTTAAGAACTGTTCAGTTGTTACAGTGACACACAATGAGAAGTACGAAAATATTACTGTACATTGCTACGAAAATAGAAAATTTCCTAGTGTACATTAATCGATATTTTTTTAGCACCTAGAGTTTACCAACGATTGATTAGACCAAACACAATTCTCATTCACTTATCGTCCAAGAAAGTAAACCAAATAAAGTTGATTTCAGTATTGTGTAAAATAGGTTGAATCATACTACAAAAAATAATCCAAATAAATCCAGTACATATGTTTATTTACTAGGTAGTGGACCACACATTGTGTGAAGGCTTATGATACTATCTGATTACTCAAATGACGTTGGTGGAGCGCGATTTGAAATAAACACAAGATAAATCAAACAAAACCATTATGGTTTTTCATTAGTTCAACTGTCAACTGAACTACCTGTAAAAGGCAATTAATACAATTTATGATGCATGTATCAATAAGTAATCCTTACTTGAACAACGGAAAATTGGTTCAGGTGTTTTCGTTGTACCCAAATCTAAGCACGTAGTCGAAATATTTGGTTCAGAATTGATAGTCGGTTTTGAACATAAACAAGTATCACTTCCATCTGATAATACAGGTGATGGGACATTAAGATTGGAGATTGTGAGTGTAGATACTACTGGGACATATGGAGTTCCAGTTATTCCCATTCCAACATACGGTTTCGGAGAATAATGCATCCGGATCAAACTCGATGGACTGTATACGGTTGAACCAGCTGGAGCACGAGTAACAATGTTACCCGGTCCCAAACGAACTATGTCAGTAGCACCTATATTGTCCGTGACAAAAGTAGAAGCTAGAGGTGGAGTATTGGATGGACTAGGAACATTTGAACAAGAAAAGAAGGAAGTTGATGGGGAGTGAGAGGATACAGTATACTTTAAGTTGGTAGGAGAGGTACAAGCAGACACCGATTGATAAGGCTTGGCTTGGTTTTGTCCGACCGGGTTTATATTAAAGTTATCAGACGCAAGGCTTGGTGAACCAGGAGTGAAAACAAGTCCGCCAACACGAGTCATTTGAGCGGGGAAGGAAACACGGTTATTACTGCTGACATGGACCACGTCGATGGGTTATCGCGAGGCGTACACCACTGAGATGACCGGTGGTAACCAGGAGTTGGGTGGTTGGGAGAAATAGTAACACGCGATTGATTATGCGTTGCACTGATACCAGGACTTCTCACAAATTGCACTGATTGGCTGGAACTATGGAGAACCGGTCTTCTATTGCCCCAGGAGAAATACGACAGATTTGTGAGTATGGTGCAGAAGAATGAGCAGTCAAAAATTTTGCGTCACGTGGATCTGAAGAGCTATATTTGAGATCTGGAGCCACACATTTCTGATCGCAGTTGATAGATGATTGATACAAATAATGACCGGGTTGATTTATGTCTGAAGATCCTATTTGAAGTAGTTGATCAGTAGTAAGTCCGCCATCGATAGCCAGTTTGGCAACTGCACCCAAATGAGATCCGTATGAATCGGTAACAGCAGGACAAACAGAAGAATGTTTAGGTTTAAAATTAATTTGAGGGCCACGTGTGTCAACAGAAGTATTCTGTGAATTATGCTGTGATCTGACACTATCCGGAGAAGATCGATATGCTTGCTTATGTATTATGCGCAAGTTTTCCAATTCCAACCTATCCGGTTTGAGTTCAGTATCTAAAAAAAAACATACACACTAACTAGATTTTTCAGACAGACAGAAAGAAGTATACAAAATAAAAAAGAACTAGTTGTGCATCACCATAGCAATTGTGCACTAACTGACCTGTAAGCTTATCGTACATAGGCTGATGGTAATAATAACTCGACATAACACATTTCTACTTACCGCTAGAGATGCCTTTAGGTTATCCATTACCCAATTTGAGCTTAAATGCAACGCTACTGTTAAGGCTTTAAAACGCCGTAGCTGGCAAATCTGTACTAACAGCAGTAAGAAATGATGAACTGCCTTCAGTGGTCTTTTAAGCTGATGTCTGAGGATTAATATTTAGATTGTCTTTATTATTCTGGTAGTGGAAACCATGTACAAATCCTGCCAACTGATCCCAGATGTTAATATTTTCAGTTTTGAAGAAAGAGGCAAAATTCCATTATGATAATCACAGAAGACGCTTGGATTATAGCAAGTTCCAAATTCCGGAGTAATAAGAGTTATTGGGCAAGCCTACAAATATTTGCATAGGGTTTACACTCTTCCTCAGGAGATAATTACTGATCCTCTATTCTAAAGATACCGCCAGACATGATGAAAACGTCATTATTTTAGTGCCTATATTCCCCTATTTTGTTTGACATTCATTGAAAATTAAAAATACCAAAATAATGAATGTCATTTACCCAACTCCCAATTTTTTTGAAACTACCAAATCCCAATTTGGTGGGGATATCCATAAAATGGTGAAAAAGTTTCGCAGCAGAAGATATTCAGCAGGCAATACATTCTTGTTACGCGACGGTGCTGACAACATACACGTATACTGAGAATCTTGAGCGAAAACCTTAGTTTTCTCTACACACTTCACATCACTTTAGTGATATCCGATAACTGGACCATAAACACATCCAGTTTTTTTTCAGTAGAAAGGGATGGAGCTAAAAATAGTGACATCTGGTTTGATGTATTTCAACAACTATGACTAATTAGTAACTGGTGAGATGACAACAAAAATACAGGAAGCTCGTTTAGCAATTGCTAGCTTTAGCTATTTAAGACGGTGGCAAAATATTTGAAAATTTATTATATGACGTATGTACTGCACAGTGATCCTTTTTTGTGTCAGCATGCAATTGCAGGAAATGAATGCTTCATCACAAATGTCTTCGAAGTGTCGGAACCATAGAGTTGATAGTATTTTAGTCAAAAAAAATTTCATTTTCGACAAGATACGCTCATTGCTTAGGTTGTGAACCTGGGACGAAGAAAGTGGCTAAGAAGCGATATGCATGCCAGCTTGTCAAAAACCATGATGCTGACTAGAATAGGACTAGACTTGGAAATGAGACTAACCACAATAATATGGTATTAATTCGTAGACTCAGACTCCCAATGCAAGTGATGAAGAGGAGTGTAGATTTGCTGGCTATGGTTTGCTAGACAGTTAGAATCGATAGTTGGAGACTGTATTATGTCTGAAAGTCGGACGCAATGACAGAAAATACATTCACTCATCACTTTCCTACAAAACTTGAAAACCCTTCACTTAACTTTCCCCTGTTATTTATGTCTTTGCTGGTGTTCGTTTAGTTTTCTCCCGCTTTCGGTATCTTTTTCTACCGTTGAGGCATTTGGTTACTAAAATGACACACCAATGTGATCGATTGTTTTACTGACAAAACTGGACGTGATCATGTACAGAAAATGCACAATATGGATGTGATGAGTTGTCACTAAACAGATAGGCATGTGACGGATGCATGAATTATCTTGGTTAGCCGTTGGAAAAGTGCCTACATTCGTAATGATATTCCCATTGATTACCACTGTTCTCTGTTTCATTGACTAATACTTTAACCCCATTGGCTATCTTTTAGATACAACTGAGTCTGATTGAACTGTTCGGTGTTCGGCGGTGAAATATACTTATTATAACTACAATATTTGTTCTCTTTGCATTATTCCGGAGTACTAGCTTTAATGAATACGAAGTACGAATTAATTTAATTCATAATTCAATCGCAAAAACAGCACAGTGGATATATGACCAGCCATAATTGTTTGTCTATGAAACTGTAGAAGTATTCCTGATTTGGAAATTACACGCAAACAAATTACTAATCGAAATAAAACTATCTATTATATTAATGGTTGTGTTTACTTCGTTTTCCTTAGGTTTTGTATGCATATTGCCCCATTGATATGTCGTTAAATTGTTAGTACTTATTAACTGATCATAGATATACCGTGATGGTTTCTTCTAATTCAATGTCCTGATAACAATAACTTCAACACTCTCGGACGAATGAAAACCAAACATGAAGATTAGTTGAAGAAGATAACTTTTTATTGTCTCGGAAAATGATAAAAACATTTCACGAGACATTCATATATTGGTGTTGTCGGAGATTGAGAACAACGATAAATTAAAAGTAGTATAAACAACTGAAAGTGTAACTTTGAAAATTGGGAAAATTACCTATTGGCAAAGGCTTAGGAAAGGGTGCAAAAACAATGAATTAAAAGATTCCGTCAAATAAATTTCAACGGGTAGGGTCAGGTTAAATTTAACCTAGTGACTAGAGGCAATGTGCCTAATTTAAAGAAATATGGCTCCTTGGGCACGGTTACTGAACCCTATTTATCTCATAAAAAATAGTTTACATTGCTATACTATGTTACTAAGATGTTACTGAAGGCCTTAGTTATTTGATGAGTTAAGAAAATATATCTAAAAATGGGTACACGTACAAATAACAACAACTATTGCCAAATGTTGAGGGATAATGTACCCACATTCGCAAAACTCTACGTAGCATTTAAAATAAGATAGCTCCTAGACTATTTAAAAAATCATAACTGTATCCCAAATTATATTATATACTACGGTGACATAGATTGGTAAATCCCTACAATCTGAGGAATGGATATTTTGATAGATTGATTCTACTCCAAGCTTGGGTTTTGACAGGTTGAACTTCTAATGTTAGTCCAAGTGTCATGGAATTTTAACTCATCGAAACTCAAACTTGAAGAGAGGAGCCACAACAACATACATCATTGCATTAAAAATCTTGGCATACCTTTATCTACTGTTTGACATATTTCCTTGTCACTAGTTTCCAAGGGAAAAGAACAATACCTTTCACCCTCATTATCCATTATTTTCAGTTTTAATTCACCAGAACTACAATTAAAAGAGACAATTATTAATAATTAAAAGATACAAGATACAGCAAAAAAAAATCTGAAGACTAAGTAAAACTGGCGTTAGCCGTTGCAAATAACTTATGAAGATAAGAACAAAAGTTTGCAGTAACCACAGTGCTGACTGTCTGACTGAGATAATCGACGTAGAACCTCGCACACAGGTGGATCGGCTCAAGTTGCCACATTGCACAGTAGTACACAGAAGACATGGAGATAGAAAAAGTCGTAGAGTTACGTAAGAGAGCAGATAACTTGGGAATAAAAGTTAGTGCGAACATTCAGGCTTTAGAATATGTCAAGGAGTGAGTACACCATTGTGACCGGTTTTCAGTCATTTCACAAAGAGTTCTTCACCACTGATCCCTATCGTCTCAAGGACCCCAACCAGGGTGTCTACATCCCACACGACTCTAACCAACCGTCAGGGACTTCATGAACCGGTGCCATGTCTTGGTATGGTCACCCTGGACACTCTTCAGATCTAATTCAGCTTCCCTCAGCACGGCATGTCGAAGTAGGCCACGACTCGGCACGAACAACACATGTTCAAGCCATCTCAGTCAATAAAGGTTTACAACCCCATCAATCAATTTGCCCCTCTTCCCTAGTACCCTTCGCCTGACTTCAACATTGCCCACACGTTAGTCCCACCAAACACAAGCAATGTTACGAAGACACCCATGATCAAAACCCTGCAACCGTAGTGCTAGATGGGTTTCGTTTATGTGAACTGAAAAGTGATACAAAAATAATGGTTTACACGCGCAAATTTAATCAAGAGATAAATAGCTTCACGTTTAGAACGCTTAATCTAAGTAGCTTGCTGTAAATGAAATATTAGTAGTAAGAAATGTGAACCATTATATGAATCGGCCAGTTAATCAATATCAAGACAGGATTTAGCATTACTGTGTAACGGAGCAGTCCAAGTTGTCATGTCTCAAATCTCCATATCAACATGCAAGGCAAGAAATGGAAATAATATCATCAACACACTCATCTATTTTACTCCCTATTGTGAGATGACACATCAACATAGACAAATCAAGATGCAATAACTTGCATTTACGAGATGAAGAACTCATCTCAACCATTTATAGTCTATCACTGAATGTGTCCAGAAGGCTGAGTTAGTATGACATTACATCTTGTCAAAATCTTCACATGACTATGCCATCTGCGTACTCTAGATCCAATTAGGTCTCGTACAATTAAACTAATCCTTGTAATGTCAGATGAAAAGACAGAGGCCTTCGTAAACAGGTATATGAAATTTGAATTAAAAATAGAGTGATCATCATCCTCGTCAGACACCACTCAACCCACAACTCTCAACCACTAGCTCTAACGCGATAGTGGGTATCCCATTTAATCAACGACTAGAATACAGTGGGTGGAGGTCGATTGAATTGTTTTCTATGATTGTCCCAAACGTTTCCAATACAAAATAATGATCGCATACTTATTTTCCTCACTAACACTTTTGCTATCTCCCAACTTTTTCACCCGTTTCCTTAATCAGTCAAATAATTGCCTACTATTATCTATCACGGTTGCCTTCTCCATCTCTTGAACCTTTGTTGCTAAACACTGCTCTCATAATCATTGCGAAGACTTAACTATTATGTAACAAGTAATGATTAACCATGATCGACTGAAATATCGACGTAAAATCTTGTTTTCACCACTTTTGAATGAAGAGAAAGAGTTCATATGAGTCAAACAAAGACATCGCAACGCATCAGGAAGCATCCAGCTGTAACCTGAGATGAGTAGTGTAATACAGTCTATGCTATCTATGCCACGGTCAAAACTGCTGACGTAAGACATTTACCAATGAAGATCAAAAATGCTTGCACTGACGAACTGGATTACTAAGAACGACAACAAATAAGTAGAATATCGAGACAATCCCATTTGAACATAGGGAAACACACACAGAAGACGATTGAAGACAAGAAAAAATTTTCTGTTTGATGAAGTCATTCATTTAGCTGTACATCCATGGCTATATCAAAACGAAGAACAGAACATTCCAGACTAATTTCTAGTCAGAGGCCAATATAAATTGTATCACAAAGGAAAGTTATGCAGTTGAGAAATAAACAAAATGATCACAAATAAAAATAGTTACGTCGTATTTCAGTTATTTAGAGTGGTCAATAATCTACGATGGCCATGGCAAGGAAAGGGTTTTACATACTTCTTTGGCACGCATAAAGATGGTTTGAATTTTTGAATTGCTGATGCTTCAGTGATGCCTAGATGTCTGAACCTCACTCCTTTATAGTGGCTTGGTAGCAGTTTGTACAACATTTTGAAGGGCTTGTCAAAAAAGCTGAATGCCCTGAGTTCACTAAGCGTTCTGTTACAGAACTGAGGTTGCATTTCTGTTTTTCTCGAGTCAGCCAAGTTGGATGGTGTTCGCGAGCAAGTTGCATAAACTGGAGCATGATACGGTCAATGTACTCGACTCCACATGAGCAAGTAAATAACCCACATATGCCATAACTAGTTTTATTTTGTGACCGTTTTGTTTAGTTCCGCACTACGCAACTTTCCTTTGTGATGCAATTCATATTGACCTTTGACCAGGAACTACTCTGTTATGTTCTAACCTTTTTATTATGTACTCACGAACGTACGGCTAAAAGAATGATTTTGTAGTCAAGAGAAATAAATGGAACTTGTAATGATTCATGCCATAGGTTAAGAACTACACAATGTGAGGGATAAAGATACTATATATGGAGCGAAAATTTTGTAAAGTCAAATTAAAAACAGTCAAACACTGATTGGAAACCTACTGTACTTAAATGAGCAGTGCATCATTCATTTCCCTTTTAAGCGATTATACAGTAACAGTGGATATCCTTGGAGGACACAATTGGTTGTCACCTAGACAGGTGACAACTTCCTACAAGCCCTTACACGACTGCGTGAGTTCGAGTAGAGTTTTGATTAGCGTTAAATAATTGTTCGACACTCTTTTCAAAATTAGGCATTACCGTAACACCTCAAGGTCGACAGAGGCGAATACTGCTTCAGGTCAAGAAATATGACCAATGTCCACCACAGGTAAGTATGCTTGGGTTGCAGGACCTAATGTGGAATGAAAATCTGATAGATGTTTCCTTGTTCGGTCCGGAACCTGCCTGGTTTTCTCGATTTTGCTGCTCTTAAGCTCAAGTTAGAAGTCCGATAACTATGAATACAGAGATAATGGTCAAATTAATTGATCGCAAGAATTCCCTCCGTTCTTATAGACTGGGATGATCAGTGAAGCAGACGAATCTGATGGAATTACCCATGGTTTCAATACACTACATGGTGCCTTCATCACTCTACGCAGAAATGTCTCACCTCCATTCTTGGAAACTTCTGGCGGCAAACCGTCAGTTCCTGCTGTTTTGTGTCTTTTCGGGTCAGAAATAGCCTTCTCAATTTCGAAGAGTTTTGAGGACCGACAGCCATATCTTATTCCTTCTGACCTGGATGCTGGGTGACTGGAGCGTTTCTGTGAATCAGCTGGACTTTGCTTCAAAGTATCCCGTTCTAGCCGTCTGCTTTGGGAGGTTATCATGGTTCCATCCTTTTCGGTGGTGGTTTCACTAACAATCTGTAACCTGTTTTCGAACTACTGCGACTGAGTTCATAAGCTATTGCATTCAGTGAATGTTCTTCCCCACCAGATAGGGGCTAAGGAGAGCTGGACAAAAAGTGCTTTGTTTTTTTAATCCGGTAATCAGCAGTCTTGAATTATTAAGTGACACATTATTTTGTTACTACCGTGCAAAGAAGTCCGTTTCTATATGTCGTTAAGATGATTTTTAAGTGCGACCCATTAACCTGGGACGTTACTAGACGTGACTTGGAAAACAAGCCAGGAGAGACTGTGAACTCCTTTAATATTTTATACATGTAAAGCAATATTTTTCCTAGGATAAGGAAAAACGATTAGTAATCTCTATCTTCGTTTCATTATTAATCGGATTGCTTATTTCATTATCATTACTGACAACAAAACTATGGTCATAATAAAATAATAACAGCTACGTTTTTAATACCATCATATTACTATCATTTTTCTGTGACAGGTTTCTTGGTGCCTTTATTGTCTCATATGTTTTTGCATTTAAGAGAAAAAGTAGTGCTTTATTTCGATGTAAACAGTTTGAACTTTAATAATAAATTTAGTTAAACGATGGCACAAACTAAAAGGAAATATACAGTTGCACACGGAAATATTGAGAATGGCTTAGATGAAAACTATTATTGTATAATAAGTTTTGCAAAATAAGTCCTAACAGGACAAAAAAATTATAGAATATATTCGGTGAGTTACGTTACATTTTGCAGTATGAACTTGTTTCACTGTCTGATTCATATGGATCTATACCTCGTAAAAAAAGTGATGCTGTTTTAGGTTAAACAAGTGTGAATTTAAAAGTTTGACAATTTCGGTCATAACATTTAATTTGTTGTTTACATTAATTCTTAACAACAAGTTCAAATTGTTTATTTTATAGATATGCTACATAGCAATCAATTTACAGATGAGTAACACATTTAGTACTGATAAGAAGTTGAAATACGATTAGTTGCCTTGGAATAAGCTTTATAATTATCAACGGTATTTTCTAAACAATTGATTATTACAACCTTCATAAACTGTCAAACAATATATATGACTGAAAGTTTAGAGCTATTGTTTGTACACCACTGACTTAGATGAATGAATTACGGGAAAAAGCACACGGACTTTTCTTTTCCTACAAAACTTTCTAATCTACATTTATTTTACTCCATCAGACTATTTCAAAAAAAATCTCGGTACAATATATTATACATAGGTTATGATGTCAAACAGACAGAAGTGAAACCTTAAAAAGAAATGGAGTAATTCAAGCTGGCACAGTTTACAAAAGAACAAGAGTAGTATGGAATTTCAAAGAACAAGAATAAAGCAGATAGACAAAATCAGTGAAGAACTTCGCAGACAAGTGCATCAGTTCGGTTTGCTACAATTCACAGTAGTATACAAGTAACAAGTAGATAGAAAAGGAATAATATCAAGGTAGATAAAGTTGTGTGAGAGAAAGAGCAATTTGAAGATAAAGGTTAGTGGAAATATTCACGCTTTTGAAGATGTCAAGGAGTGAATCATCTGCATTACTTAGACCGATTATCAGACATATACGGCTAAGGCCACCAATTAATGACTTCATTGACTAGTGCTATGTCTTGGTATGGTCACCCCAAACCCTCCTCCAACCTGATCCAACTTCTCAAAGCATGGCACGTTGAGGTAGACCATGGCTCGGCATGAGCAATACATATCCAAGCCATCTCAGATGTAGGTTCACAACCTTTTCAATCGACTTGCCCCTCTTTCCTAGTACCCTTCCCCTGACCCCAACACTGCTCACAATGTGATCCCGTCAAACGCAAGTAATGCTACAAAGACATCTACGGTCAAAACTCAGTAATTGCTTCATATCTTCTACTTTTAACAGCCATGTCTCACAGCCGTATAACAGGACAGAACGAACTGTAGTGCAGCATGTTCATCCTTTGATAGGGTAGTCGAATATCTCGCCAGTCGGCGCCACAGGTGATGCAGGCTGGTAAATGCCAAACGGGTCTTCTGTATCCTAGCTGAAATCTTGTCAGCAACCACCCCCAGGTAAGTGAAGTGGCCAACGCATCGCACCACTTTATTCCTTATCCTTAAAAATAGAAGTAGTTGCAGACCAGTCCTGATGCACCATCTTACATTTGACAGGTGCGAGATGCGTGCCAAACATACTCAGATTTCTGCTTAACGCGTTCACAAGACGCTGCATTTCTTCAACGTCTTCACCTAGCAGGACAATATCGTCTACACACTCCATGAATGAGGCGATAAAGAACAAAATAAAAGACGACTAAAATCCTCATGACGGTGAAAACGAAAGGGGGCAAGCTTATTCGTACCACTACTTGTTCCAAGTTATAATAAAGCACCAGATACTTCACTAGCTTTTGTAAAAAGCAAAGGTCACTGCTACGTTTGTCTTTGTTTTCTTGTAAACATAAACCTACGAAAAAGATGCTTAGTGGACCCATGCAAACGATCTCTACTTTTTAACCAGTGAAGATTATATATTATATCAAATAACATAGATCCAAATATGTGAATTGTGTTATAGGCATTCAATATTCAATCACCTAGTCACAGACTTTGGTCCCATCACATCGACATTTATGCACCTAGATAATGAGTAATATAAGAAGACACGAAATAGGATTGGCTAATGGTCTAGAACACAAAGCCATATTTAGTTGTGAAAATGAGGATACACAAATAAGATCGAATATCCAAACCCTAGATCGCAGTATTTCCAATTAACTATAAAAACCCCTTTACTACCAGTGGTTTTCAGACAAGACAACATCTTAATGTCTTCAACACGGCCATAAAGCTGTGACAAAAATATAGCTACCTATAAACTCTTCCTTCAATGAACAAACGGATGTTTCATCAAGGCAGTGTTTTGCCAACCACAGCATTTTGAAAATAAGATATTGAGCAATCTACCTCCGTGAATACAATTTCCTAGGAACAAAAGTAATCATACAGTCAAGTCAAACTTCTTTATATGAAAAAAGTTAAAATTGAAAATCAAATCACAACCAGCATCCATTTATACACCGTTTGCAGCAATTAGGAACTACACAACATAAACGAACCAGATAAACAAAAAAATAATCTAGGAGAAATATGTAATACTTGGTGGAGTCGTTAATGAGGGTTCGCAATTCTTCACGATTTAATCCACTAAGTGGAATCCCACCAACAGATACAATAAGTGCACCCACTTTCAGTCCGGAGGATAACACAGAACCAGATTGAGAAACTGCGAGTACACAACCGTACTGGGAACCAATATCTAGAAGAAGAAAAAAAGCAAAAACAAGTATGAAAACAATAGGCTATTTATTTTAAGATGACGCTATTATTGAGATGAACTGCAAGAGCTTATGTCACTGAATTAGTAACTTGCTCTCAGTTTAGGCATCATTATATATATATATATATATATATATATATATATATATATATCGACCGCTGGGTTACAGGTTAAAACCACGTTTCTTCTATCAAGGCTTGGGCAGAAAAGTAGTATCACCGCCTATCACAATAGGTGTGGGTTATTACCGAGTGCATGTGATGGGTGATTTAGAGCAAAATTATTTCAAAAAAAGCTATGCAGTGAAAGTACTGTACTTTTCGCACCACTCAATGTCTTCCCACTCATTATCTTCTTATGTCCAATTTGCTGATTCGCAGGCAACAAGTTAAGTCGTTATGAAGTAGTGTCAAACCCTGTTCCTATAAAGTCTGGCCATTTTTATGAATTGGTTCAGATTTATTCACTAGAACATGTAGGAGAAAGTATAAAACACTGGACTGTAACATGAAGTGTAAACAAACGTTTCTCTTTATTGTCGGAGTTTTTGTCGAAAACCTCAGGATAGCTGTTGAACAACAACGGGAAATACATCAATCAAATCTATCCCTTGTGAAAATCAAAGGGAAGCAATATCTACTGAACACAAAAGAAAGGAATGCAGTGAAATAGCTAATGACCAAAAAGACAATTTTAACATTGTCATCAGATGAAGAAAGAAAGACCGTCGTTACGAACAAGAAAGACATCTTGAAAAGGCACAAAAATTATTCAGTGACAAAGGCGTTTACTAACAACTGGATGAAAATCCAACTCCACAATTAGACAATTAGATCCAAAAGGGGCTGAAGGTCAAATCACCAGAGAACAAAGCGGGTAAAGAAGAACTGAGTAATTTCGCTCAGGTTCTACGGTCGACACCAAATACCTAAAATAGATGTTCCAATAGAACAATTTCATTCAATGTATCATTGAAAAGTTAGTCCACTGAGGAATGGATTAGTGTATTATGAGTACATTTTTAGTGCAAATGATGCCTATTGGTAAATGTATGAATATATACTGCTAAAGTATTTTTAACTTTATTTGAAATATAACAAAAATAAAAACTCATCGTTGTGCATTAACTTTGCGTCAAAAATTTACTTACAATACATTAAGTTCATTAAGTCTATCGAAAGAATTGTCGTCAATGACGGTGAACACTCAATCAGCTCGATAATTGGATTTATAGACGAAAAAAGAAATTCACATAAAGACAAATGGATGGTATCTTTTGATGCGACTTTACTTTTTCCCCGATCACCACAAATCTAGCCAGAGATGACAACCTTCTTAAAAACTGTAAAAAATTTCAAAAACCATACAAAATTCACTCTTCCAAACACAGTAGAGTTGATACGTTTGTGTCTTACAATCTAATTACAATGAGGCGGGAATATTTACACGCAGACATAAGCGACGACTATGGGTTGACTTATAACAGAACATATCGCTAAATTATTGAGTCGGCTAGGATCAAACCAATAATTTGGATTCAGTGAGCTAGTCACACTTTCGTAATTTCCAAGAAGGATGAAATAGAAAACACGTTTAAACCAACAGAAAATTCGAAGGAATTTGATTTAAAAAGAATGAGGCAAGTGTGGGAATTCTGTCTTTAAATGTCCTCCTTAGTAGGAAGCACGATAGGACACTGTCAACTCAGGTGTACAGGAAATTTTAAAAAATGAATGCAAATCAAACCAGTACATATTTATTTACTGTCCCATGATCCACACTTGTGTAAATGCTTATGATACCACTCTGTTGTTAAGAACGAAGTGGATAGAGAGGGGTTTGAATCCATGACCTATTGCTTTAAAGTTATGATACGGAGCCATACCAGCTGATCAAATTTCAGAATAAAACAGCAAACACCCTACGTTTGATTAAAAGTGCTGTGTATAAACGCTGTTTGTGAAAGCTAAGACTCATTTGAGAACTGAAACCCTTCGGAAAGTGGAAAAAAATATTCACTTTTAAAGTCAATGATTATTTACTCAACCGCATTCTAAACATTTTCAAAGTGCCACGAAAACTCTGTATCTTTTCAGAGTCTACATCAAATAGGACTATGATTTTTGAATACTCCTCGTAAATTCAAACCACGACAGTGAAACCTCAGTAAGCATATATATATATATATATATATATATATATATATATATATATATATATATATATATATAACAAGGAAGAGTGAAAATTGTCGACGTATGACAATCCACGTACACAATCTACCTGATAACTCAACACAGGCTCAGCGGAGTTAAAATACGGTGATATCAAAACCATGACATACTAGGCAACATTCATATCCGTCAAAGAGATTTTCATTCGACCTCTAGATCGACACTATCGAATGACGCCTTCAAGTCAAGAAATATAGATAGTGTCGAGTGCCAGTAAGTGTGCTTGTGTTCTAACACCTAGTGGAGGATGAACACCTGGTCGATACACCCAAGTATGGAACCTGCCTGTCTGCTTATCTTGAGTTTACTCTTCCTGAGGTTCACTCAGATCTCTATTGGTCACAGAACCTAGGATCTAAGACACTCTTCGCCAGACTCATTTCCCTGTGATTACCACTAGAGAATTCCTCTCCTTTCAACAATCAGTGATTGGGACCAGTCAAAGAGGATTGTATCCGATTCCCGTACGCTAACACTTCACTAAGTCTGACCAATAATCCTCGACCATCGCTCTTAAATGTCCATCGTAACAACCCACCTGGCCCTACTCTCCTTCCTTACTACAGGTTATTTACTGCTTTCTAAACACCCGCAAGAGTTGCAGAGCTTATCTCAGAGTCTCATTCTGGCTTCGGCTGGATAGCAGATAACGAAACACTAGGTGAAGGTGAGTTGAACTGTTCCTCAAAGTGTTTCAGCCACTGTTCCAGTAATCTCCTCTGCAAATAAACCACAAACACATCCTCCTCTGCATTCATCTCACTAACCATTGGCTTTTGGCCCACATTTCCTCGATCTCTCTACATAACCGTCTACCGGCACCTAACACCATAGCCCTTTTCATCTCGTCAGCTCTCGCGACCCCTCACTCACAACGCTCACTGGGTAGACTCTATCAGTCTACATTTGGGTTGCTTCTGTCAATCATTGTGCTCGGGACTTCAATGGATAGCTTCACCTACATTCATTATTTCAGAAGAATCTGTTGAGATCCACTGACTCTCCTTAACTATTTTCTTAGAGTCAGCTACGGTCTTTAACGCTGTTGTTACACCAGACTGAAGATGGCGACAGCCTTCTTTTGGATGAGTGGTGTTTTGTTCCGACAACTGCCTAATCAGTTCCTTATTAAAGGCAGTCTCAGCATTCCGTCGTCGAGCTGCGCACGGAATGGTCTTACAGCTATAGCTTTTCTACGTTCACTTAGACACAGACAAACGCACACTTGGAGGAACACGTGATTACCATCCAAGAATGTGTTCCAGAAGAAACAGCAACAATTCATTGAACCTGTCCAGCAATAAGTGATCGTAATATCGTCTGTATACTGCTGAGCAGGAGTCAGTGGATATCATGTTGCATGATTTTTCTCTTGATATCTGAAGTTTATGCTGGTCAGAAGTAAGTGGTTATTTGAGCTCAGCTGTAGCAATAGATCACCTTTATTCGTTCGTTTGGTCGGGATTCCGAAAGTTATTGCAAATTTAACCAAGCCTGGGGATGAAATGTCCACAAAATATTCAAGCCCAATGAACATCAAGTCATCGTCATCCTTATCATGTACTACACATCTTTCCCACTGCTTAAAGTCCTGCTATCAGGATTTAAACACATCCAGTTCCCTTTCAAAATAGCAAGTTTGCTGATATGTTATAGCTTCGTCGTTTAAATTACCAATTCAGAATGCATTGACTATTAAGACGGTTTTAGCTTTTCATCGTTCAATTACCAAATTATTCGGACAAGTTTTATATTAAGATATCTTAGATAACATCAGTAGCTGCATATGTATACGATCATGATTGTACAGCTGCAGAGGATAATATCGCCGAAGATAAATTTGTTTGCTGATGTCTTGATTTTTTTAATCGATTGGGATATACCTAATTTGACGAATGTTCCTTACAGCTATGCTGGAAGACTTCCTAAATAAAAATTTCCAGAAAACAATTTGTTGTAAAAATCTAAGCTTCAAGCGTCAATAACTCGGTGTTTGCATTTGAAGCAAATTAATTTTAAGCAGACAGTGATGCGAAGCAGGAGCCTCTTTAGATGTAGTATAAATATGTTGCGCCCAGTTCGAACATTTTTCCCAACTCAACCTTCAATAACTAGAGGCATGTCAGAAAACTAGGCAACGAACAGCACCTAACGTAACAAATGACTATAACGCAGAACTTCTGAGATATCGGTAATTGGTGCAGGTTTCTGACCTCATGATATTTTGAACAAAGGTCAGAGACATTAGAAAATCGGTATAGCATTCGAAATAAAAGATAGTATGAATACTGATAATGAAGAGTCGGAGATGTTAAACAGTTTTGGTTTGACAATGGATTAAAATTATGCATATCCATGGTTACATCTGAAATGAAATTCCATCAGTATAGACAGACAACGAAAGGAATAATTACTGAGTTATGTTCACAGGTTAATCGAAAGAAGTTCCTTATGCATACCAACAAAATAAAGATGAATAAACATAATTGCGGTAAACAATTTCCATCGAACCAACCCAATACTTATCGCACCATAACTTTCATCATCCTGACATCACTGCACTAAAGATATTTAGAGAATAATGACCAAATTCAATGGAAACCCCAGTAACCTAGAACAACTAGTCGTTTTGGAGCAAGGCTACTAAATGGGCAATTAGCAATAAACGACAACCATCGACTATGTTCATATTTTAGTCATGAAATAATCTTCAGTATTATTTAGACAACTGGATAATTTGAAAGCAGAAGGTTTATCAGTGGGCTGGAAATGACTGTTTAATGGCACAGAGCTGTTGATATCCAACATTTTGCTAAAAACTACCCCAATATAAGTAGTGTTTGCATTTAATGTTTCGTATGTTCTTTAGTAACCTTCTCAAACATAAAGTTCAGGCTGGTTGCAGAAATTTGTCTGTGCATCCGTTGAATTCGGTCGCTATTCCTAAACTGCACCAAGATAGTTTAGCACAAGTCAAAACCACACTTTTACTGAACTGACTGGTACCATGAGGTAACCGGTAGCAAATTGCCAGTGACGGAAAAAACAAAACTGGCATCACACTACCATTTAAATCGATGATAAACGTACCATTTTTTTCAAGAAGAAACTCAACATCCCCGGTGACTACCTTCAAAGCCAATTCTCCCATACTCCGATACGCATAAAACTATTACGGTCTACAGCATTTTAGTGCTGGAGACTTAAATTTACAGACAATCATTTCAGCAGAAATCAAATGCACAACACCCGTAATTCATATTTGGACTATGTTTTAAGTGACAAACCGCCACAAACTAAGTGTACATAAATGATTGATTATAACTTGTGGTGTCCACAAAAGAAATCCAGTTGAGACATTCTTGACTATTCGGAAACTTCCTGAGATCCAAGACAAGTTCAAAATTTCTATTTCAAATAGTACGGACAGAAAGCCTTGAAGTCCAACTGAGTGAATGAGTATTAACCGAACTCAACGAAAGATGCGCTAAACAGCAGATTCAAGTCAAGCGCCCTCCCATTAACAGAAATTCATTCAATGTAACCAAAAGAGAAAATTTCAATCTCTACTTTACTAGGATATCTAATGAAAGTCTTTTGAGCTCTTTTCTGTCTTAAGCTCAGTTTCGTTTATCTGATTTCCACCGGACTTTTAAAAGAGGCCCCTTGCCTGAGGATTTAGTAACTCAAATGTGAATAAAGAGGGCTTAGGAAATGAGTCCCAAGAGGATGGCGTAAACTGCATCTATAAAAATTCGCAAATTTCGTGGAACAAACTCGACGAACTGCGGGGACCGATTAAAGATACTTATGCTCATCTTATAGGTGTTAACGAGACATAAGTTTCTCCTGACACTTCAGATCAGGAGCTGGCAGTTGATAACGTCAGGTAGTTTCGCAACGATAGGAAGGCTGATGAGGAGGCAGGGTAGCGCTTTGCATCAGATCTCCTCTCACACCCTCGAAGAACACATTTGGTGCTCAATTAAGCTGTCCAAGACTACCAAGTGTTTGGTGGGGGTCACTTATAGGAAGCTATTGCTGACACAGTACAACGATCAGGTGCTAGCGACAACCTGCTGCTTTCCTAGACTGGAACAATCCTATCAATTTTGAGCCATTGTAAGCTACCGAAGGTTAACCTTGCAGATCATACACTGAGCGGGAGTGGTGATTCCACTGAAGCGTGGTTGTTCAATCTCAGTGAGGAACTGGAGCTAATGAAAAAATGTGGGTGGTGACGCGATCGAGGGAAACTCAAACCCCATCCCACCTAGGCTGCGTCTTCACGAATAAAGAATTCTTGATTGGCAACCTCCCTTCTTTCCTCTTTTGGGCAGGAGTGACCATGTTGTTATCGACTTCCAGTATATCTGCAAAAAAACCAATCTAATCAAACCTTTCAACAAGGTTTGGTGGAACTTCAGTCGACCGAGCACTCCAGACCTTTGAATTACTCCTAACAGACAGACTGAAAACTTAGCCATGTAAGGTAGGATGTGGCCACCAGTCGGAGATTCATACCTGATGAAATCATGCGTGCGGCCAGCAAGTGTGTTCCGCTTTCAACACCGAAGTGCTCCAGGTCACCTAAGGTAATGAGGAAATACTTTCATCAACTACTCAGGTTAAAAAGACACCACTGGGCAGAACACAAAGGCTTTGGCACTGAATACAAATACGGACCTTTCAGACAGACCAGAAGTGAGTGTACGAAGGCACTGGAAGCAGACCGATAACGGGAGCAAATATGTTTTTTCTGACGCGAAAAGCCTGTTCCGGTATGTTGCATCGTTCCAACAGGCTAAAGCTGGAGTCTCTCAACTACTAGGTACAAAAAGACTGACTACTAGCGACGCCCATGCAGCTGAGCTCCAGGCTGACCAATATTTAAAAAGCATTTCATCATTGTCCACATATTCAGGAGTTCATGAATATCCCACTAAAAAAGGGGTCCTCGGTCGTTGATTTAGGCTTTGAGCTAGTACGGAGAAAACTCTCACTGCTCACAAAAAACACCTCTATATGTCCGGATAGAGCTCATTGGAAGGTACTGCGTGAAGGATTTCGTCCGAACCTTGTGGCAAATTATCCAAGGTTTGTCTTGGTCAGTGGAACGTAGTCGATTTTTAGAAGTTGGGACACAATGCCAATCCTCAGGGTAGGTCGCAGAATCAGCCCGAAGAAATACAGACCGGCGACAGTCTTATTCATACCTTCCAAGGTAATGGAATCGCCAATCTATGGTGGACTGAGAGATTACCTTATGATGACCAGATTCTTTATATTCCGACAGCATGGACCAATAAAAGAGTACTCCTGCATTACTAGTCCGTTCACGACAGCAGATGGGTGGACCAGTATTTTCCACCATCGAGGCCGAGTTGATGTCATTTATCCAGACTTTGCTGAGGCGTTTGATCGCTACTGTTTCAGGGATAAATTAAAATTAATTGAGATCAGATCACCACTCACTGGTTGGTTGTCTTCATTTCCAATAGGTCTTGTATTTAGAGTTGGATTGAGTTTCTTCGTATCTAAAGGAACAGAATGTCCTAGTAGTGTTCCCCAAGGTTCACTATTGGTATCTCTTCTTTTTCTAATATACGTAAACATCTTGCCTCAACAGGTCTCTTCCTAAATCCGTCTTTTGGCTGTGAATATGAAAATATAGTGAGAAATCAAAGATGAGGAAGGTACTATTTCTCTACAGGAAGTTTAACACAACTTCAAAACTGGGCAGTTAGCAATGAGCTCTTAATTTATCCAGAAAGATACGAGGTGTCACAAGTAAAACATGATGCAGATCACACATATATATACCCTCAACGGCATGGAACTTGAAGCGGAGCAGATGGAGAGTGATCTGGGCGTTTTAGCTCCTCAAAACTTGAAACCCTACGCCAACTTTGACGGAAGCGCACTTCGCGGAAACTTGGCAGCAGTAACCCTAATCAAATTTTAAACAACTCCATACGGCATCACCCGCACTTCGGAATCATCGGTTTCCTTTCTCCGCAGAAGGACAAGTTAAGACTAAAACGCATCTAGAGGTGCTAGAGTAGATCTGTTCGGGGATTTAGGTCTAAAACATATGAAGATCTGCTCGTTGTGTTGAATCTATATCTCCTGGAAAATGTATGGCTAAGAGGAGACCTGATAACAGCCAAACCATCCTGACCATCTCTTAACACCCACAACGTCACTTACCGAATCTTATCAGTGGTACTAATCTAGGATGACATACAGAAACTAAGCCGGGAATGTGGTTGGTTTGACATCAGGTACAACTGTTCCATATGTTCCTTATGTTCCGTATGTAGAAGTAGTTCAGAGTACTTCTTCTGGACCCTTATAAAGCCAATTGGTTACTTATTTGAGATGAGGATGCGAGCTGCCCAGAACTAAATGAATTTTCACATTTTAGCAGCCATGGTTCTCTTTACTTTTACATAGGTTAACAAAGACAGCAAGTAGTGATTCACGGACTCTAGGCACAAAAGTCGGTCGAGCGGAAGCTTACTCTAATCTGCCAACGACCGTTTGAAACATTTAAAGCACTTAGTTTCCTAATCCGTCACTATTAATGTTGGGTATTGGGTGATAACCTCTAAGAGCACATTTTGTATTCAGTTAGTGGTAACTCTTTTACAGTGGAATTATTTCTTCGAAATACCAATGTCCGCAAGGAAAAACAGGAGTCATTGAAATGCAATCCCCATGCCGGAATGCAGAAAGTAGTCACTGGAAGATTGAATTTAAATGCCGCATAATTTTAATGGGTGTGCCACTTTTTTTTCGTAGGTGTTTGATTGCCCTTTATTCACTTGTTTTTTTTGGTCATGTAGATAGTATCTGACTATATGAAGATGGAGAGGAAAGCTCAAACCGCTATGTCTGACTGCTTGGCTTTTGTAATATGTACAAATGACTTGATTGGGTTGATCACATATGATCACGATAATAGTCTTTGTGAAGACAGGAATGTTTTCCCGTGTAGTAGTATTGTTAAAAATCCTCTTCCTGGACTTAATTCTCACGTGAACCCTTTCTACATGTTTGGGCTACCTATCTGGCGTAAACGTGGAGATTTCTTGACAAACTGTTTAACTCTCCGTTAAAGATTTTCTTTCTAATATTCTGTGTAGTACTATGCATGAAAAACTATTTTCACTTGTGGGTCTTGGATATGAGTAGTCGTTTGTCGGATGGTCTTTCTTTTGAAGGCCTAGCGGAAAGTGTTTGTTCAGTAAGTCGAGGCTTTTTTGAAGGAAGAGAAAAGAATATGTTCTGACTGACGAAGACAACAAATGACGACATCAGAGAAAAGGTGTAAGACGGAAAAATACATTTTTCTACCACTTCCTCCTTATTCCTACACTTAATTTCCCCTATTCCGCTTACATTACCTTTCTTGGTCTGTTTGGGCAAAAGATGAGTTGACGTGAATCAAGAAATCTGTGACATGTTAGGGGTTTTTCTCTTAAGGCAATTCGTATGTGAAACCATATAAAATGCTCACGGAACCCCCTTGATATCATGTATGTTGTCTACCTGGTGTTTTGAGTAGTTTGATGAATTGAAAAGCTATAATTATTCACAGTAACCTAACAGTGTCGTCGTAACATACGTCGATTTACCTAAATCTGCTTCAAAATTAGTTTGAAGTACTTACCTACCTTGTTTTATTGAGCATCAGTTGCGTGTAGCTGAATGCTTACGTGTGCAATTCACTAATCAGGTGAGTTATTTATTAAGGAAGAGAATTTAGTAGATGAAGTTGTAAATCACACTTTTAGGTAGTTGATACACGTGTTGCATGATCACCCCTTAAGTTAGTAGTTGATGACAAAAGATGGAGAGTGTGTAGTAATTTGTTAAGTCATTGGCTACTGTTACGCGTCTTATGAAAATCCTATCCTGGATGACAAACCGGCACATTAAATATGCATAAAGCTTACTCACCGTTCGCATTCACAACTTCATGCAAATCAGAAATCAGCTTTGTCTGTAACCCTGCAAAACCCTTCGGTCTATGAACGCTGCATCTCCGAAACATGTGCGTGTTTACTCGTAGACTCTTTGGTATCCTCTGTCATTACAGTTGTTAGTGCTACAATAACCACTAGAGGTGGAAATGAACCACTAAACTGGATCACCACTAGTCGTCTGTATGGTTAACTCTTGGAGCTGTGGATCTTCGGCTTAGGCAGTTGACTTTCGTGGACTGTTAAACCTACCGAGGTTTGATCAGTCAGGTGGTATATTAACCCTCACGAGTGCCTACGAGTATAGTATGTGATTTGCACCACTTAAGTGCAAGGTACTTTCACAAGACTAGCATGAACCGCCTGTGACTGCATTCATCCGTACCCATAAACCGTTGGAACCATTCTAAAAATCAACTACCTTAGATATCATCAGTGTTGGCGTTTGTGATTTAATAAGTACAGTTTTTGTGTAGCAGCAGAAAAAATATTTCAACGTGTATCAATCTTAGCACTACCATGGAGTCAGTTGAGGTGTAAAAGTTATGGTTTTCTGTGCCATCGCCTATTCAAGGCACTGGTACACGATGACTCTGCACGTTTGATGGCGATCCTATTCACGCGATGGTTTGTACCTTGCTGTTTAAGAATAATAGTGTCATTCAACAAGTTAGTTTATATTGGGACACTGGTTTTCGTGTTTTGGTATTAGTCAAGCTAATTCAAAAAATGAAGCAATAATCATTCTTCGATGTAGTACCTGTGGTTTGGGAGTAGTCGTACTGGGCCAAGACATGTCGGTACCCCGACTCCCTGCATAGGATCTTAGAGGTCATGTGACCGTTAGTTTGTAAATGTCAGTACGTTTTGAGGATCGAAGCTGTGGTTTTCTTGTATCAACTTTTACTCAGCAGTGTTACGGAAGCAATATGTTTATAAAGTTTCAATTTAGTGGGAAGTTAGATTTTTGATATTCTGGCGATCGACTTCCAGATCATAAATTTTAACTTGTAAATTAACTATGATTCACGTATGTATTTTTAAAAACATCTATCCAACACTCAATTTACCTAGTAGTTTGGTTTAACGTTGGCTGCAGTCTTAGCAAAGTGATACGTTAGTTTTGAAGGCTTCTCGGTTGTGAGATCTGTAGCTGTTTCTCATTCCTTGGTCATTTTGTCATCTTTTCTTGTTGTGTACTAACGCAAAATACATTAAATCTGTGTCGTACTCGTTGTTCATGCTACTGGGTTGGTTCTAGACAAAACTAGTTTTGCAATCGCTCAGTTAATGAGTGTGAACCGCCATCGACTCAGGTGGTGTGCATTCGTAGTTACTATCTTTTCCGATGCGCAATGTTAGCTAGGGTAGATTTAGGCTGGAAAGATGTTAGACAAACAAACTAGAACGTGACACCAGTCCGCAAACTCTTTGACTTGGCTTGGACCGTATAAGAAAATGTAGACTTCCGGTTGGAATCCGCGTGAAGACTGAAATTGCCAGCTGAGGTATCTGGGTGAGATCATTTGAAGTCTATCGCGGTGGTGCCGTTATGTTTATGTCTTATGTCAGTTCCGGTCAGCGTATCACATTTTGCTACATGCTTTACATCGTTTTCTTTTTAGCTTTCTATGACTTTTGGATACATTTCTATTCCTCCATTTTTCATATTGATACCCTGTATCTTGACATGATGATGTGAGTTATCATAACTTAGACGGACATGCAATAATTCTAGTTCCCACCTCGATATTGGCTGACTAATTGCATCACCTTGGACATATTCTAGGTTATTGGGAGATAATATTTGTTTATGATAGTGATTTTTTTCTACCGGGAGAACATCCACTTAAAATATTTTGATCGAGAGTTTCTGAATCATTTGTTGTGGGATCACCGAAATGATTTTATTCTTCGGCTTTCACAGCTAAACACGTATAAATCGATTCAATCAATACAATCAGTGATCAATGAAGCGATATATAGTCGTCTAACCTTATCAATGTTTTCCCTTTTATTAATTAAATAAGTTCATCCTTAAAGTCAAAACAAGGAGTTTGGGATTGGCTAGCAGTATTTATATATTTATAACTATTTACATAAATGATCAACGTAACCACAATTCTAGTTAGTATTTTAAATTTCATCACAATAGAACGATGTGGTCTTCGATCGATTTGGCATCTTGTGCCTCGTATAATCTGATTACTGTGAAATCATTTAAAAGTAGAACTTATATTCATTTTATAACATCAAATGTCATTTTATTGTGTTTATGATTTGACTTGCAACCATAGATGTAACTTGCATCTTATTACCTTGCAATTACCTTTTGCACTCCTTTGTTAAATATTTCTTTTACTTAGTTAATTTTCAATAGAGATGGGTTGCTGAGTGAATTCGATATAAGACGCAGAATACCAACAGTTCACAACTTACTAGTTCATACTTGTAAATATAAAGATTACAACACCAATCACAAATAGTGAATTTCTCCAGTGTTTAGAAATTTGTCGAAGTAGTTTGTCACTAAGTGACAGTTTCTTGTAAATGGCAAAGCGTAGGACAGTGCATAATGAACTGAAACAAAGCTTATAAAATAATTACAAAAATTACTATTTGAAGTCTATTTGACGTCTCAGAAACAATCCACTGAAAGTAGGTGTTACAATCAATTACGATACGTCATAATGTAAATCACCTACCATATGTGTCATAAATTGGCTATCTGAAGTTTCAAATCTCATTGTTATTATTCAATACTTGAAATGTTAATAACGACTAACCTACGTTTTTTGTGACACTTTATATCCTAATAGTGTACATTTTATTGATGCATATTTTCTGTTTTTTATAGTTTAATGTCGGATCAGTTGTCGAAACCATGCCTAAGCACTCAGGTAATTTAGCGTTTTATGTTTCTAACTGTAAAAAGTTAATGTTCTTTTTCCTGAAACTTGACAGTCTTGTAACATTTCGGCTTTATAACGAATTAATGCACAGTTATAATGATAACTACTCGGTTCAGCAACTTTCCTAAAAGTTATTTTAATTTCTAATTTCTAGCAGTGCTGTTTGACTTTGTCATTGAAATCAGTAGCTAGTTCCTACTTATCTGATTGTCAGTAAGCTATGTCAGTATTGGAATGAAAAAGTATTTAGTTATCATCTGTAACAGTTTCCGCTTATTTTGCTTGTTCTACTTTATTAGTTTACAAGCATAATGTCAATTTCGAACTCAAGGTAACAAGTGATTGTCATCTAAAGCATACTGCGAAGTCTCAGTAGACAACAGACTGCTTTCTAAATTAGATTCGTTTATTGAATATAACGTATGGTGATAGTGTTATGTTCTGGGTACTTATCTATTTGACTTCACAGCAATTGCGTAGTATTTGGTGAATCGAAGTTTCTATTCTGACTTGGTCACTGGCATCCACCAACAGTAAACATTTGTCTCTGAATAGTTTTTCAAGCTTGAATACTCCACCATGTTCCTCGTCATCTTAATAATCCTACACAGAGTTTATTCCTAAAGCAACATAAAAGGTCTTAAATTCTGTGTTTTTCGTATTGCATGCTCTAACACAATTCCCAACCTGTAGCTGCTACCCTGACTTGGTGGTCATGTTCGCATATCACAAAGACCCAGCAATTTTAGCTGTTGTGAACATTTGTTCTTTGAGGTTTCTGAGTAGTGGTAAGACGAAAAGCAGTTACCATTATAGTGTAAATAACTGCACTCATGTGGATCCAAGGACGAAGTCGTACTGGTGACTAAACGGAGTGTGACGGCAGTAAGACGTTTCCTACAGATGAACAGCACTCCATGCTGCTCCCTCCCCTATCGGATCGGGTAGCTTTGGAGAACGGCTCCCATAACAGCACCCCCGTACCCTTCAGTCTTCCGGTGCCAGCAGTGTAGGTTTCTCCTATCCAGCGTTAAAATAGTTAAATCTCATACTCACAATCCTTAAAGTGTTGTGTGTGACAGGTGTCGAGGGGACATCTAGTGGGCTCTGTAGTTACGCACTCTACATTAAAATTCAGAGCTTTCAGTGTCTGTACCTTTCGTCAAATCGAAAAGCAACCCTGGCTAGCTAAAACTGTGGCATGTTGAACTATAGACGTGTGGTGTGTTTGTAAGACATGCAAACAAGCGCAGTTATTCACTTGATCTCACTCGATCAATATGATGGATCTTCGAATTTCACTTTTCAAGTTTCTGGAGATTCGATTACTAGTTCTCACGACTTTGTGTGTTTAGGCACAACATCAACTCCTAAGACAGAAAGTGCACTGCTCGCCTAAATCTCACTTTGCAGTCGTTTGTGTGCTGTTCGACCGAATGGTGCAGTGAGGACTAAAAAGAGTAATGAAGTATATCGTTTTCTCTTTGTAATCTCTTCTTATGCACCTACTAAATGCAGTTCAGATGAAGTGAACGATGAGCTCTAACGATAACTGTCTAGTCTTCTACTGGGAACCAAGCATTCAAATGTGGTTATCGTACCAGGTGATTTCAATCAACAATTGGGTAGGTTAAGGTATGCATAAAAGCACTTAGGTGGCACTTTCGGGATCTCAGTCAAGCGAACGCATAACTCTCAGACAACCATTTATTTTTGGTCAACACCACCTCCAAAAATAAAAAGGGAACATTGTCTGACGTGTTATCCACCGGCTTTAGGAGTAGACACATGGATAGTAGTACTACTTTTTTTCATTAGAGTGGGCTAATAAAGGATTAATACTCCTGGAACACGTGCTTTGATGGTGATCACGTGTTCCTCCAAGTGTGCGTTTGTCTGTGTCTAAGTGAACGTAGAAAAGCTATAGCTGTAAGACCATTCCGTGCGCAGCTCGACGACGGGAATGCTGAGACTGCCTTTAATGAGGAACTGATTAGGCAGTTGTCGGAACAAAACACCACTCATCCAAAAGAAGGCTGTCGCCATCTTCAGTCTGGTGTAACAACAGCGTTAAAGACCGTAGCTGACTCTAAGAAAATAGTTAAGGAGAGTCAGTGGATCTCAACAGATTCTTCTGAAATAATGAATGTAGGTGAAGCTATCCATTGAAGTCCCGAGCACAATGATTGACAGAAGCAACCCAAATGTAGACTGATAGAGTCTACCCAGTGAGCGTTGTGAGTGAGGGGTCGCGAGAGCTGACGAGATGAAAAGGGCTATGGTGTTAGGTGCCGGTAGACGGTTATGTAGAGAGATCGAGGAAATGTGGGCCAAAAGCCAATGGTTAGTGAGATGAATGCAGAGGAGGATGTGTTTGTGGTTTATTTGCAGAGGAGATTACTGGAACAGTGGCTGAAACACTTTGAGGAACAGTTCAACTCACCTTCACCTAGTGTTTCGTTATCTGCTATCCAGCCGAAGCCAGAATGAGACTCTGAGATAAGCTCTGCAACTCTTGCGGGTGTTTAGAAAGCAGTAAATAACCTGTAGTAAGGAAGGAGAGTAGGGCCAGGTGGGTTGTTACGATGGACATTTAAGAGCGATGGTCGAGGATTATTGGTCAGACTTAGTGAAGTGTTAGCGTACGGGAATCGGATACAATCCTCTTTGACTGGTCCCAATCACTGATTGTTGAAAGGAGAGGAATTCTCTAGTGGTAATCACAGGGAATGAGTCTGGCGAAGAGTGTCTTAGATCCTAGGTTCTGTGACCAATAGAGATCTGAGTGAACCTCAGGAAGAGTAAACTCAAGATAAGCAGACAGGCAGGTTCCATACTTGGGTGTATCGACCAGGTGTTCATCCTCCACTAGGTGTTAGAACACAAGCACACTTACTGGCACTCGACACTATCTATATTTCTTGACTTGAAGGCGTCATTCGATAGTGTCGATCTAGAGGTTTTGTAACTGTCTCTGTCTGGGATGGGTGTCTGTAAATACATCATTCTGTCGTGTCATCCTGTTGTATTATAGGACTGCAGTGCACTACTTTCGTCCGTCAACAGATTGTCGGATACTTGACACCAGCAATGTATTCGACTGCATACTAAAGGGTAAGTATGCTGTGTTGCAGTCTGTTCTGTCCCGCTATACGGCTGTACGACATGACCATCGAAAGTAGAAGATATGATGAGACCGCAGAGTTTTGACCCTAGGTGTCTTTACATCTTTGCTCACTTATGGTAGATTTATTGTGTTTGCAACGTGGAGGTTAGGTGAAGGGTATTAGACATGTAGGTAGATTAGGTCGATGAAATTGTGAACCTTCAGTGACCGAGGTTGTTTGGACATGTGTTATGCACTCCGAGCCAGCACCTACTTCGACGTGCAATGCTGGGAGAAGTTGGATGGTAAGTGTTTGAAGAAGGCTCAGGTTGACCTGAACAAGACTTTGAGAAGACACAGAGTGTTCTAGAATCCTTTAGTTGCAATTTGAGAACGTTTGGAATACGTTTTTCACTACCCATGGGCATGTTGTTGCCCAAGTACTAGTTTTATTTGCGCTTGTTCTAACAACAATGGGTAGGATAGTAGTTGACTACTTCACACACCTGGGATCAGCGCAGGTGTATCAATGGCCGACAAAATTTCTACACATACGAAAGAAGCTCACTCGATCTTCGTAAACTTACTCCGTTTACTGCTCTGGGGACATATCTAGTCATATATCAAGAATCAACTGTGCTGTGAAGCCCTTCACTCTTTTATACAACTGTTAAACGTGGCTATTGAAGGTCGACGACCGTAATAGACCTCTTACGTTTGTCCACGGTCACTTTGGTAGCATGTGCACTATATCGAGGTGCCACTACTTCAGAAGTGTCGAAGTCAGGCTTAGAGTTTTAAATCGAAGACGTAAGTCAGTTAATGAAGTAGTAAACCTTTATTGACTCAGCTTGAAAATGTTTTACGTTTGCCTAGTTATCGTTAGCTCGATCATGTACTGTTTTTTGAAGTAGGTTTTTTCCGGGAGGAGGTTAGAGGCGGTAACACTGAAACATGGAACTAGTCTAAGTGTCTGACTGTTGTCCTGAGCCGTTTAAGGAAATGTCTTCCTGGGTTTGGTTCCACGTAGTAGAGACTTTCACACATGACTTCATCTTTGTCGTCACGGTGGATTTCATCATCACTTCACTTCTCCTTGTTCTCTTTTTACGACCTTTTACCACTTATGATTATTTTCCCCCCTAATTCTTTATACTTCTTGTTTCCTTCTACCGAAATATGCTACTATGAGGCGCGGTAACTTAGACCGTTACATCTAATGCTAGCTTTGACTGATCAACTGACTAATCACATTGTATTTTTTAAAGAAATTATTACAGACTCCCGAATGAATTTATGAGGACAGGATTTGAGTTTTTCTGCAACCTTCATAAGGAATTTCTTCATTTAGATTTTCTGAATTACTAGTCAGATTTATGGCTTCACCCTCAAAATATCTGACGGAATCTACCTTTAATGATGTCACATGGGATGATCTAAAGTGTGGATATCTATTAGGATGTAATGGTTTTCTTTAGGTACTAGTATTCTAAGCCATGTGAATCATCGGTTTTGGCACTTGACTTTTAACAGGTATGTCATGGATTCGAACCCCACTCCGCCTACTGAAGTCCGGAGAACCAGGTAATAAGTATCATCAGCCCTCATACAATAGGTGTGTCTCATTGTCTGCTATCCATTTGTTTAAGGAAGCTATAGATGTGTTCTGATCTTAGTAATTGTATTATTCACATAGATACACCTTATGGGTACTGTTTACGGAAGTAGTTACGATGCGATCAATTCCTTAACTTGTAGCAGATATGTTTGTGGCTGGCTGAGAACCCATGGCTGTAAAAGAATTCAATCTCATTGCTAATTTATGGAGAAATGGTAGATAAAACACTTGATGTCATTTAGACAGTCGAAAGAAAAGTTTGCGAAATAGATAAAATCAATTTCGGATGTCATACAGTTGTGCGTTATTCGTGACCTGGATAGGACACTAAAAATCTAATGCTTACTATAAATAAAAGGACTAGCAAATCTAGATTAGTAAAAACTAATTTTTCGTAGGGTGTTTCTTCTAAAATTTTCAAATATGGTTGACTAGGGTTATTAGTAAGGTTAGCTGTGATATTATGTAGGAAGGGGGTAATTTAGCTGTGGTTTTCTATTATACAAATTCTCGTTTGATAACTACAGATGAATCAGATCGTGAAACTTACTGATAGAATCTAGTTGGCTGATAGTAGTGTTAATAACAATAAGATCTCTAATTTACCTACCATATCCAGGCAATTTGTTTTTATTTGATGAAGACATTAACGAAATGTGGTTTTCTGAACACTTTAGACTATGATGAGACAATATTTATTATGCCTTTCTCGCTTCTCTAGCTTTAAATGTTGCTTCGGGACTGGTTTCTACGCATTATTTGATTACCATAAGAAAGTGAAGTAATAGAGTGTTCGAATCACGTTAATTACTCAAGTTCAATCAGCTTATGTGATTTAGTAACGGGGTACGAATACGTAAATGTTGTTGATTTTTCGCGTAATGAAGTCGTATGAGATCAGCGTAGGGTATTTTAAGGCCTCTTTGGGATCGATTGTACTTCACAACACTATGAAGTATCTTCTATATGGCTCTGAAATTTGTCCATTGAAGGTAAACCGTATGTGGGGGTTACAAACATTTATTCTTCTGTGCCTTTAAATAATTACATGGTGAGTAATATTTAACTAAAGCTCTTAACTATTAGATTTTAAGTCTTCATTGATCAATGTGGTTTGAGTTGCAAAACCACTGTCTTTCTGAACGTAGAATTAATATTTGAGTTGGAATGAGACGCTTGTGGGCATGTTAGAACCTATGGCGAGTTGTCCAGGGAGCTATACTCATCAAGTGGTGTCCATCAAGGATGCCCACTATCCCCATTCTTATTTATTTTATCATAGATATTCTTATGGAGGTTTCCCTCTCGTCACCTAATTACACAGACGTTGACCCAATCACAGGTGAATTTTCTTTAGATCTAGAATATGCAGATGACATAGTCCTGTTAGGTGAAGACGCTGACAAGATGCAGAGTCTTCTGAACACTTTGAGTGGGAATTTGAGAATGTTTGGGATGCGACTTTCACCACCCAAATGCAAATTTTTGCTCCAGGACTGGTCTTCAGCGGTGCCCCACCGCGGCTAACAATAGAGAGTGAAGTGGTTGAGTGTGTTGACCACTTCAATTACCTGGGAAGTAGGATCAACCCTGGTGGGTTAGTTGCCGATGAGATTTCTGCACGGATACAAAAGGCTCGATTGGCTTTTGCCAATTTGCGCCACCTATGGCGCCGCCGTGATATTCGTTTGTCTATTAAGAGTCGCGTGTACTGCACAGCAGTCCAGTCTGTTCTACTGTATGGCTGTGAAACATGGCCATTGAAAGTGGAGGATACAAAAAGGCTTCAGGTGTTTGACCTTCGTTGCCTTCGTAGTATAGGACGTATTCCGTGGTGTCACCATGTGAGTAATGCAGAAGTTAGGTGTAGAGTTTTGGGGAGAAGAGGTAAGTCAGTTGACGAGGTTGTGAACCTTCATCGACTGAGATGGTTGGGACACGTACTACGTATGCCTAGTCACCGATTGCCTCGTCACACAATGTTGGCTGAGGTGGGTCCAGGCTGGAAAAAGGCCCGAGGTGGTCAGACTAAAACATGGCACCAATGTATGAAGTCTCTGACAGTTGGTTTAAGCCATGTAGGACGATGCAGACTAGGTGGTTGGGGTTGGCGGGACAAGAGAAACCAGTGGTTGAAGACCCTAGGTGATATGGCTGAGAACCGATGTCAGTGGCGCAGATGTATCCCCACACACATTATCCTCATCTTAACAACGCTATACCGAATCTCACCATTTTGTCACTCCTCTTTCCTTTCTTCTCGTACTTTATATTTCTTTTGACTGCATTCACTTATCTTCATCCTTCACCTCACTACCTTTTTACTTGATGTGCTGATATGAGGTGTGGCAACTCGGACCGTTACGCAGTAATGCCTGGTTCTATGTTGACAATGATGATGATGATGATGGAATGAGACATGAAAAGCCTCAAGGAGTCGAATTAAGTCATGAAGAAGGCATGAAGAAGTGGGACATCGTTGGTTGATGCTCATTTTATGACTAATTTGTATTTTTAAAGAAATGATAAGACGCAGTATACGGTCTGTTGCAGTATTGAAAATATATTTATATTCTGTCTCTTTTAATTGTCCTTATTTTTCCATATGTTTCTTCATTTGCTCTTGTCATACATTTCTCATTGTCTTGGTGATTTCCTTTTGTCGTTCGAAAAGTGTGTGTGTGTGTGTATGTGAATAAGTAAATTCACTACATTGTATATTGTATACGATTGAGTTACTAGACATACTCATGAGTAATATTGACTGATATCCTCAATAACTGATTTCTGTTTATCAACTTTTGGCTTACTCATATGATGGCGTTGTAATTGGACTTAATAAAAGATAATTGTGTTTTGTTTTCATAAGGTGCTGTAATCACTGCAGCATTTCCAGAGGATATCAACTTTAGTTTATTGTATGCTATAATTAAATTAGTAAGTATTGCACATTACCGATCTACAGGAGATGTTTAGTTGACTATATCTGTGTTCTGATATCAAAATATGGTGTTAGTGCTTTCGATGTCAGTTGGTTGTTACTGTAATCACTATAAGGGAACATGAAATGACTCCAAACTGCCATTTTCCCCCCTAAAATTTGAAAAATCGTCAAACAGCTGTTATCAGGTGATATTTTTATCGTTATTATTGTTGAGAATTTAAGCTTTCCTTAAAAACTATTTAATCTAGATTAAAAGGCTTGTTTCTCTTTGTTTTATTTTACATATTTGCAACTTATTGAATAAACAGTATAATTGTTTTATTTAATATAGGATCTCACTTCGAACTCAAATATCCAAGAGGCTACATATGATAATGATGCAGATTCGCATGGAGCTAGTAATTCATCTTTCAATGAAGATGAAGTAAGGGTGATAGAGTTGGAACAAAACAATACATGTAAGTAAAACAGCAATCCATTTTGATCATTGAGCTTGAGGATATTTCTCATTTGTCAAATGCTAAATTTTGTTTGTTTTCAGTAAACATTATAGTTTATTGAATGATTCTTATTTGTCAACTTCAAAATAATACTGGGGAATAAGTGTCGGTGTCTGAGTCATAGTTTGCCTAAACCAACTTCTTCTTCTAGCTTCACAGACAATTTCGCTGATCTTGTTGTTCTACGTCAAGATACTGTTTTCGTATATAAAGTATCTGACGTCAGTTTAGGTATTGTATTCAATGTAATTGTATAAGGAAGTGAAGTTGGCATATCACTCATGATTATCTGTAAAGATAATTTTTGACTAGGTTGTACAGCTGACTTTAGTAAATATGTTTTTAGTTTTATATAATGTTATAATCAAAAACCCTCGTAAGTGAAATTTAACTAATAATAATAATAATAATAATAATAATAATAATAGTGATAATAATCGTTTCGTTCCAAACAATGTGTATAATACAGTATAGAATTCTCAGCATGTAATTTTTCAATAAAGTCACTCCCAGTACAATATTTTCTGACGAAATGACTATTGCATTTTAATGTCATTAATAACATTATTCAAGACAATAATGTGAAACAGCCAGCTGGTTTTGGATTAACGTCCGGTCCATAATGACGAATCAACAGGAATGTGAGCGTAAGTTTACTAATGGCGATTCATTCAGTCAGTAAAAAATTCTTTAATTGAACCTCAGTATCTGAGGAATGGAAATATGATGTACTTTTGTGCACTGTAAAGTCCACTTCTATAGAACTTGACATTTTTTCTCTCTTTTGTTATTAACTCGAGAAACGGCTAGTCGAAAATATTTTGAAAATGTGCGCGAGTACATAATACGTTCAGAGGACATATTTAAATGATTAAAACAAATTAAAAGGGAAAAATTTGATGCATACGTTCGGTGGAAAATTTTGGTATCCCAATGTTCCAGCAGGCCTCCGTTTTTTTTTGTCTTCTGATTTTACATGTTCCGTGGCAAATTCTGGTTATGCTGGTGAATATTTAATTTTAACTAATGAGAAACAGTATCCACATACAGTTTCATTTCACTAACCACAATTCCTTATTAGGAATTCTAATAATTCTACTTAACTACTCAAACTGTTATATGCACATGAATCCGACTTCAAATTAAGGTTCAGGGTTACTTATCTGAAGTTATGTGTTAAAACACTCACGTGAAACTCACGTAAAATACTCAATGAATTCTCGTAAACTAATGGATTCAGTCAAACAAATAGCTGCATAGAATTGTAACTGAGAGTATATCTATTCAAAAACGGCATAAGCCAAAATGTTATTCATAGCTTTGTATAAAATAGTACTATACTGAAGCTAATCAGTACTGTTTTAATTTTTCCTATTCAATATATCACATTTGAACGCCATATCATGAAGTAAACCACGATGCTGAGTGTTTACCGTCTTCCGATGGTTTAAAGCATTCCGTTGAAGATACACAAAACAATACAATGCAAGTAAGTTGTTGCGCTTAGTTTTCCACTTACCATCATACTGTTTTTTGTTTGAAAATGTATCTACCCTTTGAAGACACTTTCTCAGGTGTTGTGATTCAAACTTTCTGTTAATAAACGTATTTAAGGTGGATGAAACCGTACTGTTTTGTCTCAATTTTGCGAGTGATTTTAAAGACCATCCTAACAACTGCTGAAATGACCAATCAGGCTTCGGTATGTTGTCTGGGAAAGTACTCTTTCATAAAATAAAGCAATGCAATTGGACTTTAAAGTCACCCCAATTTTGCTGCATGCGGTTGGTTCCTTGTTTACGCCTCTAAATTCATATTTTACACTGTCATTTTATGCTAATTTTATGTCATCCTAAATAATTTTTTGGAGAATTTCACAATATCAAGCCAAGTATTAGCAGTGAAACTTCACAGAAAAGTGATGCTTTTATAGCTGACAACACCAGCTGAATCCAAACTACAAAATTGAAATAGAAAGGATGTTACTGTTATGGTGTATCTAAGATAAACTTACTGAAAAAGGTATGTTGCTATAGTTGCTTAGTTTTGCTATTAGAGTGACTTATATGAAGGTCTCAATAATTTACCAAACTCAGCTGCTACTTTGACTTCGTTTTAAGGCTTGTCAATTTCATCCTTCTTACTGTCGCATGGTAGTTAGACGGTGTTTTCTTGAGATCTTACGGGCGACTTTAAAGGCCACCCTAGCAACTGATGTAACGGCTAATCAGGTTTCTCTATTCCATAAAGTATTGTCTTCCTTTCCAAAGTACCGCAACCTGATTCGTTATTTTGGCAGTTGTTAGGGTGACCTTTAAAATCGTCCGATTTACTGTGGGATTAAGGGGAATCGAGGTCTGCAAAAAGCAAAAGCAACAAATATAACATTTTAAGAATACCGTAGTAACTAATCAATTCGAAACCAGAGCTTACCAATAGCGAGACAAAAACACTAAGGTAGTGAACAAGCAGTAGTGTTCAGTGCATGGGCGAGAAGTCGTAGTAGCCGTGTATTTTTCAATTGTCGAAACTGACATTTAGGGTGACCTTAAAAGCCATTTTAATAGCTGCGGAAGTAACCAATGGGGTTTCGATACTCCGTTTAGTGAGGTGATTTTTCATAAAATGGGAAGTCTGATTGGTTATTTCAGTTGTTGCTAGGGTGGTATTTGAAGTCACTCATATAGAGCAAATAGTGGTAAATATGTCTGTAAATCAAGATAACTACCAGTTTATGTGAACTACTGAAGGTTCAGTAAAAATAATATTGTTGATAACAATGTTTAGAGATTGTATTCAATATTAATGTAGTAAGATACGTTTTCACATGGTTTATTCTTATACAGATATCAAGTGAAGTTCAAATAGAGAATAAAACTTAATGTTTAGCTTTCTTTACTTCAAACGAATGTAATTCAACGCCTTCCATGAAGTAACGTATGTAACAACATTCTAAAAGTACTAAATAAAGCATGGAGAACGGTTGAAATCAGTGTATGTAACATTTTTTTTTTGCATAATATCGCTTTAACCGGTATCGAAGAGCTCTAAGCAAAGCCGTAGGAACGAAAGACTCTGGTACGACTTGGATATTATAATTCTTTTTTTCTTTTCGACTGAGGGTATGCACAAAATTCAATGGCTAGCGGAATGCATTTTACATGGAAGCTGAAGTGTGTGATTTGACTACAGACACTCGTCTTACAGTCGGAGTTCTACTCTTTTTTATGTTGTTTCAAGAAGTGACTAACATATTATTCTTATCAACCCTAATCTCTTTTATCTTCTCAACTGGCTCTTAATTTTAATCTATAATTACTACTGTAGATCTTGTAAACTTCAACTATTACACTACCACTGTAAATTTTGTGCTGCTGATCAGTATAGGCTCAGAAGCTACTATATAAAGCAAAGAATATATTGATTTCAAACGAAGTCGGGTTCGAGTTTGTGTATCCTAATGGTTTCTTTAGACAACTAAAATATCCAGCAGATAATTATCATTCTCCAGAAAGTTTTCTTCTGATGGACAAATAAATCCTCTATAGGTGGCTAAATAGTTTTCTCTGCTCAGATAAGGATTTTGTATGCTCTTGACGTACTTGTATTATCAATCTTTTAGGACGACAACAATAGGAGTTTAGCATTTTACCAATATCAAGTTGTTCATCTATCTGTATGTATACACTACACGAGATCCATGCCTTCGAATGAAGCAGATCTATAATCCATTATTTTAAGATATTAGTTATAGATTTTTACTGTTGCGCTTTCGAAAAGATAAGTTCTTGCATTCATACTTCAATACATTTTTTCAGGATATCGTATCTCCGCAAGAATCATCAAATGATCAGTCAAATGAAGTTCGTTGGCGGCATTGTATGAACAATGGTCAAGAAGTGTATATTAATGAAGCAACTGAAGAAACGGTAAGTTCAGGGTAGATGAAAACTTTCCACAGAAAATTTATGTCTTTCTATCTGTTCATCACATCACTTCAGTTCAATGAAACCCATTTCTAACAGAAGCACATCATTAGTTGGATTTCAAAAGTTGTTAGTCACGTGAAAATTACAAAAATATGTGCCGACTATAGTCAGAAAAGCTATTATCTTAATGAAGAATAAACCTTGACGAGTGAGAATTGTTTTATTCTCATTTCATAGACTTCCCAACTATGTCAGCTATGCAGATTTGATTATGTAAGTGGCAAAACTCAGAAAAACAAAACAATAACCAATATTTAGTTTGAATAAGGTCAGATCTTTATAAGTGAGTTAATCACCATATGTCTCTAACTAGTATTAGTTTTGATAACAAGTTTATACTTTGTTAACTTGGTTATTACCTTTCACAACCCGGATCATTCACATCACTAACAGTTAAAAAAGTTTCGTATATTATTGTTTCTGGTTTCAGTGCAAATGTATCGCATATTAATCCAGTTACAGTTTCAACATGAATGTGTATATTTACGACTCTTTAGCCTAGACACTTGTTTTACATCCAATACATTACAAGTGTGAACTCTTTCTTCACTATATGTGTTCTGAGCAGCCAGGTGGTATCTATAACCTTGGTAAGAAATATAGTTCATGATGTAGTTTATGATTCTATGCACTCCTAGTTAATGAGTGAAGTAGGTTTATAATCTAGCCTAAAATTTACTGGATGTTTACATTTCCATATCAGCATTTTAAGAGGTATTCGACAAAGAAATGGTCATCTGTCAGTTATTGAACACCATAATCGTCAAAGTGTAATATTATGATGTATATTTATTCCCGAAATCAGTAACATGTTTCGTTTACAATCTAAAAGAGCCAGTATTCTTGGAAGGCTTGAAATGTGAAAATGGCAATAGTTTATGTAGACTTTTTGTGTGATGACGATCGGAGGCAGCTTTAGGCAATCGCAATGTTATTTATAGTTATCTATCAATTAATCGTTTTGTTTGATAATGTTATCATATTTTTACTTAGTTGTATATATTCTGTTTGATGTATTTATATTTTCGATAAGTATACACTTTCGTCAGGTTTTTGTATAAGGAGATATATTGTAATTATTGAAAGTTTCAGTATCTGTTTGATAGTTTACAACGCGTAACTTTGTTATACTGATATAATTGGCATGCCTAAATCTAAAGTCATATGTGTATTCTTCGTGTTTTCTATTAAATTCCACAGTGGATTCCAGCAACTGACCAATACGGAAAAACTTACTATTATGAACTTAACAGTCGTCATTCTGTATGGACACTTGAAGATTTAGATACACCAGTTACAAAAACACCAGACGTATCTGATTCACTGAATAATTATTTAGACAGTAATGGAAGGAGCCCCGTTTGTGAAGATTTCAATTGTCCAGTCGATGGAGATATAGATCGTATTTCTCTTATTGACGAATATCCGTCTGCATCTAGACCTCCAAGTACGGGTGAAGTGAAACGAAGAATAATGAATCGATCTAAGAAAGTAAGCATTCGGTAAATTTTTATCTAGTTTTTTTTACTGCTTTGAATTTTCTCCATTCCACAAAAACTACCCTCTAGCTCGATAAAGTGATTAATGTTTACTAAATATTTCTTCAGACTTGTGCGTTAAACTTTCTAAAATCATCCGTTTGATATTATTTTATCAAAGTTTCTCTAGCTGCGTATGTGATATCTCAAGCAAGAATGTATAAAGCCGATTAAATCTGGAACTCGGCAGTGGATTATCACTTTATGCAAGAGGCTGTAGCCTGGATGTAGTTTGGTTGGACTACAGTCCTCTAATACACTTCTCATGTACCGTTTTAGTGAGAGATATTATCAAAAAACCAATACTGACAGAGTGAAATGCTGAATCATGCAGTTAGTGACGGTTTTTCGCTTGTCAGTGTTGCAGGATCTAGCACGCAGTTAGGATCCAGTAGTTACACCTATAATCAAACAAAATCCATTCGGTAGTCTTGAGTTCGTAGTATCTTAAAATAATGTTGGTTAAACTGATTCCTCCGCTGTTGTAATACAAGTTCATATCTATTTTCTTATCAGTTAGAACGGTCAATCCCAAGTTCTAGGGGACTGTTGTTTTCTTGATGTTGACTAGCGGTGGAATCCAGGACGTGCAGTTCTTCCTATTTGGGACTCATCAGTCGGGAGTACTTGCATCCCAGTCAGTGATGGTGTCCCCACTGAGACTCGAACCCATCACCCATTGCTTCAAACGCCAAAGAGTCATGGAAGCCACTTGTTGTACAATAGGTACCATTTTCTATTTGTTGATGCTAGTAATTCACTTTTATTATTCTGGACCGAATCGATCGGTCTCTTGGCATGTACGGTCCTTGGGCGGATGCCTAGATATTTTCCCAAGTTTCATTTTGATATTATTTGGTAAGTGATGCCTAGCGGTGGGATCCAGGATGCTCGTTTCATCCTGTCAGCTGGATGTGCTTAATTCTCACAAGTTATACTACTTTCACCAGAATAACTAATAATCCTGTACCTTTACATTACTATTTATAACAGTACGTTATCAATATCTGATACTCCTCATTTCAGTTCCTCGACGGTGGTCGAGGATTTTTAGTTAACTGAAGTGGTAACTAGTGTATGGGAGTCAGATGTGATCCTCTCTCACTGGTCTCAATCGCTGGTTGTCCCAGTCTTCAAGAAACGCGAGAAGTTCTCCTGTGATAACCACGGAGGAATCCACCTGACGAACCTATTACCTAAAATTCTTGGTTCTATAATCATTAGACGTTTGAGTGGAGCTCGGGAACACCAAATGCGAGAAAACCAGGCAGACTTAAAATCTGGCCTTGGGTGTTTCGACCAGGTTTCGGGACACAGGCGCCATTCGGTTCCGTTGATCGAGATGTGTTATGGTGGTGTTTTTTACTGGAAGGGGTGCCCAGGAAGCATATCACTCTGTCGAAGGCTGTTTACTGGAATACCTATGGGTGTGTTAGAGCCTATGGTGAGTTGTCAGGTGAGCTGTGTACATCGAGTGGTGTCCGTCAAGGATGCCCACTGTCTCTATTCTTACTCAATTTTGTCATAGACTCACTTATTGATGTCTCTCTCTCATCTGACTTCATGGGAGAATCTTGGGTAAATTTAGAATACGCATATGATATATTTCTGTTAGGTAGAGACGCTGACACGATGCAGAGTCTTCTAGACACATTGAGTGGCAATTTGAGAATGTTTGGGATGTGTTTATCGCCAACCAAATGGACTGGTCTTCAGTAGAACTCAGGTGTAGAGTTTTAGGGGGAAGAGGAAAGTCAGCTGATACAGTTGTAAACCATCATCGACTAAGAAGGCTGGGACACGTGTTACGCATGCCTAGTCACCGTTTACTTCGTCGCGCAGTGTTGTCTGAAGTAGATTCAGGCTGGAGAAAGGCTCCGGGGAGAGGGGTAAGACTAAAACCTGGCATTAGTGCATGAAATCTTTGACTGTTAATTTGGATGCATATAGGGAGATGCAGACTAACCGATTCGAGTTTTGCGTGACATCAGTAACCACTGGTTGCTAGCTCTAGATGATATGGCTCTGAATTGGTGTCAGTATGTCATAGATGCATCCAGACATTATCTTAGTGTTAATTGCCCTAATGAATTCAGCATATTCTCATTCCTTCTTCCTCTTTTTTACTGGTTTTTACTGGTTTTTCTTCCTCTCCTCATCTTTGATTTTACCATTTTGTTACGTTTTGTGGTGATAGAGATGCAGTATCTTGGACCGTTACACAGTGATACCTGGTCTTATGTTGATATTGTTGATGATGACTTCAGTTCCGTTATAACTTTTACAATTTTAGTTACAGGTCATATGTCGGTGTTCAGTTCATATGATGTTTGGATGATAGATAATCGGGTTAAATTAGACTGTAAAAATGTTCTGTTCATAGTGAAGGTCGACTACTCTGAGAGTAAATCCCTACGGTTTTCAGTGACAACATTTACCAGCAAAGCCTGCTTAATGGCTCTAAATAACAGTTGATTAATACGCACTGTTTCTGTTTTCTGTCTGTTTTTGCGAAGTACTATATATAACCGTTTCTAGGTTAACTCCTTGTATTCTTATGGATCGTTTGGCCGCTCAACTTGTATATAGTTAATCAAGATAAATTTTCTTACAAGTATTAGTACGAAATAAGCTACTGGGGTATTCTGCCTTTCAGATTACCTACTAAAAACTATTAACAGCCTTTTATCGTAGTTTTTAGTATTTTAATTAAGAAAAAGCGTATCGTAACTGCTTTAAGCTATCTCGTCAACTCTTCAAGAAATCATAATCTTCCCTCACTAATTAAACATTCTCATCATGGATCTAGTGAATAAATAAATGGTGCACTTTTTGTTTTCATTATTTTCATTCCTGACATTCATGTAATGTTTAAAAATGAATTCAGTGAACAGTCATTATCAATTTAGCTGTGTAAACACAATGTACAGTTGCACTACAAATGTGGTTTTCGTCATGGAGTATACACTATGATTTTGTTGATGGTTGCTCAAAATTGTACAAAGGTGTGCAAATCAGAAATGCGCAAGCAGTGGTCAACCTTATCAATAACTCACAATACTCAGTAAATAAGTACACATTTTTGTTAAAATAACAAAAGTATATATTGTAGCTTGTCAGTGTGTTCAACTAGTTAACTGTATGCTTATATAACATTATTTTCAGTCATATCGGAGTTCTAATATACCTTCTGAAGTCCCTTCAACGCCTATAATTAACAGACCCTTCAGCTTAGTTAGTCTCGATGATAACGATCAGGGTACAGGACGTTTCCAGATGAGGAATTTGAGCAAGGAACACATCAGTGGACCACATGAAAATAAACTCACGGTATGTAAATGTTTAAATTATATGCTCAAGTTTTCATCCTTATGTTCTTAAAACCATTCTGAATACTTTATTGTCAGTATATATATATATATATATATATATATATATATATATATATATATATATATATATATATAACGAAAACGAAAAAATCGGTTACGCAAACGAAAAAGCTTGTAATCATTCCTAATGGACTGAGGTTTGCGAAATTCTACATTAGAGTTTCTATATTGGGAAAAGCATTTCTTCATGTTTCGAAAATTTTTTGTTGGTATGAGTTGTTCATATGATATTTTATTCAGATAATTTTTTGGGAATGATCATGTTTTACTACGCATTTTAACTCGTCATTTTAGACACCTACGGTAAGTGGCTAATGGGTTTAGTTCCTTTCCAACCTATAAAGGTTTAGTATGTTAGGTAATATCATCTATTTTCATATAAAGGCGTGAGTTTTACCGTGATACACAGATATGTGCGTGGCTGTTAGGTTCAAAAGTTACTAACAAAACAGCGAATGTCTGGTTTTGCTATCTCATTGCACTGGTCGTTCTGTACTTGGGTTATTACGATCTAAATCTAGATAATTACTTTTGTCATTTTGTTCTTACACATCACGGGTTTTTGGACTGAATCTTTATGATACTCAGTGTTCTGGACGACACCACTTCATCCCCTTCTTGGAAGCAGAATAATAAGTAAAATTAACTGAGTGGTAAAAAATGACTATCTTTTATAGCCGTACGAGGATTGGCTAAGACTTTCAAAGCAGAAGTAGTCGAACTTTTATAGGTGACTTCTAACTCTAACTTTTTCTTGATAGGTTTCTCACAGCTTAGGCATCATGTATCACCGATTATTGTAGTTAAGACTTATTTAATGAGTTGGATACAAGATTCACCTGATAGTTTTGTTATAAGTGTTATCTGGGATCCGTATACTGATTGCTGTACTAGTCAGAAAAATGTTTAGTAAGCATCAATGCCATATTATGGTATTGTACTGTAATGTGGAAATCTGCTACCTTTTCGGTTAATTCTTGTGAATTGTTTGTAATAAGCGTATTTTACTTGTTCAATCCCACCATGAGACATCGCAACAAACTAACCTAAGGAATGATAATTTGGTTAGTTGTGGCTAGCAGGTGAATCTAGGACGCGCGTCTCGTCCTATTTGGGACTCGTCAGCTGAATGTACATGCACCCCAGTGGTGTTGTCCCCACTGAGACTCGAACCTCGTACCCATCACTTCAAACGCCAAGGCGTTATCCATTATGCCATAGATGAACGATAGCCACCTCTTGTACAATGGCTTATAGTTACTGCTATTCATTGACATACTTGTTATTCTCCGTTGTTTTGTTGGATCAAACTGAAGCGATGGGTACGAGGTTCGAGTCTCGGTGGGAACAGCATCACTGGGGTGCAGGTACGTCCAGCCGACGAGTCCCAAATTGGACGAAACGCGCGTCCTGGATTCTTCTGCTAGCCACAACGAACCAAATTATCATAATTAACATTCAGGCAATATCGAGGCATCCGCATACGAGCCCATATGCCAATAGAGGTCGAACAATTCGATCCAACAAAACGGAGAATAACAAGTATATCAATAAATAGTAATAACTTAAGCAATATTTTGTATTATTTCTCGAAGTTTCTGTCATAATGCAGAGTTGGTAGAACAAATTAGGACAACCGACGATTATGAGTTCGAAGATTGAGGTAATTCAGCATGAATGATTTGCAGAGGGAAATCAGGAGACTGTCATTCAGTTGAGTTTATAATATCACGAACTGACACTGTAAATATAGAACTACGATGACCTTGAAAGACAGCGAGTAATTAGTTCAGTGAAAGTAGCAGGAACCATTCAAAGCATTATTGAGTTATATAAGATATAATCCACTCTGGAGAACAAGGTACGAACAAAAAGAATTAAAAAAGTACAGTAAGAAAAAAAGGGTTCTGGTCATCCACCTATTTTGAAGAACTCAGTAGTGTACTGCCTTTAGACTGGTCTGTTGCTGTGATCAGTCTCTCGTCACTATAGTAGGTTTACTTTCTACGTGAAAGTCACCTTTGGAAATGTTTGCAGTCTTTTCAATTTTCTCCGTAGATTGAATTCGGAATGTTGGTTACAGCATATGGTCAAAAATGGTAATGAATAGACCATCAGATAATCCAAGATGATCAGACCAATCTAAACCCAAAAAATTGAAGTCTGCGTTGACAGTGTAGCAGGTTTCTCTAATTTCATGATTACTGAACGATACAAAATGCAGAGGTACTGCAGTACTAAAAGTAACTGTTCACCTGAGACGTGGGCTGTTAAGTGTTTGTTCATAGGATATAAAGTTTGTTCTTTTTTCTGTTATCTGGATGTAACAACTACTGTAGATGCATGTAAACGTGTGCACACAATTAGAGGTAGTATGTGAAGAGGATCTGTTGATGTTTGGTAGTACCGAGGAGCATATTATTCAATAGAGAGAGATCATCTTGGCCACAGGTGATGTTCCATTCAGAACGGCTCCCAGCCTTTTATTAGTTCTTCCGGAGACATCGTCATCTTTGAAGTTGTGTTCAATAAAATCAGTCTTCTTGAATACTGTGATTTTCTTTAACTTATTGTCTTCAGATCTATATTTATTGGTAAACTTCTTTAGGTAACTGTTGTCTGACAAGGGCTAACCCTACGAAACAGCGTTGTGACCAGTGCTCATTTAAAACTGATCGAACAAAAGTTGTTAAAATTTAGACATAGTTTACTTCATGTAATCTTTCGATTAATGGAACCTTGAAGAACACCATCTCTACGTTGTAAGGCGACGCCTGAAAAGCTGGACTTTTGCTTTCATGCTCTCTGAGGAACTCGATATTTTCATGAGCATCATCGAGGAGTTCTAGTAATTAGGATGCATGACAGACGATAAATGTATCATCGATGCATGTAGAATAATAAATCTTTCCTTCAGTTGCATATTTACGTTTTGTCTTCTCAAGGTTAGCCGTAAAGATACCTACCAATATGAGTCCCAATGGACTGTTCATTACTACTTTATCAATTTAGTGGTATAGAGTTTTATCGAACTAAAACTGTTTGTTTTGCTTGGTCAGGCTTTAAAAGCTACCTATTATAAATGATCTCTTTGTTTCAGAAAGGTTTGTTTGTAAATGATTCATTATTATTTTATTCATTCATGAGACAGACTTTAAAGTGATTGAGTTCTAGGGTGATATCAGTTTTCTCATATTTGGCTATAGCTTACAGGTTTTCCATTACCAATGTGTTGCTTTGATTTACTTTTGGTTTGTTACAGAGGAAAACCCAGTACAATTTATTATTATATTATTTGTCCCTTGGGTTCCTAGTGGAACATGGATGCGTAAGTACGTAACATTGTATGATTGTGACTTTCCTTCCTTTTGAGTTGAATCTTGCTGTCATGATCCTGGACGAGATTGGTTCCTATTGCATAAGAGCCTTCGATGTTCTTAGGGACATCATGATAGCCACTCCAAAACTCAGTGTGCGCGTAGTTGTCATATCGAAGTAGATTATTGACACTGCAGTTGACAGTTTTGAGAGTCCACTTCCATTCCATCTGCAGATTCTAAGCACTTCTGTACCATACCTTCTCATCTCTTTTGCAATCTGGGTAGCCTTGCTAGGTTTATACATGTTGCGGACATTCCTTGTCCTCATCCTTACTTTTGCTTTTATCGAGAGAAGAGAAGACATATCAACCAATTGGCTTCCCGAAGGCTTTCACCAACGTGCGTCATTTTGTCTCTTCGATTTCAGCGAGGAATAAGTTTATATTTTGTTTGTGCTTTAAAGTTTCTTAAGTGATTGAATTAGTTTTATAGGGTAGAGTTGCTAGCCCTATGCCCACCCAATCTTCCCTCTTTATCCGTACTTAGGACCGGTTAGTAACTAGTTAACCAGGCGAGGTTACACAGTACAATATAAATTATGAAATACATCTTACAAAACAAGATTAAATTTCTAAGTGAGAATGGTTTTCTTCCTAAGCCACTACACATTTTTTTCAGATACTTACCTATAGGGTTAAGAATCACTGTGGTATGTACTTCTCGTTACTTATGTCAATTGTTCACAATTCTGATAGTTTTTTGGGGCCTCATGGTGACCAGTGTAACAGCCATACATTACTGAGTATATTGTTTTTGAAATTCCTTAATATAGTATGTTTCGAACTGAATTCAGTACTGTAATACCTCAAAGTTGTTTCTTGTGTCCATATTTTCTCCATTTCATGTCTTTTGTCAATTTACCTATATCTATGTTAAGTTAATATTGTATTTTTACCACTTTTTGTAATGTAAAAGATATAATTTGCTTTTGTTATAATCTGCAGCATTTTGAACGACGTGGTTCAGTTATCCGTACTATGCTAGTTGAAAATGATAAGCGAATACCAAAGAAATGGACGCCAGGTATTTTGCTTCTTTCTGGTCCATTGCTTCTACTATACAAAGACAATAAATGTATTTTACCTGTGAGTAAATTGATATAGTTTTATTTATTTTTTTCATCATCAAAGGAGTATCAGATATGTTTCGACAACTCATTTTCATGATCACTACACTTATTTATATAAACTTAGCATCATAATGCCTTTGTCTTTATTTTCGGGAAATGAAGTCGAAGATTACATAGGGTAAAGTGATAAGTTATGATAATTTTTTTGGTCAATAATATACAACTTGGTTTATTCTTGTGAACCAATAGGGACTTAACTAATCAGCTAGAATAATAAAGATTATCCTGAAGCCATCTCACGTAACTAGTCAAAGTACTCATTGTTAAAGCTTTGGTATATTTGATAGAAAAAGGTCAGGACATTTTGTAATTTTTAAGTACACATTCTATTGAGCCCAGAAGATTCTAAATTTTTAATCCCTTGCTTATTTTTACAATATATTTCTTCTTAAAAAAAAGTTTTTGCTCTTATTTGGATTTCATTCTGTTGTTTTTAGCGGAGTTTTCATTGTACAAAAAGTATTTATTTAAAATATGAAAAACAATAACCTTTTTCTTAGGCTTCATTCTCCCGACTGTAAAACTATATACATTTTTTGTAGGTATGAGGGGGTGTATTTCATTGTTACAGAAATTTTTTTTTTAGAATTCTGGAAATCACACAAAAATCGCTAAACATTATGTTTGAGTAAAGAACTGCATAAAACACATGTAGAACAAATAGATCAGCGAAAGAAATTCTTTTCAACGAATTTGTTTTCAAAAACTATACAATCACATTCGTGTGTATTTTACGAAATGTAATGATTGTGAATTGTGTTCTTTAATAAAAGTTGATACATGGACCTCGTAACTCAGAGTTGGTAGAGCACCAGGTCGGTAACCCGGTGGCCGCTGTTTCGAGTCCAACTGCAGTCTAAATTTTAATTTCACCTTCAATCATCACCCAGTATAAATACATTGGTCTTCTTTGATCTTTACTAACCCGTACTTGGTGGTATTCTCAAATGTCGCGAAGGATAGGCCTAGACAAATGACCTACATATCTAACTCCACAGGAGCGGGTGAATTGATAAGCACACACTGAACTAGTCAGTCTTGGCTACTTATCCTTCGCAGTGGGGCATATTAGAGGAGGACTGTGATATGTTATTTTAAGGTTTGCTGCACGAAACTTCTTACTAGTCGATCTTTCCAGATGGTTTTTCCAGAATATCGTCAGCAGTATCCTGAGTGGAAGAAGGGCCACCTTGTCAAGCTTCCAAAGAAGGGAGACCTAAGTCTTTGCAAGAACTGGCGAGCAATCATGCTCCACCGCTGTTCACCCCAAACAAAATATTAAGCCACATCATCCTGGAGAGACTGAACAGAAAATCTTCTGGATTCAACTAAATTACAACCGGAACACGCTGGCCGGCTGGCTTCAGGAAGAACAAATCATGTGTGGATCAAATTGCAACGCTACGCTGCTACGCATCATCATCACCATCATAGAACAGAGTGTGGAATGGCAGTCAATTGGATCCTTACTTTACCTCAACTTCATCGATTTTGAAAATGCCTTCGATCGAGGTGTCGACCGACAAGTAATTTGGTAGACAGCTGTTTCAACACTAAGGTTTTGGTGCCACAAACCTTCATCAACCTCATTCAACAGCAACTATATGCTACGTGATGACGCCACCTGTCAAGGTATTCGCAATGGAAAGCTGAGTGAAGTGCTTGAAGTGAAGACAGGAGTAAGACAAGGCTGCCGCCTACCATCATCGATGATCTTCCTGATTGTGGTTGACTGGATTGGACTGGACTGGATAGTGCGAGAAACTATGAGGAGCTGTGAGAAGATGGGCATTTGCTGTTTGAGAAGACCGATGAAAAGAGCCTAGAAGATTAGGATTTTGCGGCCAATGACGATTTAAGTCTAATGTCTTGTCGTACAAACTGGAAGATCTACAGGCAAAAACCGACAAGTTGACAGAAGAGGTGAGGCAGGGCAGGGCACCGAAGGAAGACGGGACTTCCTTCAAGTGAACGTGGAGAAGACAGAGGTGGTGAAGATGCCCAACCGACTACAGCAACTACAACAAGCACCAATCATCATGAATGGGAGAAACCTAAAGGAAGCAGTCTCTTTCACCTACCCACCTACCTAGGTAGGCAGGCAGTACCGTTTCAACTACAGGTGGCACACATGAGGACGTCAAAGCCAGAATCGGAAAGACGACAAGACAAACCTTACTGCATTAGTCTGAAAATAATCAGTATGAAGATCTACTGCACTTAGCATAAAGCGTGAACAACATCCGGATTTTTAACACTAATTCAGTCAAGTCAAGTAAGTCAGTGCTTCTATGTGATGGTTGAGAGACTCGGTGGTGCGTCACGAGAAGTATTTCCAACAAGTTGAAGATATGCATCAACAGCTGCCGCCTACACTCATTTACTCACTCACTCACTCACTCACTTGATACTGAGGATCAGATGGCCAGAATAACAAGAATAAGCAACAAGGAACTCTGGCTGGCAACGAACCAACGAAGCAAGAACCTATCGCCCAACAAATATGTAGAAGAATTAAGTAGAGATGGATTGGGCATACACTGAGAAAATGGTTTAGGACATCACGCGCCAGGCCAGGCGAGGCCGTTGAGTGGAAGCCGAATGGGAAATGACGTGTTGGGCGTTCGAGGGTGACAACAATGAGATGGTGTGAGGAAGAAATGAAAGTTTATGGGGAGTTGTGGGGCCAGGTTGAAGAGACTGCAGAGGTGGAGTGCAGTGGAGACGTTTTACTGAAGCCCTATGTTCCACTAGGAACCCAAGGGACAATTAATAATTATAATAATAATCCCCCTTGAATTGTAAATTCAAGAACAATTTCATCTTCAAAACTGTACTGGAGGTTGTTAAAGTGTTTTTTGTTTCATTTTTCCTCAACTAAAACGTAGTGGGGATCCATGTTTCAAAAAGGTGGACTTCAAGAAACTTATTTCCTTTCTTATGTAATCGACAGAACAAATTTTATGTTCTTGTACACATACGGTTACGTTTTTTGTTGAGTGGGTCCCAGCTATAGAAGTTCATGATCTGTTCACTGCATGTTGGTTTTCTGTGTATGAACCCCTCTGGTGTACTGTCACCTCTTCTTGTCAACAAAGCATGTAAGAATGAAATTTTAGGATCTATTTCACTTTCTGTTGTAAGCTGTAGTAATGGACGACTGATTACAACTCTTCGGGATTTCATGTGTATAAAGTATGTCATCACAAAGATGGTGTCATCAATATGTCAGTTGGCTGATCATTAGTCTAAAGCTACTATTCTTGATACTGGCCATAAAGTAATCGGCTAGTAATTGGCCTAATGGAAATCCCTTGGCTATGTTATCTTTATGTTGACGCATCTCTTCGTGAAAGCTAAATTGTACATTAAGAGTACACCTCAACATAAGTTCTTTCAAATAAGCAGTAGGTATCTCTGTATGTTTATTGTTTGTGTCTATATAGTTGCATATAAGGCATACAGTTTCTGTAAGTGGTACATTAGTGAATAAGGGACCAATATTTAGCGATGTCATTTATCGATTTTTAAACACAATTGACTATCATTACATCCCATCAAAAGCAAACACACAAACGATGATTAAAAATTTTATATATATATATATATATATATATATATATATATATATATATATATACCATTGTACAGCTTTTGAAAATAAATGTTTAGATATTTCAAGTGTGAAATTGTATTATAAAGATGGAAGAGTTGGATAATGTAGGAAAATTGAACTGAATCAAAACAAGTAAAGAATAGTTGTAGAACTTTAGCTCATTGATATAAGTACTCATTGTCTGGAGCACGAAAGTGTACAAGGTTATTGAGTGTATTTCGATTTTGGAAGAATATGATTGGTTCGTAATGTTAAGTATATTAAGTATATTGGTCGCAAATAAATATCAGCTGTCATTCCACCGGTAAGTGTTGATGAACTTTGTTTACCTGCAAAATATATCATGCAAGTGATAAATCAATTCACCTTCAGCATTTTACACTAAGATTGTCAATAGCACATATTTGAACTCACTGTTCGTGAGAGTTGTTAAAATATTTATAATATCATCATTTTCTAGAACTACAGTTTTAAAAATGTGTCTACACAACTCTCGGAAATGAGACGGATGCTATCGAATTTATTCGCTAAAGCCTTTCTTCTACTGTATGATTTTTTGTGTTTCTTTTTTATTACCATTTTTGCATCAAGTCTATGCTAAAGTAAAGATATCTTTTCATCACTGGAAAGTTTTTGATATAACCTAAGTACACGGCTTCAAGATAGATTTATATCATTGAAAAAATGAAGATCATTTCATTTGTATCCGAATCATAATACCTAGTATAATAATGAATGTTGATAGTTTTTAGTTGACTCAAGTTGATCAAAACTTTAAGAGATCTAGAAGTTTGATTTAAATTTCTCACATTCTAATAAGTTGCTTATAAAGACAGTTTAAACAATCCCTTGTTTCTTGGGAAAAGTGTATGTTATCATGAAGTTGCAAATATCAGTTGGTGTGCTATGTAACGCTTCATTTTAAGATTACTGCTTTGAAGTACACATCAATGTATAATTGACCTTTGTCGCAGTTGAGCATTTTTTATTACTCTCTTTAAAAGTCATAGTTTTTTTATCAGTGTGATAACTTGAACCGATGCACTTGCGTGCGAGGTTCTGCGTTGATTTTGTCTATATTAGATTGTTTATTTGATATAGCACAGTGATACATTATTATTTACCGGATATGAATATGAACAATGGATTCTACTCGAATTGTCATCCAGTAAATAATACTATATCATTGTAGACTATTAATTAAACAAAGTATTATTGGATTACACTCTACCGCACCGCCCAAGTTTTACCCTTACATCGATTTTTTTTCTATTGATCTATCTGTTTTCCATCGATGGAGTTCGCTACAATCAAGGATACACTTTAATTCATGCTAGACGTGAGAAACATAGATTAGTACAACAGGATGTAATCCATCCCCATTGCTTGAGAGCTGATAATATTTTTCAGTTTACCAAGCTGAATTCGATGAACTGTAACTGAAGTACGGTCGTGTCTAAAGTAGTGATAATATTATAGTAATGATGACTGTTGTTAGTAGTATCTTCCAGCTAAGGGAAACCGGTTTGCGATAAATTCAAGCTATTGTTACTTAACTCTTTGGTTAAAGGTTGTATTTTTGAGGTATTAAGACAACTATCAAATTTTATAGATTTAGATCAAGAGGGTATTCTGGCATAGTTGATCTCACCAATGTTTACAATTTAGTAGGTTTCTAAAAATTTGTAGATATGGTCGTCCATTGCCTTCCCCCGACCAAAGCAAGGATTAAGGTTGTACAAATCTCTTTTGAATACACAACTTAAAATTGTTTGTTCGAATTTTCATAGCCTCATTTGTATGTTAGGGGTAAGTTCGAATTTTGTTAGACAAGTTCGACGAGATGCAGTGAATCACGTCGTTCATTCTTTAACCAATATGAACGACATGCGACAAAATAGAGCTTCCTATTCACTTGACCTATCCATTACCCAGTGAAGAAGGTAGAGGTTTGGTAATACGTTGGTTAAGTTGCCTAGTTGTACGCCTAAAGTTATCCTCTCTACAGAAATAAGTAATTAGGTTGGTAAATGCTCATAGTAGTAATGGAACTTAGTAACTTGTCATTGAAATGATCCAAAACAATTCGTCGACTAGAAAATGAGAGGCAGGGTTGCTGTGTAAAACGTTTTTCTTAAGGTTCCTCAATAGTCTATAGAACAGGTGCTCAATAGATATTAGCCCGTTAAATTGTAGCTTTAGCAATACTGGTTTCTTTCGAACAGCTCCTACCTAAATGTTTCTAGCCAGTTATTCTATAAAGAATTACGACGATAGCCTATTCTGATCAATGAATTCAAAATGTGTTCTAACTCTTCCTGTAACTTGTAGTCTGAGCAGATTTTTCTTCCTCTGGTTTTCAAACGTTTGACTAGCTTTTTTTCGTACCGTCTGGTTATGAAACTGAAGAAGGGTTTGTACTGACATACAGACATGTTTTTTTCTGTAAACTCTTCTGCCAAGTAAACAACCTCCTCATCTATCTAACAGAACATTTATAAGAGAAAGTACATATTATTATTATCATTTTCTCCCTCTCATATGAAGGGTATATATTGTTTAATTCCATCAACAGTCCGTTTTTACCCATATTCCTATCAATGACGATGAATTTATCAACAGTGCGATAGTATATATCTAACTCGATGAAAACGTCCAGCGTTTCATTCTTTAATTTGTCTAAAAATAGGTCCGTGAGAATTCGACATGATCTTGAGGCTATTATCATTCCATTCACTTATCTATAATGTATATTATCCGAAAGAGTGTGTACATTCATTATACATCCGAAAATTTTTTTCTTTGAGGCCGGATTTGGAAATTCCAGTGTTATTTTTTAAATATCACTTATGGACAAATGGAACCAATGGTCTCAGTGAGCTGTACATTGACAAATGGTGGTGATACACCTACCGAAACCATAAATTTCCCACTCACACTCACTTTTATCACCATAGATAGATAGATTCAACAAAGTTACTTACTCTACGCTTTATGATTAATTTGTGAAGACGTTTTGAGATCTGGAGCAGTCATTTTACAACTCTATAATATGATGAGTTTACATACCTAGGACTAGACGAGGCGAAAGTTTAGATGTGTAGGTTTTAGGTTAGACTATAAAGTCGTCATACTTTACATCCTCTGGGCTTCAGTGAGCCATATAACCTGCTGAAATTGTGCATGTTTGTTTCAGTTCTTTAAGACAGTTTTATCTGCTTTCTTATTCAAATCTATAGGATCACATCTTCCCCTGTCGGACTTGTTCATGACTAGATTTCCATCCCAAATTATCTTTTAAAAAGTATTTCGGTGTTATTTCGTCAACAGATTGTCTGAAGAACTCTCTTTTTTTACTGCTGGCAGCTGTCCTCTAATGTGATTTTAAACCTTATCTGTTCATTATTTGATGATACAGCCAATTCAGTTGTATGAGATAGCAAGTTGTCAATCTGAATATTTGTCTCTAGTTCATTAGTTTAATGTCCATTGTCACTTAATTTAAGGTAGAATCTCTAATTGAAGTTTATCCGGAACAACATCGGACAAACTGTGAAAGTATCGATTCAAGTCAGAAAGAAATTTTCTTTCTAGCTTTCTTTTCTAAGAACCTGATAGTTTTGACCAAAAGTCTTATCTATCGATTCTTCAACCAACTGGCAAGCAGAGAAAAATTGTTATCAATGTCGAATACTTTTTCAGAAATCTTCGATTCTTAATGAGTGTACCACGTTGTTCTTACCGAATTTGTTTAGAATAGGGGTTGTTAGCTACATGCAAGAAAGTGTATCATTTTTAAAATACTTGATTATTATATTACTTATCAACATAAACTAAAGCCTGATGGCCATGAGGACAGATACTCAACGATGACATTGGGTGGCGGTTTGCGCTGTATCGTGAGCTAACAGAAGTTGGAAATATGGAGCATTGGATTCTGACCCAGTGGCTCAATGGTAACGCGCTGGCCGCGGAACCTGAAGGTCGCGGGTTCGGTCCCTGCAGGTGGGGTCGTGGGTGCGCACTGCTGAGGAGTCCCATACTAGGACGAAACGGCTGTCCAGTGCTCCCAGGTTTCCTTTGTTCCTCCAACTGATGTCAGTCTTCGATGAATAACAACTTGAAATAAACTAATCGAATTGAAAACAGTTTGCTTTTATATTTTTCAACATTTTTTCTTCGAACTTTGATTAGAAAATAAATCAGCCCCTTGGCAAACCTGATATTCAGTTCAATATTAGAGAAGTAGAAATTAGTGAAGCAAATGGTGAGCAGACATCAAGGAAAAATGTTCTAAAGGTGAGTTAGGATTACAATTATTTTTGTTTTGTTGTAAGTTCAAGATTTTTAACGTGCAATGGCAATCCAACAAAGGTTTATTTTCAAATACCAAAATCATGAAGCAGTGGTTTAGTGAACTATGCGATGGTTTTCAGGTTAAAGTGTAAGTTTGAAGCTTAACTTTGTTACTGTTTAGTGTGTGTGTGTGTGTGTGTGTGTGTGTGTGTGTGTGTGTGTGTGTGTGTGACCAATTAGTAGTATATCATTGTAAGGAAATGGGAACGAATGGTATATGAGTGGTCTCACAGTTTCTCTCAACACGTAAGACTAGTTTGTTGGGGGACTTGAAAATACCTCCTGAAATTAGGTTACTAGATTATTAGGCCTATAGATCAAATCTAATCAATGCAACTTGACTATTAATTTTGGAAATAGATAACGAATCTGTACGCATAAATGAAAATTATGTCATATGCCATTATTTGTTAGTTACACTGTTCATTAAAATGTTTCAGCTATCAATTCCTTCTGAATGTCCGAAGAATGGTTCTGTGACTCGTTTCTTTGTCCATTGGTTCTACTTACTGTCACCTTTCTTATAACTTTTCACACCTGGCTGGTCTTCTAAAATTTTATTTGTTGTCTGTTTTATATACTTTTAATTGATTTCAGATTCTCTTGACTTATTGTACTTAGGACTTAGTTATACTCCTAGTTTTGAGACTGTTTTTCGAGCATGAACACCCTTTGTATTGGTTTCACTGTATCATCGTGTTCTCTGCTGGTATAAAAATAGGCTACTTCAAGAAACCTACCTCTTATCACAACCTAGGTACGTAAAAGTGTGCTTAAACCAGGACTTGTTTGAAATCTATATACCCCAAGTAGGCGGCAAGTGTCTGGAAATACGTTGTGATTTAGAATATTTTCGATATTATCCGTCTGTACCTACTATTTTGTTACTATGGCTACTAACCCATTTAAAATTGCGTAGTTACCTTTGTGTGGAGTTCAGCCTCTCTCCTTAATTGTTAAAAGTTGAAAGAAGGATAGCACGGTAGTTGATTACCTTAGTAAGATTACCATATGATATTTTAGTTACTTAGGCACTTGTGATAACTCTTTGTAAATTTTGGTTGATCGTGTTATGAATAATTTTGTTATTCTCAGGTGTAAAACAATCCCTTCTTATATCGTGATAATGTAATTCTCTTTTATTCTTATGTTTATGTAACTTCAGATTGATTATAATGTTTCTGGGAGGTCAAATGTCTACTTGGTACAAATTCCACCCATTGATTATGAATCATGGAAAGCTGCAATACGTTATGCAAAGGATCTTTTAGTAAGATTTATTTTTTGTTAAGTTTTATGTTTTTCGATCCTTTCATCGCAATAAATGACATAACTAAAAGCCATCAGTTAATTCTCATTTTGATTCGTGAAGTAGGCGATAATTAGAAAACAACCTCTTAGATGACGCCGATATGCACAAAATTCTTCTTTTGGGAATTCTTTCACCTTCGAAATATCTTGATGTTCTTTTTAGGACTAATTTTATTTATGTTCACCCGAGAAAGCCTATTGATGATTACCTCTTATTGAAGCAGAGAATCAGAATACCTTGGTAGTTTTCCACAGGTTTGTTGTGAGGACGTTTGTTTCTCTTCAGTAAGAAAGGGAGCATAAAGAATCCTTTGGGATCATACTTGTAATGTATTTACTTGTGTTTCTTTAAACCAGTAGAATACTTTCAATGTTTTTTGCATGAGATCTCCAGTTCTTATTCTTAGGCTTTTGACGATAAAAGTGTTGTATATATGCTTCTTTTTTTCCATATATTGAGGATATCAGTTGTATTCTATGTTTGTCGATTCTAGTGTATTGTCGTCATTTAATTCTTCTCTCCTTTGATATGGATTATATTGTACTGAGAACAGTATGGTATTTGTCGTATTCCAGTTTCACACTAAACTATATACGCCACTTAAAGCCCAAATATTTAATCAACTTTTGATATTACTACTACTACTACTACTAAAAAACAATAGCACCAGTAGTAGCATCTTGAGTGCATAGTTTCTTCATTCTGATTTTCTTTATTTTTATTCTGATTTTTCATAGTTTTTATTTTGTCTTCCAAATATAACGAGTTTTTTAGTTAGGATTTTGAGCTGATAACTTCGTTATCAATTTGTTCGTTGCTGTATTTTGTCTCTCCGTTGTTTTTTTTTTTACCAATTTTCTTAATTCCCTTTTGGGGTTTTGGCAAAAACCTTATACAGCTGTACAACGACCTTGAAGTGATTGTTACACTTAATTGACACATTGTTAAACTTACCAATGGACACCTATATATAACTGGGTTCTGAAAAAAATACAAAGAGCTTATGTTGAACATTTATTCTCCTGTTAAAATTGCACTCACATTCTCTGAAATAAGGTTAGATTATTTATACTGGGGCGTAGTAATCAGAGATAAGTAGATCTTTCTCATTGGCTAAATACACGAGTTAACTGTCGAAACTACAGTGTTAAGTAAGCGTAATAGTTTTTAAAGAAATATTCTTACACTTGCTATTTCTTTTATTGTCAACCTATCTACATATTTGCTTGAATGAAACTTGGTTCAAGAGTTGCAGTGACATGAAGAAAGTTCTGAAGAGTGCTATGTTATTCTCAAAATATACGCTCCTTTTAATAACGATTTATAGGTTTTTGTTTCTAACTCTCTATATAGAAAATAAGATCCTAATACTATTCTTTATAGCATAGGACACAAGTAATCGATGGGAGTATTGTTGCACATAGAAGCACTTCCCGTGATTTTATCAGACATTGCTCATTGATTCATATATGCGTCCCATATTTATCTGAACAGTTGTAAATAATCGCAGTTAGACTAAGGTGAGCAGTATCTGGCAAGGGACACGATGTCTGTTCATCATCTCTGTCTATGCTCCGACGGACTGCAGCCCGGTTGCCTTTAAGGGTGAGTTCTACCATCAATTGAGTGGTCTCTACCAGGTGCTCTTGACATCTATCATAGTGCTAGCTAGAAACTTGACTATACAGGTCAGGTGTTTAGTTCTAGAGGAAAGTCGTTTAGGTGGCCAGTGAGGATTAGTCGGTCGTAGATCAGATAATAGAGGATGGCCTGGATATCTTCAGGACTGCCACTCCTGGACCATGTGTCTAGACTTCAGTCACATTTCGTTGTGTGCTAAGTTCATTTTTTCTTTGATGGTTATCGTAATCATCGTTATAAGCGGGTTGACTTAGGCAAGCTGATTGATTGGATTTAGTATTGCAACTAAATACCAAGCAAGGTATACTCAAGGTTGGCTGTTGAACCTCCAGAAAGTATAGGTGAGCGTTGGCTGCACCTACAAGAAGTGACGAAAGTGGCGAGTAAAGCTGCTTGTAACACTTGAAAACGTTTCACCATTAAACACTGGATCTGTGCTAGCTTGTCACAACTTCTTGAAACTCTTCGATGTATTCCTGCAGGCAACAAGTACAATGGTGTATGTAAATCCCTTACGTGACAACTTAAGCAGCATTTGGGAAAAGATCGCAGGGTATGATCAAAGCGTGTGAGTCAAATGGAAGCAGCAACTACATCTGACAATAGTCAAAAGCTATTTCAGATCATCTGAGCCACGGACAGTAAGAGGTCTGGTATCAGTAAGACAGTCTCTGAAGTAGTAGTCTGGTATACAACGTGTCGATGCCGCCGGTCCTGCCTTACACCTGTCTAACCTGGCATCTTCGAGCTTAGTGTGTCGATTACTCTGCGTGTTCGATCACTGTTGTCTCCGTAGGATTATTCGCATTCGGGGGTACAGCATGTTCATAATTCTGTGGAGAGAGAGGACGTGTTTTAAGGCATAATGAAGGTAGTCAGTCATTGAATGTGATCATCTTGAAACACTGACTTGACTTGCTTGGACTTGTGTCACAATAGCTCCCACATCTCTGTGTTTATTTGTCCCTGGGCTGGTTGGAAGGAGTAAAGAGGTGACCGGTGTATAAACTAGTGCCTTGAGATGAAGGATATTTGTATTTGCATAGCATCTGTGGGTGCCTCACGATTCTCTTGATATGGTCCAACAGATCATACAACTCCAGTGACTTAAGGCGAAAGTAGACATGCTTCAGAGTCGAAATCGGTGATAATCATGCTGCAGCTTTCTTGTTTTTCCTGTTACTGGAAAGTATTACCAAAGCAAGGAACACTTCTTCGTTTATATCTTTGCAACTGTTGCCTTAGTAACTAACTTCGTTTTCATTGCTTCTTTTATTATTTTTTAAAATCTTCATGTTGCTTTATTATTTTGAATGGCGCATCTTTTAGTGCCAATTTTGTCCCGAGTTTTTGTATAAAATCAAATCAAATGATGTACTACAAAGCATTTTGTTATGAATAACAGACACATCTTCACCGTTCTTTAGATTGAGCATATAAGGTGAGGGCGTCAACAATAAGGAAAATCAAGCACCTACTTACGGTGGACTAAGTCTTTGTGGGTTTAAAGTCAGTTGTAGAGTGATACTAGATATGATCTTCTATAATAATGGAAATTTAAAATTAACACCTACCAGATAGTTTATATCATGATTATAATGTCAGTTTACTGGCGAGGAATTTCGCACCAAATTAACCAACTGCAAATAATGAAAAGTATCCATTTTTATGACATTGATGCTTATTTTAGTGGAAATGGATTTTAACAATTATTGTGCAATACTATCTTGTTGTATGTTTTATTTAACCAGAAAGAAGATCGTGGAGTAACATTGGCACGTTCATTCACACGACGTAAGTGGATAGATGTGACTTTCACTTATTTTTCTAGTTAAAGTTCTTTACTCATTTTCTTTTTCAGTACATACAATGATATGAAACATATTCTTTTGATTGACATCCCACTTTTACTATTCTTACACGCATACCTATTTTATAGAAATGATCTCTTCATTAGTAAGAAAGCAATACATTCATTATGTATTGAAACATAATCTTTTGGAACAATGAAACACAAAACGTTGCTTGTTATATGTATATGTAGTCATCGGCTTTACTGGATTGTCTCGTAAACTACACCTATACACCTGACTATCTGATGTAGCTAATCAAACGTAGTTCGGTTGTAGAGCACTCAAACACTACCTTATAAGCCATCTTTGGAGGCCTGTTTGAACCTTAGGCTACGAAAATTTTCTACCAAACATATACGTCATATTCTTTTTGCTTTCAATTTGTTCAAATTATTTAACTATGTCTTATAAACGTGGCATGTACTGTTGTATAGTTTTAAAGTGTTTTCAACTAGCTGTTTCTCGAGTAGATAAGAAAACGAAGAAAAAAATATCAAGTTTGATGGATAAAGACTTTTTGGATACACCTTGGATACACCTAAAATAGCGGGTTCTTGTACTGGCTGAATGAACCATCAACATTAAACTTACGTTCAATTTTCTATACATTCTTTATTCTTGATTGGAAGCTAATCCAATACCAGCTGACTGTTTTACATTTTCGCCTTTAATAGTGCTATTATCAGCATCATTCGGATGCAGTAATCATTTCATTTGAAAATATTGTACGAGAGGCGAAATTGTTGAAATATTACATGCTGAGAATTCAATACTGCATACTGGAATAAAACGACTATTACTATTATTACCTCTTATAGGTGTAATTTGTTTGTTTGAATCATTGAGCTTTTCTTAAGAATCAAAGAAAAACATAGTCTTCATCTGAGCACTGAGAAATTCCATAATTCTTTGTGATTGTCGTATCATTGCTACATATCTCTGTCAACGCTGACTATTTCCCAGTTTCTCCAAATTCTATCATTCGTATAGTCATCTGATATGTTTGAGACCTACATATTATTATCTCCAATCTCTTGAAATCGAATTGTGTTTTGAATTTCCTTCTCAGTGTCCACACTCTATCACGTTACATTCCTAAGAGGCGTATCCATAACACCATTGTAGGTATTCATCTTACTCAGTTAATTTGATTGCATTTTAGCATTTACCGTACTGGTTTTTGAGAATATGGATGTGTGGTTAACATTAAGTGGCCTAATGGAAACAAAACTTCTCATTTGGAATGGGATTGACAACATATACCCTACCGTTGTATTAAAAGCTTAGGGATAACTTGAAGGTCTCGTAACAAATGCTTATCTCTTTTTATTGTCTTCACTGATATACCCGAAATACATAAGCAATGTTTGCTTCCGACGAATGGCAATATAAAAACTGACCAATATTATCTGTTTACTAGAACTATCAAGTGGTGAAGACTACATTCAAAAGAAAGTCACCTAGATCGCACTTTTGGACACTCCTACTTCAACTAATACTATGCAGTCGTTCTGTACGACTTCCACTTGGCATTTACATGTAGTTGGTCAAGTTCAGTCTTAACTACAAGCCATGACAATAAAACTGGTGTTATCTCGAGTCTTTTGATTGATGAAAGTAGAGATGATATCTTTATTGTTCATCGTTGAAAGGATTCTTTGAACTGCTGTTTATCATGGAGCACTTGCGTTCAATAGAGTTGTTACTGTCTTACAGATACGTGTAACTGATTGGAGGGGGGGGGACAGCACAAGTTTATAAAGGCTGTTTTGTGCTGTGCGTGTGTTCGTTTTAGTTTATCGATGACAGCTAATCCAATCATACAACCTACGACTACAAAAAATGAATCGAAAGCATCTGGGATGCAAATTTCGTAAGGTTTCGTACAAGGATTAACAGCAGTATTTGATAACAACACTTAATAAGAGTAAGGGAGCATAAGCGGTATTTTGAAATTCGTTTACAACATTTAAAGGGAAGCACTAGTTAGATATAATCAGACCACCTACCTACCTACGTGTTAAAAAGACTGCAAATTAGTAGCAGAAGTGGTCTACAACCCATCTATGCATCTGAAATGCGAGACTCAGTTGTTATTCTGTCTAGGTAGTCTTTATTTCATTGTATGAAATGATTTATGAAAATATATCCTACGAAAGCGCACGGTTTTGTTGCCTAATATGTGTAATTGGGTAGTCGCTATCAGAAGATTGCCACTTTAGAGTCGCCGTATGATGTTATTCAGATCTGAGAGCCTGATACTATTCGGAACACTCATTTACTCTTGTTTTAAACTTCCAGGTTACTTCTCAATCGTACCCAGAAGTGTGCTATTCAATCTAGGTTATTCAAGTGACATTATTATTTTAGGATGCAGCAGTTTTAGAATAATTCTGTTTTCAAAAACTCAGTTTGCAAATTCATGTATTTTTATCACTAACCAATGGATTAGCTATCGACTTAATTCTAATCTCTTTTAGTGAATACTTGAGAATTTATGACATATTTTCGAATCTATCTGGAACGGGCCATAGCTTGACAACAAGTTTTTATTTGCTTTTAATTTGATAAATGAGCTGATTTACCACATCGTTTGCTAAACGATATAATCAGTTTCAGCTTTCTAATAGTTTCTCATCACAGAGAAATATCTGAAAGACAGTTATTGAATTGACCCATATAGTAAGAGTAGGTTAGTAGGCACCAATCTTGAAAGGAAGATAATACAAGTTGACTGTGGGTACTAAGTCGTCAGTGTTTTCGGAGATTCAATCGCTTATAATGAAACTTTGGGGTGAATAAAATAGATGTTATTTCTTGAATTATGACGTGAAAAGCCGGTTGGTAGAAATTGTAAGCTTACTTATACTGAAATGACCAAAATTTAACACTGGCTTGTTATTCACTCAGTGTCGATCAAACATCATAGCTCAGAGAACATCAAATCATTGGCATCCTCATCCTGATCTATAAATCTCTGTTATCTCATGGTTTCGATGTGCTACATAGACCCGTTCCTCTTTTGAATGTGTTTTGTTGAACTGGATGATAACATTTTTTTTCTACCTGTTGTATGTAGATTCATACTACAGTAATCTGTATATCAGCAAACACTGTTTAATCTGTTTATACTTTTTATTTACCAGTCTTTGTTTATTACTTCTCATATATAAGTTGTGAGTAAAAAAAAGATCTTAGAAAACGTATTCAGAAATTTACTAAAAAGTGCAACTGTAAAATGTGTTTACTAATCGTTGTACTTGTGTTTTAGTTAAGCACAAGTACTTTGCACATTCATTTTGTGCTCTCACGCACTCAGACACACACACACACACACACAATATATATATATATATATATATATGAAAGTCCAGCACGCTATGTTTTCAGAATAAAAACGTGTTCTCAGTGGCTCAATGTTGAATAACAAATAGACTGTACCAGTAATGGACATACTAAAAACAAGAAAGAAAGGATTATTTTTCCATTTGGAAAAACTGCGTAGGTCAATTTCTTCTTATTCCTTCAAATTCATGCCAATCTATAAATGTGTAGAATAATCAAATATTATTATAGTTATTATTTCACTAACATAAGAATTTAAATAGAAGAAGCGCTTCGACTTCTAGTCAAGATTTACGTTAGTAAAGTTTAAGACAGAATATTTTTATGTTGTCATCTTAGTATTGGGGTTGGGAGTTTGATTTTGAGGTACGCAGTTTATCATGCTGATGGCTTAACACCTAGATATATCTGCATTCTGGTGTAATGTCTTTTCTACGATGGTTTGAATCCAGTACCGTTATTTCTGTTGTATTGCAGTAGCTACATTTTATATGAATATTAATGGTTAGTAGAGTTTAATGTGCCTTTATTTTTTGTCTTTGAATCTGCTTTTGAAATACGGTTCTGTATACTTCTATCGTATCAAAAGTTTACTCAGTTTTGAGGTTTTTAGGTATTTATCATAGGTTGACATCAGTTGGATAATCATTGAATATCCGGGAGCCACTGGATAGCTGCTTCGTCTTAGTTTGGAAATTGTCAGCAGTGCGCACCCATGACGCCGCCAAGAAAGAAGCTAGGACCTTCGGGTTCCGCAGCTGGTGCATTATCACTGAGCCACTGGGTCGGAATCCAATGATCCATATTCTCTACTTCTGTCAGTTCACGAGTTAACACACTCTCCATCCAATCTTATCATTGAGTATCTGTCCTCATGTCCGACTTGGTTTCGTTTCAGTAGCCTTCACAATTTTAGAATGGCTCATAGCTTTATGTAGTAACTTCTACCAGGTTATTGAGTTGCATTGAATTACAACAACTTTTTGGGTAGTAAAGTTTCACTCTTCACTGATTATAGGTTCTTTTATTGCTCATCACCCTTGATCGATGAATTCTTTTTCAAATTACTAATTTTTGAACATGATTATTTTAAAGATAACTTTCATCTGAGTAAATAATCGAAATCAGGAAACAGTACACAGCTGTTTTTGGTCTGGTTTTTAGATTTCTTATTAGTATATGTTCTGGATGCCTTTCGAAATTGATCCTTTGACTTCCAAGCTTTGTACCAAACAGTGTTGTTCAGCCACAACGAATGATTTCGCAATATTGCAAATTATCGACAACTGACTTTCTGTGAAATGAGTCAGTGATGCTTTACTATCTATGAAACTTTAAAGTTGTAGGTTGAATAAAATTTGAATAAGTGTTAATTGGCTGTTTAAATGGCTTGGTTGTAAGGTTTCTGAATGTCCATAGACTGAAGTCTTGGAGAACATTAGATACACCATCGTAATAACTACCTTCGATAATGTAACACTAATCTTTGAATTCATTGAAAGTGACTCCGAAGATCTAACATTTGTCCAGTTATGCTTCATTTTCTGTTTTTATTTTATTATTATATTATTAGTCGCTTGGGTTCCTAATGGAACG